AAATAAGGAAGAAATGATAGAGAATCTTGTGAAGTGTATGCGCATTAAAAAACTGTATTCTCCATCGAAATCAAAGTTGAAGAAACCAAAGTTCATAAAAACAACACAATCCTTGAACAATCATTTGGTAATTTTTATTGTTGCATTTTAATAAAATGTTAATTAAACTTCTGCGTTAAAAACTATTACGTGGCACAAAAGATGATAACCAATTGTACATCAAGTTGAAGTAAACGCATTCAATGCAAAATAATACTAAAACGAATATGATAATGTATGCAAAATATTGCATTCGGAATTCACCTGTGCCTCGTCATGTGTTTTAGAGTGCTGAAAATTTGCTAACATTTTAAATGTATGTAATTGGATCCTGAAATATGTTCTCACGTAAATGCAAAACAAAGTAACGTTTTACATGAGTACTCTTCAAAGGATAGGCAAATGTGCATTCCTGAAATTTCAATGCCAGTTGCTGATTCCCTGTAAATGTGTTTCCACAACAAATTTTTATTGTATTGTTCGACAGTAAACTCAATTTCCCATCTGTGTAGCGTACTTGATTCTATAAATTGTGTCGCGTCACTTGAATAAAACATTAATTTCAATTCAACACTCAAGATGCCGAAGAGTTACAATAACTTTCAAGAACAGAATTAATGCTTGTTAAAGCAGAATGCTATACAAAAATATTTCATACTAACAAATTGTATTGCTTTCAACACTATTTCGTATGATTAAAAATCAGTTACATGATTGATGAAACTGAATTGCTTATCGTCAATTCCACAAAAAACTGGCATTGAATCAAATTGACCAGAGAGATTGAGGAAGATAAAAATGTGCATATAAAAAATACAGAACTTAATTCGATGAATAAATGCACAATAGCTTTATTGGTATTGCATTTTGGAAGGTAGGAAGAGCGATTCACAGAAAAACAACATCCTTGTCATAACTTATTTTTTAATGTAGACGTGCACATCAATTCAAAAGTTTCAATGGCAATGGTTTGTTTTTAAATGTTGACCATAATTGAGAGAGGCAAACTGAAAAAAATAAAAATCTTTTCCCACTTACGTGGATATAATTCTGATTCCTATCTATAATATTGGCATATACCTTGGCATATATGCATATTGTTAGATATAATAATTGTTCTACTTCAGTATTCAGTGCACGATAAATGATGATCAAAATGCAATGCTTTACTAAACTAGATATAAATCTATAACACAGCATTCTAGCAATATATTCCAAGATGATTTTCTGTAAAATGTTGAACGTTTCATTTCAATATCAGGGCATTCAAATGAACTATTTTCCATCTGCTAGGTAATTATGTAAAACTTACTCTCAATCACTTAATGGGTCAGTATTATTAGTAACCTATAATATTTTCAACTTGAAATGAATGCTCATAAAATCTTATGTTAATTGCTTAAAAATCAATACATTTATCCAGCAAGTCTTTTTGTCTACCAATGATGTGAACAAGTGCCACCTTTTTAATGCATTTATAAGTGTATTTGTTATTCGTTGCATTAATGTGATTAATTTATACCTGATCAGCATTTATAGTTAACAATAAGTTTTCATTTCTATTTTTAAGCGCACGATTCAGAATATCAATGTGTACTTCCCCAAAAGTCTGAAAAAAATTTAATCAAAATTCCAATTTTATAAGCTTCTCATGAAGTTTTCATGTTTTTTTACTCAGTTTTTACTCCATTGTGGGTTTCTCCGAGGGTTTTATTTGAATCTGGATGAACCAAAATGACCTTCATTTGTATGTGAGGTAAAACATCGACACAGAGCAATATAATCGACTTCTGGTATAAGTGATAAAGACACAAACAAAGATTCTTTGCAAAATTTTAACGTTATCGTTTCATTGAAGCTTAGAACTCCATTCTTTTTCGGTAAAATTTATTATGCTCCATTTTACTTCTACTTTTCAAATGTATACTTTACATAAATACAGAAGTTTTAAAGGTTATTGGTTATACCGTTATACGTAGGCTGCTCCATATATTTCTAGAAAAGCATATACAACGCAATCGTTTTTTATCAAAAATGGCTTTATTGTTTTTCAAAGTATTCGTCATGATGGTCGATACACTTTTGCATACGCTCGAACCACTTGCCGTAGCATTCATGCCACTCCGAAACCGATATCTCCAAAACGTGTGTTTTGAACGCATCAACTGCTTCTTCTGGCGTCGAAAATCGTTGACCACGCAGTTTTTTCTTTACGCTCGGAAACAAAAAGAAATCGTTGGGTGCTAAATCAGGACTGTACGGTGGATGGCCCATTAATTCGATCTTTTGAGCGGTCAAATATTCAGTTGTGTGATGAGATGTGTGAGAGCTCGCATTGTCATGATGAAGAATTATTTTGCGACGACGGTCGTTTTTTCTTATTTCACCAAACACTTCGGGCAAACAAATGGTGGTGTACCAATCAGAATTGACGGTCTTACGATCCTCTAGTGGAACTGTTGCCACATGTACACTAATTGCGAAAAAACAGGCGACCATTTGCTTCGAAGGGCTTCTTGCTCGAACAACTTTCGTTGGATTATCTTCACTTTGGAAGACCCATACTGTCGACTGCTGTTTAGTTTCGGGCTCATACGCATATATCCACGATTCGTCGCCTGTGACGATGTTATAGACGGAATATGATGCACCGCGGTTATATTTGTTGAGCATTTCTTTGCACCAATTCACACGAGCTAATTTTTGGTCATCGGTCAATTTATGTGGAATCCAACGAGAGCAAATCTTTTTTACGGCCAAATGTTCATGCAAAATCGTGTGTATGCTTCTCATACTAATGCCCAAGGATGCCTCAATCTCACGGTATGTGACATGACGATCTTGCTTTATCATGTTTCTGACAGCATCGATAGTTTCTGGAACAACAACCGATTTTGGACGACCTTCACGGAATTCGTCGATGAGGGAATGACGACCACGATTGAATTCAGTAAACCAGTGATATACAGTGGCCTTGCATGGAGCTTCATCGCCAAAGACCAAATGAAGTTGATCAAAACACTGTTGTTGAGATACACCCAATCCAAAGTCGTAGTAAATTATCGCACGAAAATTTTCACGAGTAAAATTTATTTTTTTGTTGAGACGCAATTTAGATGTCACTGTAAATAATACAAATAGCGCGCGTATGACAGAACATTCTGAGGATGTTTAGGCTACGAAATGTCAAACTTAACGAATATGACAATGGTTTGCATCTAGCAACGTCAGTATTGCCAATTCTAGAAATATATGGAGCAGCCCTCGTATTTTGTTTGAAGAACAAATTGAATATTCATCACGTAAACGAATTCTATGTGGTTCAACTTGAATGTTTGGCTTAATTGATTACTCATTGATATATAAGAAATAGTTAGTAGAATGCATTCTTCCAGCCAATGTGTTTGCTACTGCACATGTTCACTTAAAATCATTTTTCAGGATTATTTCTTCGGTTTGCTAAGTCATTCGAAAACCGGCTTGGTGAATAAAAATAACATTTTAATGGATTTGCATATGTTCAAATTAAATCTCGTGCAGAACAAATATGATACACTCCTCCGACATACGATTACTGATTTTGTTTCCAAGCATATGTTTCCGAAGAAATTGAAATTTCTATGCCATATTTCTCATTTGTTAAGTCAAATATTTCAAAAATATCGATTTTTTATTCAATTGAATCGTATCCCACACCAAATGGTTCGTTTTCAATAAAATAACAAAAAATATGTGATCTTGTTTATTCTCTTTATCTTTTCCTTCATCATTTGCCGAATTCCATAAAAGTCAAATAATAAAATTTGTTTATCACATTCCTTTTGCAAATGCGGTCGATGTAACAAAAAAGTCTAACAAACTCACTTCTGTTTTTCTTTATTGTTGTTTTTCTTCATCAATACGAATCAATAAAAATTTATTGAGATTCCAGATTCGAATTTAATTAGTAGTTGTAATTGTATTGTGTATGAAGAATTAAAACCAATTGACATACTATTGTGATGAAATGAAATACACGGCATGCAAAGTATGTATTGAAGGCAGTTGAATGATAAAAATTTGATCATCAATTTATATGATACACGTAAGAGACAATTGGTTAACACCACAATTGCTTTAATGTGCGTATCACTCAAAGTTTGAGTCTTAAAAATCAAAATGAAAAATAAAAACATATTACGCCACACGAGTCACAAGACTTGTTGAAATTTGGCGAATAATTGCTAAATTGTGAATAAATCAGAATATTCCATCGGGAATTGTTTAACGTCGCTAATTTAACGAATAATAAAATTATACTTTAGTTTTCGAGTTAACAATACACAATGTGTTGAATATAGAGAACACACGTAGCTAAGATTGGAGTGGTGGCTCAGCCAAGGAATTGATTGAAAACAAGAATTTATGACCGGTAACGAATTTGTTTATCACACGCACACCATGCACACCAAGACAAAGAAAAATAAACAAATCAAGAAATTATATTCGAATTCCGTAGATACGTACGTGCACCTTCGTAAATAAGCTGATCACTTACACACATACAAGCACACATGACACCACCATTCAGCTAGTTTAAAATTCATTTCTTGTTCATTGTGCGGTTTTTATATTAATCTTTCATGGTGTTTTTTTTTGTTTGTTCGTTCGTTTGTTATGTGTTTTGTTGTTATTGTTATTGCTCAGCTTCGTTAAATTTGCGAACCACATTTTTATCGTTGTCGAGCGTGTGATGACCACATTTGGCGTCTAATACCCATATCAACTTATATACTACGTCAACCAAAAACGAATGGAAACATAGTGACACAGACACAAGCAAATTGTGTTGTCGCTCGCGCGGTGCTCACAACACGTCGTTTATGTATATGTATAATTCACACATTTCTACTGGCCTGCATATGTTTTGCCGACAGATCGGCAAATATATATAATAGGTAGAAATGTCGCCAAACTGCTTTAGTTCTGACTGATATTCCTCAATCAAGAGATCGTCATTGCGTTTAGCGCATACGCGCCTTAGTAAATCCCTAAACGAGAAAAGACGACCGCATCGTAACGAAACGCGATCGAACAAAAAATCTTCAATTCGAATTTTGTTGTTCAAAAATTAATAAAAAAGAAACAAGTGAATAAAAATCAGCATTTTTAAAATCGTGATATATAATTGATCGACGAATTTTAATTCTATAAAAAAATAAATTAAAGCTGCTTAACTCAAAGTTAGAGCTTTATTTCAAACTGTAACAATCATAACGGAGCGTGTTCAAACAAGAACCGATCAATTTTGTATTGCAAAACATTTTTTTTGAAGAAAATCAAAAACGTTGACAAAATGTCTGGAGCATTTTTCTTCGAACACATCGTCGAAGCTGTTCTCAATTTGGAAGAACAAGCCAAAGCAAAAAAGGCTGAAACCCAATCATCGAAATCCGCATCAGTAAAGAATCAAAAGAAAAAATAAATTGCACGCGCATTATAATTTTTAAATACAAATTTGGCGGTGTGTGAATGCAGTTTTTTTGCAAAGTTCAACAGTCGAACAAAGCAAAAAAGGCTTATCCACATCCGTGTATATATGAACAATTTAAATATCTGATTCACAAACAAAACAAAGACACACTACTCTGTGCGAAATTAAACAAAACAAATAAAACTTGAACATAGTATAGTGAAAAGTGTACGCGAGTTAAACGAAAAAAAAAGCATTTCGAACAAAAACTAACGTAATTAAGTTATTTATTTAAAACAAATCGAAGGAGTGATAGAAAACAATGATGTTTTCAAAGTATATTTCAAAAATCACCAACACCATTGGTACGGTCAACTACTTGCAACAAAAATCGAGAAAGCCACACTTTTCACAGTCGCGGCGAGCATCAAAACATAATTCACAATTGTTATACGACGATGGTTATGATGTCGTTGACGTGGATCCAGATACAATCAATCGAATGGATATTGATTTATCGGTCAATGGTAGCCGCAAAGGTTCTTTGATCGATGACTTTGTACCGAATTCACAAATCATTTTATCAGCCGCTATTGCCAGACTAAGAGCTACTCTTTTTTGCTATCCGTTAGTATAATTACTTTCTTTCTGCTTTTTTTAAATCTTTGTATGTTCCCGAAAATTACGCTTGAAAAATAAGCAGAAAATATTTCAAATGCCTGAACATTCATTTATGAGTTTAAATCGCATTGAAAATTCATAAAATGTGAATAATTACGCATTTATGTTTTTGTATTGTGATTGCGTGTTGAAGAATGAATCGATTTTCGCACAAACTTTACTCAAGCGTAGTAATGACGAATACAAAACAAAAAACAATTCGCTGAATTTCGTGTGAATATCATCATTACATCCATACAATTCAGAGAAATAAACAAGTCTTCCGACCATATCCAAAACTTTAACGTAAATTTAAATAAAGATTTGGTGTATGCGTAGTTTGTTATGACTATAGAGAGCGAGATACATGCCCAGTGTATGCTTGTGATGTTCCGTATCCGCAGTTGAAATATTAATTTATTTTTTTGGATATTTTCGTTGTGTTTCTGGTTTTGGCTTATATATTTCATACGTGCTCGAAATTAAAGCGAACACTTATGTCAATGAAATCAAATAGATAGTAATGTTGATGATTTTAATTCATACATCGTTTAGTAGTGTCAACGAAAGCACGTTCGAATTCACTTTTCAAGTGATTTTCTTATCAAATATCTTTCGAACGAGCGTATAAACCGATTCAAGTATTCGCTGAAATTATCTAGAACATATCAAATTTCTTGCATATTTGCAAAAAAAAAACTATGTAAAAACCCCAATGTATTCGATTTTGACGAAGTGAGAAATTATGCTGAAAATGACTCATATGTAAGACACTCATTCTCGTGAGGACGTCATCACATTTTCTATGTCCATGAGTTGTTCTATGGATTGACGATGAAAAAGGTGACTTTTTCACGACAAACTTAGTCATTATTCTATTTTCTTTTCTCCTATTTTTATAAATTAAACATCAACTCGTAAATATTGTTGTTGTGAATTACATTAATATTAGCATATATTGATTGATTTCATTGTGTTCCAACCAGCAATTGTGGTTTAAACTTTAAACCAACATAAACAATCATGTCGATCAGAAAAAGACCTGGTACAAAAACTCAATTATACAGTTTGAAAAGAATCCAAAGTTGCAATATATACAGATGCACGGACTATTCTTATATAAAATATGTTAATTTTAAAATCTATTTTGAGTTGTACACATAACTAAAAATCGATCTCTAAAAATGATTTCTTATCAAATTAAATCGTGAAACTTCGATACGATACAATTTTGCCATTTTTTGTTTGTGTTCCATTCAGGGTGGACGAGACCTATATGAGGTAGTGTTAATGAACAAGGCAATTAGAGCAAAATTGTAGAAAGGTCGGAACAAAATGCATTCCAAATTTTGTTGATAAATTAGCAAGTTTTTCAATCACATCACATGGCAATCATATCACATACAGTACAAACGTGTCTCATTAATTCCAGTGTGTGTTTTTTCGTTTTGAAATTATTTGCGCACATCGTTAGAATGCCAGTTATCAAAGATTCGTTTATTCGCACAACTATCATGGATTAAAAAAAAGTACACATTCAGTTGGTTTGCTTTTTTCTGCTTTTTGCATCGAATCCCTGAAATTTATTCGCAACTTTTATTGACATTCGTTATTCGATCTGTGATTTTAATGAGCAAACATTGGAATCGTAAAAACACAACAACGCAGTATACGGTATCAAATTGACAACAATTACATGCACATTATGCGGCTGCTTGTGATCTATTCTTTGCGACGACGACGGCAAATATTTGCAATCAATTATTTCGTCAAATATTTTCACTCTGAGCCTGTGTAATTATACATCATTTATTATTATTACCAATTTGAAAACCGCAATATTATTTCCCTGCATCTAAAGAATAGGTCCGACATATTTTTAAATCGCTTTGGAATGACTATATAATTTTCAAGCCACATACATTGTTTACGCTTCAAGTCTGGTGATCGATAATTATATGCAGTGTGAAATTATTGAAATGATTTATTTTCTAATGTAGATTTAAATTGAATTTTCATTTATTGCGTGGCACGTGTTATATACAATGTGTGTTCTTCTCAAGGACAGGGGATATTTTTTTCACAAACAATTAATGGAAGTGATATTTTACGGAAAGACCATTTTTCTACGCGAAATTTTTTCCCAAAACGGAATCGAAAACCACTGTTATAATACAAAACATATTTAATCACCAAAATTTCTTATCGAATATTTTGTTTCCACCCTTTGTTTCGTTGTAACCAATGCTCTATTTCCATTAATGAAATTATAAACTACGTTTTGTACGTAAAAAATACAAACAATTGTCTTAGTCACATACATCTTATCATGTGCGGAAAGTGTTTTAACGATATTCGCTAATACGTTTTCACGATGAAACTTTTTTATGTTTTGTTCTCATTTAAGAGCGCATTTCAAACAAATTTATCGTACAATATTTCCCGTAGCACCTTTTATTCTCTGAAAAATAATAATTAGTGAACAACGATCCATGAATTAACAAACGCTCTCAAGGAATGTATGCAAATTTATTTATATACTTGCTGCATTATGTGTCTCAAGTTTGAAATAAGTTCTGAATCAAATGGCAAAATTATAGGTGTAAAAATAGTGTAGAGAAGCATAGTGTAGCATTTCGTATATAAATATGTCAAAGGTCGCTTACTACATTGACTTTACATTTTTAAAACAAAAACAAACCGATTGTTAACTTTCTCTGGAGTAAATATTACGACGTAGAAATCAAAACTGTTTTTATTCAACACCTTTGGAGTAATTTTTTTTTTATCGTTTAGCAAACCAAACAGTTTTACATGAAATCTATAAATAAATAGATGGGATTTTTCGAACGGAGAATTTTTAATTGTAAAAATGTAACTGTTGTGCATTAGATTCGTACTATTCGATCCACCATATGATGGATTGAATCGTTAAATGAATTAACAATTAGATATTTATTGCGATTCGGATTTTCGTTTGCATGCTATGTTTCATGTTCAATTTGATAGCATGAGCACATGAACATTCAAACACAAATTCACACGTTTCTACTGTTTTGACGCGGTTCATTTAAGTGAACGGTAAATTTTCAGATTCGTGTTAAAATTCTGAACGTGATTTTATGAATAAAATATTCTGACAGACAAAAAAAAATTAATAAGCGCGAATAATAGCGCTTTATGATGAGAAAAGAAATACCGTTTGCTTCCTACTTGCATGTGAATTGCCTGTACGTTGTGTGCAATGATGTGCTTATATCGCAAATTTCTTCGAATCCAATAACAACACTTTCTACTGTTTGAAATTTATCACTGCTCAATGAAGGCAAATATCAATGGGCCGAATATGGATGTAATGTTCTCTATATAAAAATAGGCGAAATTCAATGAAAAGAAAAAAACCGAAAACAGAAATTGCAGCTAAACGCTTTTTCAGTTTGTATTGAAAATAGCAAAATACTGCCAATTTGGTCATTTTTTTTTCTAATTTTGTCTTGTAGTCGATTGAATTATTTACCAACTTGATTGTAACATGACTATTTTGGTCAATGATTTTAATCGGTGGGTTAGTGCAAGCGAGTTCATTTAACGTAATAGATGCTAACCAATTGATTCAAGCAATATTTTCATAACATTTACATGCTTCTCACTTCTATCATAGTAAATTAAACTAACACCGTTGGTGGTGTTTTAATATCTTTTTATATGGAAACATTTTTATCCATTTATTCAACCAAAAATAAGGAAAAATGATCGATTTATTTCTAAAACAAATTGGAAAATATTGATGAAAAAAGTTTAAATATGTTTGTACAAGTACATTGTTATTATTGATTTTGCGGTGTAGGAGTTAGAATGAGTCTCTATGAATGGCTTCTTACTTGAATTTGATACCATACAAAGTTTTTCAATATTCTACAGTTACTAGATAGAATAAGAACGTTACCCACTTCGTGTACATTTCATTCTCATAGATTTAAAACATGTGGCGCTTGGAGAATCAGCCAGCTTTAAAATTTGAAACCAACAGAAGTGGCACCTTAATTTGATACTTTATCGCCATGTGTCAGCTTACAGACGCGCTTCGCGTAAACAAATTAGTCAGCTAATGTAACCTAAAAAAGCATAAATCACAATTTAGACCCCAACTCTAGCTCCACACAGTGTTATGTAAAGCGTAGCTTTTCTAATGAGATAATAATTACAAACAATTAATAATTTATATTTTGCATTAAATCCGCTGAAAGTTGATTGCGTTCATTTCGCTTGCTATTGAAAGATATTAAAATTAAAGTTGTGGTGGGGTTGGTGTGAATTAAAAATGTTCAGGCTGAGCAAGCACTGTGCGCTGTGACTGGATTTCAGTTCGTCATTGCTATTTGAATAAAGCGCTTGTAAAACAGATTGAAAATAAAATCGAAAACAGCTTCGTCCAAATAAATTTGTTTTAATTTAAAATTTAATTGATTCCATTCCAGATGGTTTCATGGAAACCTATCGGGCAAAGAAGCTGAAAAATTGATTTTGGAACGTGGAAAAAACGGATCATTTCTAGTACGTGAATCGCAAAGTAAACCAGGCGATTTTGTGCTTTCAGTTCGAACCGACGATAAGGTAACGCATGTCATGATTCGGTGGCAAGATAACAAATATGATGTTGGCGGTGGTGAAAAATTCCCAACGCTATGTGAACTAATTGAGCATTATAAACGAAATCCAATGGTCGAAACTTGTGGTACAGTGGTTCATTTGCGTCAGCCATTTAATGCAACACGCATCACAGCGGCTGGTATTAATGCACGTGTCGAACAATTGCAAAAGGAAAACGGACAACATTGTTATGGAAAGGTAATTATAAATCATTTCATGTGTAAATATTCATAAATAAATTTTAATTTTAAAATAAAATTCAATTATCAGGGAGGCTTCTGGGAGGAATTCGAATCACTTCAACAGCAAGAATGTAGACATACATTTTCACGGAGAGAAGGACATCGAATTGAAAATCGTAACAAAAATCGATATAAAAATATTTTACCATGTAAGCGAAAATTTTTGCATAATAAGTTTTATTTTTGCAATTCAATTTATAATTTATTCGTTAATTAATAAATAATCGTTTGTTTTAAATTCATCAAGTCGATCATACGCGTGTGAAATTACTCGACGTTGATACAACGCAACTCGGTGCTGAATACATTAATGCCAATTACATACGACAACCATCCGAAACTGAACAATGTGATATGAACTCATCGTCAACGGAAAATTTGAGTTTGTCATTGTGTGCGGCTTGTACATTTGCACAACAACAAAAGAATTGCCAAAACTGTCAACTACTGAATAAAACATGTGTTCAATGCGCCATGAAATCGGCTGTAATTCCATTGAATGGAAATTGCTCCAATTGTGGAAAGAAATCTGAAGTAAGTTTTCAATAGAACAAACGTTATGAAACTTTTTAATTTTATATTGCCAATTTGTAAAATACATGCTATCTTAAGTTGTGCGTCACAAGCAAAACGTTGAAAAAGAGATTTAAGAATCAACAAAATTTAAATGATAAGTTTTTAAAATTTAAGAAAAACTTGAACAAAATGCACATTTTCGATTCTTCCTCCTTTTGAGGGAAAAAAGTTTAGCATATCATAGAACTTCGTATAGATGCTTGCTAACTATGCACTTCTGAAGATATGTAGGCATTGTATTTCAATGCAAGCACATCACATTTTAAATGTCAATCTCAATGATGTTGCCACCATAAAAATAATACGGAAATCATCATTTACTACGTAATTTTAATTTATTTCTCTTTTCTACTTAAAACAGGGAAAACATAAACGCAGTGAATCGATAACATCACGTGGTTCAACCATAACACTGAAAAAAGATGAGAAAGAATCGTGTAAAACATATATTGCGACCCAGGGTTGTTTACCAAATACGATAATCGACTTCTGGAACATGATATGGCAAGAGAACACTCGTGTTATTGTGATGACTACCAAAGAATTAGAGCGTGGCAAAACGAAGTGCGCAAGATATTGGCCAGATCAGGGACAAACAAAAGAATGGGGACATGCCAAAGTTACCTGCTTAACGGAAAGTTCAACCAATGACTATACGTTGCGTGAATTTTTATTTTCGTGGAAAAATAAGGATGAACGTCACATATACCAATATCATTTTCAAGTTTGGCCCGATCATGGTGAGTTTACACGACTTCAGTTTTTAATGAACACAATTTTATATATGAATTTTTTAAAAATGTCTTTAGGTGTTCCGGCGGATCCTGGATGTGTTTTGAACTTTTTGCACGATGTGAATGCTCGGCAAGAACAAATTAGATCCGATAACATTAATCCGGTTAGTATTATAGTTTAAATTTAAGCGAATGAACAAAACATTAACGATTTTTTTTTTTGTTTTCGATTTTCACAGGGTGCGGGTCCGATTGTTGTTGTAAGTATAAAAAAATAAATAAATAAAAATTACCATAAGCAATTAATTTTAATTTTCTTTTCTCCCTTTTACTTTTCTCGCAAATAGCACTGTTCAGCCGGAATAGGCCGTACGGGAACGTTCATTGTCATTGATATGATTTTGGATACAATCGATCGTAATGGTCTTGATACAGAAATCGATATTCAACGTACTATTCAAATGGTCCGTTCTCAACGATCGGGAATGGTTCAAACCGAAGCCCAATACAAATTCGTTTACTATGCCGTACAACATTACATCCAAACACTATTCCACAGAATGAGGGCTGAAAGAGAGAGCCTTCAAGTTGGCCGTGAATATTCAAATATTAAGTATGTGGACGAAGTTTATGTTTAAAATATGAATTTTATGCCGTCTGACGTCGAAAACCTCGAAACAAATCAGCACATCCATCATCTATATTTGATGCAGTAGTTCCTTTTAATTTGTACTCTTTAGATTTAATTACAAATGTACTATATATATATCATTTAACCTATAATTTTAAGCTTTCAATAGAGCTCAAACTGAAGCAGGAAAGCAATAAAATAAAAATAAATCATTGATTTTACGTATATTTCTCAAAACGAATGCACAATTTGCAGAGAATAAATGATGAAAAAACAAATTGTTGAAATATTTCTGCTGACCGCAAAAAACATCACGGCCAGTAAACGTTTTAAACTTTTTCATTCATTCTGGTGTCACTCTATTCAGACTAAATTTGTCTTTATCTTTTCAAATCGATATCTTCTAGTCTTTGGATCGCATTGTTTCTTATTAAGGCTCCAATCCAAAATATTAAGGCTTAACTATTGAAGTCTGACTTATTGATCAATTGTTAAAGTCTTGACATAAATTCTAGATTAGATTTTTTTTTTTTTAATTAGAAACCAATTACGTTCTACGTCAATATTGAATTGTTTTCTTTTATATGTATTAAGCTAATGTTTTGGTTTTAATAGAATACTACTGCACAAAATGAAATATATCAATTTTAGAAATGGAATAAAAACGCACCGATCGTGTTTCCATAAATGGAAACACAATCACAAACACAAGATGAATGATTGATGGTGTAAGTACATGTTAGCGCTTAATTCCAAATGCGGTCATATACCTGTATGTAAGTGTATATAAATTCAGAAGAGTTAGACATCAATATTAGATCCCACGATATTTGCTTCTCACGTCAGCTTCCTTATTTGAATTTAAAAAATACATGTGCTTGATATTCTGTGTATTCTCTGCAAAAACTAAAATCAGGTTGAATATTACGTAGAAGACGTCGAATTCGAATTCATTTTAAGTTCTCGTTGTATAATAGCACCTTGTCATAATAAAGTCACAATGCTCCATCTTAAAATAGGCTTGAATGTATCGGTTATTGCCATTTCTTAATCGAATGAAAAATTTATTGGATAGGCCCCTGGAGTTTAGTAATGATCAGTCAAATACTTGTTGATGTTGTTAATTGTTTCGCAAAAGGTTTTGACGCCAGTCAAAAAGTTGAATCTATTTTTTTTGGAGACGGACAAAAGCTGTAACATTCCAATTTCGTTTTTTTTTGACAGATATTCCGGTGATCTTAACGAACTACAGCGATCACCGCTGCCGGCTTCAATGTCAAATTTGTGTATAAACAAAAACGATACTATCAATCAGAAAAAAACGAGGTAAATGGCATAAACTTGTATTTTTTTCGTATTTTTTGACATTTAAATATTTTTAATTCCATTTTATGTTTATTATTAATAGATCAACATCCGAGGCGCAAATAACTCCACTGCGACTAAATGACGTCACCACCTCGACGGGTAAGTACAATTTATTTGAAGAAAAAAAATGTGTCTATTAATTGTTGAACTCAATAACGAATTGCTTTCTTTCGCTTTATTTTAAGTATATGAGAACATTCCCAAAGTAACAAGACCACCACCAACTCCACCGAGAAAATCATGACACATAATGGATTTCTAAGCACTTCTCAATTATTATTTTTATTATTATAATGATTATTATTATACTGTTGTGTTACTGCTTTTTTATGTATAGATTATAAAATTTTGTTGTAAATGTGATGATGATAATGATGTTAAAAACGATAAATTGGGCATTTGATGTTTTCATTTTTGTTATTGAAATAGGAAAAAAGGCAGAAAACCAAAATGATATATATACATATTTAATTGTCTTAACTGACATAATAGCTTAAGCAAATATACTATATAAAATATTTCGTCGTTGAAATAGTGATTAAATAGTCGAGTTTAAAATTCAAATTTCAATAACAACTCATTTCAAATAGGCCTGATTCCTGTTTAAAGTGCAATCATGTATAACCAAAAAAAAAACAATGTCAAAAGAATCGAAAATCAATGGCCTACTATATGTATGAATATTATCGTGAAAATAAGTTGAATAAAAACTTAAATAGTGTTTTCTTTTTTTAATTTCATGTGAGTTTTAGACTTTGAATTTACTTTTATTCTACAGGGCGACCAAGCGGGAAAATATTTTATAGTGGTAAGTATTTAAAAAGGCTTCAAAAATAATCATACTATATTTCTAATAGAATTAAATTTCGATACTTTTACTCTCTGACGGTTTCATTATGAGTTAAGGTAAGAAATTTATAATGCAAGAATCCGTGATCTGAACAGATGGGGTGTAATCTAACAAAAGTTTGGTATCATTTGGTATAACTTACTTGGTTTGCTATATAAAAAGGAACGATGCATTATATAAGGAAGAAATTTCTTCTGTTGTTTTAAACTTATCATAAAATTATTATCGCTTATAGATGATATCTAGAATAATGGTATTAACGTAGAAACTATCGACACCGCTTTATCATATGAACAAAATGTGACAAGTACAGACCTTGTTGGGGCACATCTGATATATGCTTAATTTTTCTAGGATCTATCTAGATTCATTCTATTCAATAAATGTATATTACAATAGATATATACTTCATGAAACTAACTAACCAGTAAAGTACCCAAAGTGTGAATTAAAGTTTTTGATGTCACAAAATGAAAATGACATTTTTCCTACAATTTTAGCCAGCCGGTCCAAATTACTTTTTTCTATCTAATGATGCAAGTTGGCTAGTTTTGGTCCATAATTTATTTTAAGCACTTGGGAGCAATGATCCAACATTTATGAGAGATTTGGGCCACCCTATTGCACATAGCAAATTGTGAGCAATGAACGTGGGGCTAAAATATGAAAATGGATCATGGTATATCCGCACTAAAATTCACTTCTAAACCTACTTCAATGACTGAATTTGATCAATTTTAACCGCATAAACAATATCAATGCTATTTGAAAGCGTTCTGGCCTGATTTGCGCATTGCTATACTGGCCGGGGTGAATGCATGTTTTCAACTCGCAATATAAAATGGATCGTTTTATGAAGAACCAAAATTGACATTCAATTGGTTTTAAATCATAGTTTTTTTTTTGCTGAAATCGATAGAATATCATGAAATATCACATTTAGAGCCATTTAATCCATATCTATATGTAAAACGTTTGATTTTTGAGTGTGCAATTTTAAAGACAAAACTGCTTTAAAAGGTATTTATCATCTAATCAAAAAAAATCCTAATTTTGATACCTTCTTAACACTTAAACGGTCTTGTTAACACTAAGATGTGATAATTCATTAAATTTTAACGATTTCAGCCAAAAATGTATGATTTAAATAACATGGAATGTCAGTTTTGGTTCTTCATAAAATGGTCCATTTTATATTACGAGTCGAAAACATTCCTTTACATCGGCCAGTATAAACAAGCGCAAATTTGACCAGAATGCACTCAATCAGCATGGATTCTGTTCATGAGATCAAAACTGACCGAATACAGTCGTTTAAATAGTCTAATATGTGACTTTTAGTGCGGATATACCATGATCCATATTCATATTTTGGCCCCATGTTCATTGCTCAAAATTTGCTATGCAAATAACAGTGTTCCAGCTATACGATGCGTTCAAATGGATGTATACCACAGTGGAATCACATTATTTTTGCTCTGAAAAAAATGTTGGTCAAAAAATCGAAAATTTTACCTGAAAATGTATTTTATTTTCATCCAAATCATTTGAAACTTCTCCAGTCGTTAGTTTATGGTCGAAAATGATGTCCTCAGTTCATTTTGAGTCGATGTGGTTGTTTGAAGTTGTGTTTAAATTAATCAAAAATGCTATATTTCAAGAAATTCACATAATGATCGATACAGGCATTGATGCCGACATAAAGTGCTCGACTTAACGTGATGATATCATCGTGAAACTTTGCACACGTGATCTACACAACAAATAAGGAAGAAGGTGGTGAACCAAGTTGAATTTCATAAAAGTTGTTTTCGCGGCCACTCTATTCTGCACCCAAAAAGTGAAAAATTGACTTTTCATCATTTTACCCTAATGGGGGCTCTGAATTTTCCCAAAATTTAAAGGGGTAACATTTTACTTTTTCTATTTGGTCTCTCGCAAATTCAATGTATAGTTGTAGTAAGTTAAATCACCTGTACTCTATCAACCAAAGCTGCTCAAAATCCAATGGTTTCTATTCCTCGTAACCCATGGGGCGAATCACCCTAGAGAATACTAGAAAAACTAGTGAATCTAGTGCGAAGAATGACGTCAAATACGAAGCCAGCTTCACACCAAAGGCCATATAATTTATATGAAAAACTACTGAGAGACAACTTCACGCACTAGAATTTTCTAGTTTTCTAGTGAAATTTTCGAAGCCTGATCATGCCCGTAACTAACAACACCTCTAATGCGTATTCCGAGTACTAATCGAAGTTTGTGACAATATGACCGTCACAGTTTGGCAAAATCATAATGAACCGATTACACTGCGTTAAACTGTTAAAACAAAACAGTAGAAATAAATGGATTTTAATTTTTTACATTTTTGAAAATAAAAAATCTTTTGTTTTTTCACTTTTGTGTCATACTCGTGATAATCCGATTAAATAATTATTAAAACAGTAGAAATAAAAATATTTTCATTTTTTACATTTTTAAAAATAAAAATTCTTTGTTTTGTTTTGTAGTTTCCGGTAGTTTCGTGAGATTTACTGCACAATATTCAAAAATATTAAATTGATAAAAAATAAAGTGGTTGACATAACCTCACTTTCGTTTTAATAATTAATTGATCGGTTTTTCACGATTGTGACACAAAAGTGAGGTTATGTCAACCAATTCATTTTTAATAATTTAATATTTTTGAATATTGTGGACACAAAATCTCACAAAATTGAAAGAACAAAAGATTTTTTACTTTCAAAAATGTAAAAAATTAAAATCTATTCATTTCTACTGTTTTATTTCAACAGTTTAACGCAGTTTAATCTATTCGTTATGAGTTTGCCAAACTGTGACGGCCATATTGTCACAAACTTCGATTAGTACTCGGAATACGCATTAGAGGTGTTGTTAGTTATAAGGTTTATATAGGAAATACTATACCATGATCGGGCTTCGGAAATTTTATCAAAAACTACAGTGAATCTAATATATAGTAGACAAAATTTTGCATGACACACTTCACTCACACGCCATTCGTATATGAATCCTATGTTAGTGGAGAGTTTCTCTGCTTACTTTCCTTGTTATTTTGTCTATCAAAAAAATTAGATTCACTGTAGATGCAGTAGAATTTCGTGATTGACCCCATGTTGTAACCCCAATCATCATGTGAAGTCAGATTTAAAAAAAAAATCTCTGGGATGAGATAATCGATCAAAAAACACTGCATGGACATGGATGGCAAGTTAAAAAAAATTCTTGTCAATAACACTAGCAAATAAAATGTCTTACATACGTAAGATGAACTTTTCCGCACTGTGATCCATGAACATGCATTTATTACGTATAATTACCGTAAATATGAATTCATGAGAAAACTGAATCTGATATAAGTTTTGCGATACAAATAATTTTTGATAGACTTTTCAATGCCTGTATGATATAATAATCATGTGAAAATTTGCAGATGTTATTTTTTTCACAAAAAACTAACATTCTGAAAGTTTGAAGAAATTTCAATACAATTAAGTGGTACCTTCCATACAAAATTTTCGTTTTTGAGAAAAAAATCCAAAATTTTGTTCGGGAAGTACCCCTATTGTGCATGAAATCTCTTCAAACCTTCGGTATGTTATTTTTGTGTGAAAAAAATAACCTGTGTAAAGTTTCAGCTCATTACGATATCATACAGGCATGGCTTCCATACAAAAATCCAAATTTTTTGAAATTTTTGTATGAAAAGTGTGTCGAAATATATTTGTATCGCAAAACTAACGTCATATTCGGTTTTCTCGTACCCAAATACATTAAATATCACTTTTGGAAGAAAAATTGATTTTTTCCCATGGATGTCCATGGGCATCACACCAGACATGACACGTCACTCTTTCAACCAAAGTCGCTCAAAATCTAATGGTTTCTATTCCTCGGCACCCCCAATCATCCTGTGAGGTCAGATTTTGAATTACTTTTCTGGTTTGAAAGTTATCGTGTTAACAAATTTTTGCGTACAAGTACAGGGTACAGGGTACCACGCACATACATTCGGACATCAAAAAAACGCTGGATTCGTGTTCCCTGGCTCCTAAAACACCCAGAAAACACATTTTCGACCGATTCCAATAATTTACCTTACACACTAGGTGTGTGCGGAAAAGTAAAAGGGAAATCTTACCTAGGTTGAATGAAGATCCAATTAATGTGACGATTGTCTGGCTCTTTTCCCCTCATATGTATTATGAAGGCACCTTAAGAGAATGTTTTTATGTGTTAAAATTACCTGAATGAACACGAAAGAGAATCTATTAAATCAACATATTTTAAATTTGAATCTTTTTATATAACTCATACTAATGGAATTTCACTGTAAATAAGTAGAAGCAGAGAATTCATAAAAAATTATGTATATTTTACATATTTAGGTCTTAAAGGCTTAATTTGTTAGTAGAGTTCTACGACTTACCCAAAAGGTTCTAATATTAGAAGAAATGTATGTAAAAATTAAAGCGATAAAAATCAAAAACATATATTTCTCTATTTTCATTAAATTTTATTTTTATAAAAGACAAAATAATTCGTAAATAATTTCTTCACTTGAACTTATTAGAAAAATAAATGGATTACAATGCTTTGGGTAATTCATTCATTTTGAAAGGTAAGTATATATTTTTTAAATGAAGTAGGTGTCGGAATTGTTTGGATTGTCGCAACAAAACGAATTTTGAATGTAATTAATTCATTAATTTTTTTTCAAATCCTTCGGGATCTTATTTTCTATTGAAATTATACTGTTCGACAACAAACGAAAAGAAAACAAATTTTATCGATTTGCAAAATTTACAGAGCTTTTATATATAGATTGCGATCCCGTTAGTTCCATTCTTTAAAATTAGGTTCTTATAACAAAATCTAAACGACTATACTACATTTATATTCAGCTAATTTTAATGTGCTGTATGTCATTGTGAAGTGATTTATTTTCAAATAAATGTCGGTGTGTGACGTTGCTTTCATTCATGTGTTATTTAGTCTAAGATTTTCTTATTTATACAAGCAAGTAAATAACATTAGTATTCATTTCAATCCATTCCAACATATCCAACTCTTTTTTCAAATTTGATTTTTCTAGTCGAAAATTTTAAATAAGTAAATGACTTCATGCCAGCCATTTTATTTACAATTTTAGTTTACAATTAGATCAATTTAAAGTATTACTTTTGTGCTCCATCGAAACAAATAAAAATCAATCAACGTTTTTTTGTATTCTTTAAATTTATTTTACGAATATATAGTTCAAAGTGCATTGCTAGTTTTGTTCTTGTTGTCATTTGATATTTGGATGATGATTTGATACAAATTGAATGCAATTTGATTGCTTTTCGAATTGGGTCTGTGCACATTTCTGAATGAAACAATTCAAAAATTTAAACAAAAATGAAAGCAATGAAGTGCTTGATTAAATTAAAATTTGTGTACGTTTGTTCCTTTGTTAATTGAGTTTGCATTCTCGAATGCGTATAAATAAACATAGTTTTCTAAAATGAAAATAATATATTGTAGGTTTTGTGATGTATTTAAAAAGGAATTTTTCGGGTTATTCGAATGAATGATTTATTCGTTTTGTGTTTCAAAACAAAATGAGAAAATGATGTGAAAAGAATTGCTAAATTGTGTGTGAATGAAGAAAAAATTCATATTTTACACATATGTTTTGATGAAACCCTATGATTTGAGGCTAATACAGATCGATTGGCAGCTTTCGACTGAAAATGACCAGCACAACCTGATGTTCTAAGAATTTAAACTTATAATTAAGAAGAATTTTCCAGTGAAAAAATTTTTGTTTTTAAAAATATTCTTGTATTCTTGTTGATTTTTTTCATGAGTGTTTTTTTTTCTTTGTTTGTAAGTTTCTTTGTTTGCAGATATCAATTTACAGTGCATAATTAAAAGTAGCATCTATTAATTAAAATAGTAGATAAATAGTACTTTTTTCTGTAGCATTTGTTGCACGTCAAGCGTTGTTTCATGTCATGAGTCAAAAGTCAACGAATTATCCATTTAACCCATTTTTATTTTTTAAAGTTTGTTTTTTTTTGTTCCGATTGAATAAATCTTCAAGAAATTAATTTGTTTATGGTGTGAAAACACTTTAGAAATGAAACACCGTCATTAGAACATTTTTGGTGTGTATGCCAATTTCTTTCTATAAAAATATAACTAACACAAAGGGAAAGTGTGTTTTGTTTTGTTTTAAATGAACAAATAAATACCTATACAATGAAAGCTTAACGTTAATTTTCATATTTCCAATTTTGTTCGGAACTTACAAAAAGCACAAGAAAAACTTGTTTAGAATTATATATATGCCATTATTGAGTTGCCTTACAGCAGTTCAATTGAGTTCTGTGAAATTTAATAACTGTCATATTTTACCGCACAACTTCCTTTTCTCTTCAGAAGCATATATACTTTTTTTTTATTATTATTTTGAAATATTGTTGATGCCATGGCTGATTTTCATTCGATATTCATTGAATATCTTCCATAATTTATTGGTTCGATTGCACACAGTGATTTTGCACATTGCAATAGTTTTGCTTGTTATACAATTTTAATTAAAGTAGACATTTTTAGCTGCACTGTGTTTAATAGCCATGCACGATGTACACAACATAGATACGTGTTCCTCTTCACCTGTCGTCGGATTCACTTGATATTCATGAGTCCATTTGGCAACGGCTAAGAGTTTTTGCTTTTGTTGTACTGTCAAATTTGGATTGTTGTGACCCTCTGGACGTCGAGCACCACAAAGTGTACATACGGTACAAACTGCACAATGCCATTTGCCTGAAAATATAATTGAATAATTAAATATCATAGTATTTATTTTGAGTGGTATAATTTTGAAATGCTCACCATTTGGAACTTTTCTCAATCCGATACAATAAATATGATAACTACGATCACATTGATCACAGAAAAGCATTTTGTCTTCGTTTTCACTACGTCGACATTTAATACAATTTTTGCAGTTTTTACACTGCCATGCATACTCATTGACACGACGCGCCATTCGTGCAGACATTTTTAAGCAGGATGGATGTGCTAAATTTTGCATGAAATTAAAATTTATGTTAACCAATTAATTTCTCGGATTTTAACTTCAATTCCTCATGAACTTACCATTCCCTTTACAATGTGTACAGCTAACAAATATCTCTGGTTTTTTCTGCTGATTGCAACGTTCTGGTCCACTGCAAACTTGACATTTGTTTCTTTCACTTTTGGGAATTTTCGGCACTGATTTTGTTTCCTCTTTCGGTGGTTTATCAACATTTGCTTTGTTTTCTACTTCCAATTTAACTGTAGTTTCATCATCAGTTGACTCGTCACTTGAACTCGTTGAATCCTATGGGTAAAATTAAGAATTTATTTAAAACAATTGAATCTCATTTCGATTTTGATAATTAAAATAGACAGGCTTACATCTGAACTATCGGAGTCATCACTATCACTATTTGATGAACAACTACTGTCACTGTCACTGTCACTGTCATTTCCACTTTCTTCATCACTGATGTAATGAGTACGACGCGTTTTGTTATAATACTCCCGTAGTTTTTGATCCAATTGATACGGATCTGCTAGAACTGTGTTGATTGGATAACATCTGAAATGAGAATATTTTTACGTTTTAGTATCAATTTCAATGTATTTGATTAGGTGTTTTATTAATTGCTTACAATAATTCAGCGGGACTATATTTGCGATAGTATTCTTGGAATTGGCCTGGAACCAATGCAACTGGATAATGTGAAGGTTTCGTTGCAGGACGGTTTTGTCGATTCCGATGAATCTCGGGTACTTGTATAACGAAGTTCTGTAAATCTAGACATTCGAGTCGATTTTCCTTTCTCCTGTAACATTTAATCATAAAACATTTAAGAAAACTGTCTCTTTTGAATCAATTCAAATAAATTCACTGTACTCACGATCGATTAAAGTCTGTGTTCCACATTGATGCTGCTCGCATAGCATTTTCACGTGCACTCAAACTTTTGCCCAGAATTCCGGCCTGCATCTGCTTTTGTCGTGCGGCCAAGTCTCGGATTTGTTTCTCTCGTAAGTACCTCCGATATTCCTCGTACTTTTCAAAAAAGTCATTGTTCATAATATCTAATATGTCACTGGCGAGAACGGCTGTTAATCCCAAATCGCACATTTTCTCCGATACTAGCCCTTTTTCCATCAGATAGTTTCGCTCTTCCATTTCCACCATGCGACGTGGCAAATCTGGATATTTTCGTTTGAAACTTTTTACACCCAAATACTCAGCAATCTGCTCCTGGATCATGTATGTATCACGATTTCGAGACGGGCAGCATCCTTTTGGCGGTGGCCAATCATATTCGGCTATCATATCAACCGTGAATTCCGTTCTTCTGTTTTCGGCGAAGGATTAAAATCGAAATATTTCATTTATAATCATTATTCATTAAAACGTTTATTTGAATACATACCCTTCAGGATCGACTACTTCGATTTTTGACCGTATTTTCTTTGTTGAATTTTCAACAGTTGCACTTGTACTACTATGTAATGAACTCTGTGATTCGTCATTTTGAAGGAACTCCGTTGTTCTGAAATTTTCACAATTAAATTAGTATTTATGTATCCAAACCCATGCTACAAATATAAAATATTTACCTAATCGAAGGGGATGCAAATAATGAATCCGCACTCATCCGTGTATCTTCTTCGAATACTAATTGTAATCCTGGTGTTGTTGTGTCTTTTGGTGCCACTTTTCGTAATTCCTTCAAATTTTCAAATTAAAAAAATTCAATTAGTAAATTCTTTAATGTCTGAATGTGAACACTTAAATAAATTTTAGTAACAGGTGTTTGCTTTACTCGTATGATTCTTAGATTAAGATTACAAACTCAAAACTTGTTTTGAATAACTAGTTTGAATTAAATTCAATAAATGATTTCAATTAATTGATAGTAATATTTAAAGAGACTAATTATTCGACATTTATTTTCTAACCTTCCAGATAAAAATAAAATCAATAGATTTTGATAGTTATTTTAAGTGTAAAGTGCATCTAACCTACATCAAATTATAAGCAAACTAACTTGGAATTTCAAAATAAATAACAAAATAATTTGAAGAGTTGTATTATTAAAAATACATCGTTTTATGAGTTTGCGATAAGTTTTCATGCTTTTTTATCCATTGTAAATTTTCTGGATACAATGTTGTGTTATTGCGCATGTCAATTGAACTACGAAAATTGCTTCTAATATTATATGCATATCAATAATCACAAACAATTTCTTGAAGATTTGTAAAGTAAAACGATTTCATTGAAGCTATGTGTTTCGATTATTCACGCAAACGAGTAAAGCTTGGACGCTTTTGTCGTAGTTTTTCATCAAGTACGCTGAGAGCATGACAGTTGGCGTTCATTGAATTCTTACAGATAAATAAACATTATCAGAGACAAGCGGCTTTTACATTGACTCGACTCGCATGACACAGTTACTCTTAGCGCAAAAAAAGTGACACACATACTCGCAACCTATCCACACACGTGTATACGTGGCCCTCATATTAGCGGTGAAATGTATTGCGATTGAATCAAAACGTTTACGCGACTTACGAAGTTCACTCTCGCACACACACACACACTCACACATACATACTTGACTACACACAGCCTGTCGGCTGAAACATGTGTTTCATGTGTAGCGTTAAAGGCAACCAACTAACTAACCGAAAATACGATTTGTATAAATAAAAGCATTAGTCGTGTTCATTCACAAAAACTGAATGCAGAAAGAAGCGAGACAAAACATGGGTTATTTATTTATCTCGGTTACATATTACATTGCTAGGGATGCACGCAGACGATGATTTTTTATAGACTCTAAACGGTATTAACTATCGAAAAAAAAAATCAACGAAAAGAACTTACGATTCCTTCGGGTGATGTGAATACTGCATTTTCATTCGCTTTATCAGATGGTGATAATAGTTGGACTTTTCGCTGTTTTTTTGACAATAAATTGTGTCGACTTCGACGGTTTTTACCCCTGGACTTTTTAGTACTTCGTAATGGATTAAATGTTGGTGACTCGTCATCGTCATCGATTATAATTCTCTTTTTCCGTTCTTTCGGCACACTTGGTGTTGTTGGTGATATTAGGCCTACCGTCTTATCAAATGATGACTGTCCTGATACCGGAGTAGCGATGAGCTCGTTCATCGATACATCAACTCCTACACACAATTCGGTTTGTTCGATGTCTTTTTCTGACGATTGTATCGGTTGAATCGGTGATTCATAGGTATCATTCTCACTTGTATCCATTGCTATTGGTGCTGTGGTCGACGTGATTGTCATCGAGTCAGATGTTGCTAGAACATCAGCTCTTTCTTGAATCGTATTGGCTATGTCTTCTTGAGGATCTAATTGTACTGGGGGTATATCAACCGGAACCTGTTCTAGAGGTGCCATTGATGTAAGTGATTCTGCTGCAATTGTATTCACTTCTAAGGTGGGCTCTTCAATTTGTGCATTTTCTTGAGACATTAAAATACCTGCAAATTTACGTTTTTTACCCGGAGTTTTAGCTGGTTTTCTGTAAATAAATTTCGTATAGAGTCGCAGTTAGTAAGATTTAAATGAAAATTTTGGTTTTTACTACACAATACTGTGCCATATTTAATGTTTGTACTTACTTTTCGATCGTTTTGGGTGTTGTTCCTTTGCGTGGACGTCCACGCGGTCGTTTTACAACTGGCGTAGCATCTTCTTCATTTATCGATTTTACTGAATTTGATACATCAACACCTGAATCACGATCGATACACTCTTTTTTACGACCGTTTTGTTCAGCCGAATTCTCACCATCACCGAATTCATTCGTAAATGGATCAGATGCAGTGTCTTCGATTACAATGCAATCTGAATCAGAGCCTTCGTTTTCCATTAGCAAATTCTGAGCGGTAGATGTTTGATTAAATTCATCAGTTTTTGCCATATTATTATTGTTGCTTCCATTAGTTGATCGTTCTTTGTTGTTGGCTGCTTCCATCATGGCAGCCAACACATTAGCTCGTTCAATATCTTGTTGAAGTAATGGATGTATTGGTTCGATTTGTTCTTTTTCACTTTCATTGTAGAAATACTGCCAATTATAACTAGATTTTTTGCTTTGTTCCGAATTTCGATTTTGTTTGCTCGCAGACGTTTTATTTGTATCAATCAATTCTGGATTTTGTTTTGTATCCAACAATGTATGTTCTTTTGACGTAGACTCTTCATCTAATGGGACATCAATCATTTGATCGTTACTATCATGATCACAAAGATCGATAACGTCATTTATTTTCGAGCTACTATCACTGGTACTTTTAAACGGAGGTAGAGTTTGTAAAAAGTTTTGTATTGGTTGCGGTTGAATTTTTAATTGAGGTCGCGTGAGAATCGATCGCAAGCCAGAATTTGTATCAAATGAGATTGGCGGTGTTGGTGCGATTTCGTGTACAATTGAATCTCTTTTGATATTCGATTGATTTTGATTCGAATCATTATGGTTATTATTTGTTGTTGGTTGCTCGTCAATCATATCATCTGGTTCTGAGTCCGAGCTAAGCAATTGTACAATATCGGTGCCGAGTTTTTGTTTCTTAGCTAGAACATTATCCGATTCATGATTTGATCGCTTCAACTCATTTTGTTTGGCTGCTTGCGATGAATCATCACGTGCAATTGGCTCTTCGGCAATAATCGTTGTTGATGTTAGCGTTGACGCATCATTTGTTTGTGACGTTGAATTTTTATTTATCTTCAGAATAATTCTCGGCGATTGTTGACTTTCATTTTCTGAATTTCTAAATGGACTATTCTGCCCCGACGTTATTATTTCCAGTGGTTTTTCAATTGATTTTGGTATTGATTTTAGTATGTTTTTTGGTGTCACTAATTGCGCTCCAGAATTTGTTTGCTTCAGATTTTCATTTGGATTGACCACGGGTTTGATTGTTACCTTTGGTATAACAATATTATCATCGTGTGTCTTACGTTTTGTTTGTTTCGGCAATGGTGATTCTGTTCGGCCAATCTCGTTTCGCGTTTCATTTTGTTCGGTTTCATTGTGAATCACTTGAGGATAATCTATGTTGGACAGCTTGATATTCAGTTTTGGAATCGAATCATTTGAGTTCACTGTCGATGATGTTACTACATTTGAAGTTATGTTATTTAATTTTGACTGTTCTCCACTACTTGAAACTTTTAGATTGTTTGCAGATTTCGTAGACGATGGAGAATTTCGCATGACTGATGGATTCGGACTCACAACACAACCGCCGGTTGATGTCGCCTGAAAATACCAAGAAAAATATGAATTAGTACATTTGAAACATTCATCCGCCGAAATATGGTTACAGTTTATTTATACACATACTTTTATAATTAATTTAATGTCATTATTTGCATTGGCAGTGCTTGAACTACTGCTGTAACTTGAAGATGATCCAGAGCTACATGTCGATAAATTATCTTCAGCATTTGGGCCAGAAAATGAGGATGATGTTGATGTAATTGCATGCGTTGCATATTCACTTCGTGATGATACTTTGTCATTCGGTGATGGTTGACTTGATGGTGGCTGTGACGGTAATTCATCACTTGATTCATCTGTTTGTTCACTATTATTCAGTATCACCACTTTTGCGGTATCGTTGAACGCATTGGTTATCGTAAATCTTGGAAGTGGTGGTTCAGCTATTGGTTTAAGCGTCAATTTAACTCCAGCATTGGATACTAAACTTCTCGGTGATTCTCCAGCCGCACTGTGTAGATTATGGTTATCTAGCTTAATTGTCACCTTGGGAACCACTTCATTGGATACTGTGCAATTGCTCTCATCATAACTATTTGAACCGATCGATAAATTTGTCGTTGAGCTACGCGCTGTAGCTAACCTGGAGAGAGTGAGAAAATAACAAGTTTGGTCGTTAGTTCTGAGTTTTCAAACAGTAATTTAAAATATTAAAAATTTAAGATATTGAAAACCAAACTTATAATGTAATAAATGCAAACCAAAATATCAGACTTACTTAGGCACACTGGAACTCGATTCAGATAGTAAATGTGTTTGGTAATTGCCACTGATATCGTCATTATTCGAAGCTGCCGAATGCGTTGGCAACGGTGTCAGATTACTGTTAATATTATTTGAATCAATTTTTTTTATTTTCAATTTTGGTATTGCTTCTTGTGATGATGACGGCACATGTGAACCCGCACTATGATTATGATGGTGTTCAAATTCCGTTGGTGGCTTAACAATGGGCTTTATTATGATTTTCGGGTATGATTGTTGATTTTCATGTGGCATTTCGTTGTCATCATCATCGTCATCGTTACCAGCCGTACTGGATGATGAAGATTTAGGTGACATACTTTGACGATCTTCTGGCGGCGGTCCCAATTTAATTTTTGTTTTAATCGGATCCCGATTAATATTTATCCTCAATGGTTCCACTTTTCTAGAATCCATTTTGCTTGGTGAATCGGAAATAGTCACATCAATGTGATTATTATCCAATGCAATGGTTTTGTTTGATTGTTGAAATTCAGCTGAAAACTCTTGCGTTTCGGTGTCAGCTGAATTGATGGATGTCGAAGGTAGCGTTTGCTGGCTATATGAATCATCCGATTCTCTTACTTGTTTATTAGTCGTCACAATTACACACACTTTATTCGCGCCACTAATATTTATTGGTTCAATGTCTCTGTTCGAAAAATTGTTCGATATCAATGAGCTGTTGTCGTCACCATTCTGAGCATCATCAACTAAACTAAATGTATTATTATTTGCAATCGCACTGTTATTATCGTCTGATTTTATTGTTGAATCGGTGCAATTTCGTGCCAATGGACCGCACATTATCTCGTCATAATGGTCCTGTTTAACGTATGCATTTTGTCTATTTTCATAAATTTTAGTCACTTCACAAGTACCACTCGCAACACTATTCACTTCGAAACTCTGTTGCAATTCTTGATTTTGTTTTTGTTTCGACGTATCAGAATCATTCATCTGTATCAAATTTGTTGGCTGATTTGGTGTGTCGCTGATTTTCGTCGAGTTATTCCCATTGTCAATTAACACTTGGTGCGGATCTACCATTCTACTTTTGATAAATACAAATAAATTAGCCTCGTGTTGACGATTTTTATTTTGGTTTAACCGATAAATGACAACAATTCAACGTCACCAAATGAATTGTTGATCATTTTGACCGCATTTTCGATGAAAATAGGTTGCATTTTCACAATTTTATACATAGCACCGTTTTCGAAATGCTTAATTCGATTTTCCTCTTTTTCGTAGTTCACTTTTGGTTTACACTTTTATTTAAAAACAAAAAAATTATTTATTTTTTAAAATGCACATGTTAAATTAAAATTGGTCAAAAAACACATTTTTTGAATTAATATTCGAAATTTAAAAAATGCTCACTAAGTTGCTGTAGCAAATTTCAAACTTTTCACTGTTTATGTTTTTGTTTAAAGAAAATAAATTTTTTTCGTTTTTTATTAAATCAACGAAAATTACAATTTTAATTAATTTTGTCGATAAAAAAAATGTGAATTAGTGGCTTGGTTTATTTCAGCTCCTATAGCTGCTGTTTGTTCAGTATACTTTCAGATATAACATGTAATGAAATCAGCCATTTGCAATTTTTTATTTCAGCTCTCACTCTCCCGTCGATCTGTCAAAAAAAATTGTACACATGAAAATAAGAAGAACTGTCCAATATGATTTAATTTCGAATATTGAATTGTTCGATTTGGTCGCGCGCAAAATTATTACACAGTGAGCAGAATTTTTTTTTCCCGTTTTCACACAACTCTTTCTAAACTCTGTGAGGCCAGAAAACACATGAAATTCCCTATACACGAAAATTTATGAACTCACTGCACTGTAGAGAGCACACAGTGCAAAATCAGTTCGTTCATTCGTTTGTTCATTCGTTTGTCCATTCGTACGTTTTTTCATTTCATCGCACACACATTTTTCACATTGACTTACGACTCAAATACGACTTCAAATATGTATGCCAGAATATGCCATACACAATCAAAAGCCCATATAAAGTTAGTGTTGTGGTTGAATGTGTGTCTCTGTGTGTATGTGCATATATATGAGTTACACAGTATTTGGTATAAAACATAAACGATTTATGTATTTGATGTGTGAGAGCAAGAGACTATATTAATGTATAACGTACGCTTGTCATAATATATGGTTTCTGTTTCATTCTCTTTTTTTAATTCTTCTTTCTTCTTTCTTGCCTCTATCTTTTAAAACGGCGCGCGCGAAAACCAAAAACCAAAAGCTGATGTATATAAATATACATCAAACTACAATTATGGATAATATCGGGAAAAATGTTACAATAAAATGAGAACGAACGATGAGTAATGAGTGAGAGACAACGAATTATGGGAAGAAAAAAAAAAGAAAAGAAGAAGAACACTGTAATAGAAGCGCGAGACTTCTCTATTGTACGGACAGCTGCCGCTGCTCATTTTCCTATTTTCTCTCATTTGTTTGCTGGTGGTGTTATTAAACTGGCTGCTATGACTATGACACTTCAAACACAAAACGTACCAGAAAAGAAATCACTTACACACGAAATATCAGCATAATTCGTATGTCTATTGGTGTTTCGATATGTCTCTAAATTATGTTTTTTTTTTACTTTAATTCAGTTATTTGTTTCCATTATTCGGTGGCTTTATGCTTGCATTGCCAATGTAGGAACAACGCAATCAACGTCGCTTCAATACTTCGGATAAATTCGGTTAAGCAACGATGTTTGCCGAAGTCTCTATCCACTACAACATTGCATTAGCCATGAGCATACTGTGTGTATGTATGTGTGCGCCTCACTAGCATTTGTTTTGTATAGGTATATGACAGAATTTCATAGAGTTTTATAAATGTGTGTGCGACATTTTTATGTGCGTGTATACATTGAAAGAGATGCGACAATACTCCAGTATAACGAAGTTTATATGTATGTGATCACAATACTAATTTATTCTCTTCGTTTGAAGTCTTCGAATCATTCACTGAAGCGAAGAAAAGGAAACAATAAAATGGAAGTCTCCCTGTAGCACATCTTGGACTCGATACAGAGAGAATTATATGCGTGCGTATGCACTGACGGAATTGAGTTCAAAAAGAAATTTCCGAAAAGGGTGAATGTGCACGAAATCGAGTGCGAATGACTTTCTTATTTAAATCGCCAAACAAAACGGACGCATCGAATTGCACAGGTACAGACCGCGCGCGCGACAAAGAAAGAAGTGGTAAATATAAACTAAATCACTGTGTAGTCAATAAATGCCATTTGTTCGGCGAGTTCACCGCGCTACCACACAACAATCCACGGAACAGTTATTCAAATGAGGAGCAATGAGAGAATGCACCATGTGACATTGATTCAATGTAGAATGCATTTTATTAGCTTTATAATTAAACTAGAAATAAAGGCGATCGATATTTTTTTTTCTTCTTTGGTACGCCATCCCATTACATGAATGATTTTCTTTTCTAGACAAATTCCTGTTTATTATCCCATACTAGTTGTGAGCTCATTCGAACCAATGAATTGAAATTGTATACAAAGTAATGAATAAAAAAAAAAAATATGTTGTGTAAATTTATATTGAGAAGTGTAGAAAATTACTTTTGCGAGCGACCAAAAAAACGAAATTCATTAATTACGAAATCTTATGAATTATAATTACCCCATAACACTCTCAATTACTACTGCACTCACAGTTTTATTTAATTTTCAAACAATTTTTTCTGTTGTTTTTGTCGTCGACGTTGTAGTCGTTTGTGGTTCTGGTTGGTCAATAAGAAAACTTTTCAATCAAACTACAAATGAAAAAAATATGTGTCGATTTATTGCAAAGGTCTTTCTCATTTGATATTGGAACAAATCACTGTTTCACTTAATTGTTTATTTTTTTCGTCGTACACTTAACACATTAGCATTAATTCCAGAATAAAACATATAAAAATTGTGCCCATGAAAAAATGAATTAAATCGACGCACACACAATATGCTTTGCTCGTTCAGTAGAAAGACATTTACAGCCGTTCATTCGAACTCAACAATGAACTGCTGCATACTATTTTGTGTATGCGATATAAACTTATTGGTTATTTGAATGTATGGGTGTGCGAGTGTGCTTGTTGATGTATGTACTTGTATATATGAAGAGCGCGCTCACATACAATATTCATATCGTTGAAGTATAATATCAAAGCCGGTTGACATATGTGAAACTGGCTTTACGCCATTATCCAAAGCAAAAGACAACGAATATAACCGACATACATGCGAGCGAACAAGACAAAAAATATTCAAGCCGATACAGCTATATCAAATTAGTTCATATATTGACCACTACATATCGCCACTAAACATTGATTTTACCGCAAAGTAAACGTCAAAAAAAAAACACATCGAATGTGTGTTTCAAAATAGTGTTGAAGCGAAATCCATAATTTTCTGTTTTTCAGATCCAGATTCATTATTTTTAACAAACATGACAACATTAAGGCCCTTTACATGCAGTGACATGTTTAAATTTAACAATGTGTAAAAATTGAAGTGATTTATTTCATTGTTGTGGAGGTGATTAATTTCATTTAATTACAGAAACTTAGACCCATTGACCGAAACGTATGGACTTTCCTTTTATATGCAATACCTTGCGCATTGGCCGGAATATTTTCAAGTGGCAGAATCGCCAAGCGGTGAAATAATGGGATACAGTGAGTTTCATTCAAAACTTTAATTAATTTATATGCTGGTCTTTTGAACTACTAATTCATTTTATCTGCTTGAATAATTGATTGCATTTATTTCGCTGCAGTAATGGGAAAAGCCGAAGGACATGGAGAGAATTGGCATGGTCATGTTACCGCTTTGACGGTTTCTCCAGATTATCGACGATTGGGATTGGCTGCAACACTAATGAATTTCCTAGAAAATGTCTCAGAAATGTTAGTTAATTTTTACGGATTATATTTGTGCGATGAGATTTAACTCATTTAAGATTATTCTTTAAAGGAAATCAGCCTACTTTGTGGACTTATTTGTACGTGTTAGCAATAAAATCGCAATCAATATGTACAAGAACTTGGGATATATTGTGTATCGAACGGTCATTGACTATTATGCTGGACCAGGTGATATTGACGAAGATGCTTATGGTAAGTTCACATGGAAATTAATTTATTGTATCAAATCAATCGATTTTAACCAAAATTTTGTTTCAAATTACAGACATGCGAAAAGCTATGCCACGTGACGTTGATAAAAAGTCAATGATACCACTAAAACATCCAGTACATTGTGATGAAGTGGAATAGAACTGATGACTAAAATTCATATAATATCATTACAAATTCGAATAAAATATGGTCACAATCGAGAATTTATTTCTTTTTATTGGGAGGTTTTATCCAATTAGAATATGGTAGCAAGCATATATAATATTCCCATTGATATACAGTTTGTTATTAAAAAATAGGTTTCAAAAACGACTTCAGTGGAGAAGATTGTCATCGTAGGTTGTCCACGCGTATTTGAACCTAGACAATCAATTTATATATGTTATGTAGATAATATTGTGTCTTTTTTAAATATTTCTGGAGGTTTACTTGAGAAATACATTTTCAGCTAATGAAATAAAAATGATATAGGCGCTATTTTCTTATTGATATATCATATTGTAGATTTGTATCTATCTATCTCTAATTTATGGTTGAGCAAGAGATAAAAACAGTACTTGAATGTAATGTGATAGTACGTTGGGGGCCAAGCTAATGATATTTAGATTACTATGTTATTGTTGTAAAACAGCTGCTTTTGATAAGATGATACCAAAAATATATTCATTTCAAATTGCAATGAACATCTATGAACATGATATTTTCACAACGTTCTTATTTTATTCAAAAGAGAAAAAAATGGGATATTCTGTTACTTGACAAAGTGTGGCGCTGCTTGTACAATTGTACATTTTTCTGAATAAATCCGATTTGAAATTTTATTCGGATCATACAAAAGCATATTTCTATTAACTATTAAAGAAACACTAAACTCCAAAGGAAATTTAAATATTATTTAGAATTTCCAAAAAAAATTCAAGTTTAAATTTTGAAAAAATGAGCAAGAGTCTTTTGACTTTTAGCAATACCAACAATAATTTCAGCACAAAAAGTGTCAATGGAGTGAAGTAATATTCACTATTATATTTAATGTTTCTGTGCTCTGTTTCGTTAAAATGTCTGAATAGTGCATGCAGATTTTTATCATTAAAAAAATAGAATATAGATATTTTAATTGATGCTCTGAGCACTTATGAATGAACGATTTCAATTCACTCATTTTGCATACTTTCAATGTCAGAGTCTACAAATCAAATTGACACAAATTGAGTTGAGGGATTTGTTCAGAATTCGAAGAATGAGAATGTGATTGCATAAAGTTGGTTTACATTTGTCAACGACCATATCATGTAAAAAGCACCAGTTCTCGTCCGATCACTGAAGTTAAGCTGCATTGAGCATGGTTAGTACTTGAATGGGTGACCGTCTGGGAACACCATGTGTCGTTGGCATCATTTCTTTTTTTTTTTGCATTTGTTGGGGGATTTTTTTTTACAAAAATTGTATGGTTCTTATGGTTAGTAGATTTTTAATGTTTTTTTATAATTTTAAAAATTAAGTTTTTATTCATTTAATATGAGAAGTACTACACCCTTTGGATATTAATGATGTACTTTTTACATGATGTGGTCGTTGACAAATATATAATCCTTATTTGCGTAGACATTCTTCAAATATAATATCCAAAACACATTTTTGGAGAAATTATAATGTTACTTAAAGACTGTTTTTAGTTCCAAGTGAAAGGAGGTGCCTTTTACTTAAAGTCCTTAATAAATTATTCATCATCGATATGGTTTACTCGGTATTATTAATCAAATTAAGTGAAACTGTGAAAAATGTGTTCGTAAATAATTATTATAATAAAAAAAAATATTGAAAACTGCAAGTAGAGAGCATCTTCTTTCACTCGAAATCTAAAAAAATCTTTAAGTAACATTATAATTGCTCCAAAAATATGTTTTAGATATTATATTTGAAGATTGTCTACTCAAATAAGGATTATATATTTGTCAACGACCATATCATGTAAAAAGCACCAGTTCTCGTCCGATCACTGAAGTTAAGCTGCATTGAGCATGGTTAGTACTTGAATGGGTGACCGTCTGGGAACACCATGTGTCGTTGGCACAATTTCTTTTTTTTTCTCATCAAATATTTGAGTAATTTTATTATATACGTATTATATCAGAATATTTTTTTTATTTATCACACTTGCAATATAGTTAAGTTTATGGTAATTTACAATACTTGATCCATTGATTTGACTTTTATTATGTTTTCAAAAACATTTGGCCAGCATGCCGCTAAATTCGTCTTTAAATTCATTTGAAGCAATTCTGTTTCAGTAAAAACATGTTGTATTAATAATTTACCTCACCATTCCTCTGCTAATAGCACGGTTGTTTTTAAAAATTGTTTGAAAACGAAAAAAAAAAAAAGAAATGGTGCCAACGACACATGGTGTTCCCAGACGGTCACCCATTCAAGTACTAACCATGCTCAATGCAGCTTAACTTCAGTGATCGGACGAGAACTGGTGCTTTTTACATGATATGGTCGTTGACGAAAGTAAAACATTAATTCACAAACACATTTTGACAAATACATGGATGACGATATTACATTTAATGTGAAAGCTCAATTATGCAATCGAAATTATTCACGGTAAAAAAGAAATTTATTCTGGGAATTACCAAATTGTTGACAAACCAAATCCAATTCCGAATACTGTTCAACACAATCAGCAGAAGCAATTATACCGAAAACTGTATAAATATTAACTCTAAGAAGTGACCACTTTTCATTCTTATTTCAACCAAATCTAGCTGGTGAATCAAATTCTATCGCATTTGATTCAGAAACAAAGTTCAAATTTTGTTCGAAACGATTTAAAAAGCAAATTTATTCATTTTTCGAAGTTATTTCATGAATAAAAAATACTTTCCATTGCATTAAGCGGGATTTGGATATTTTGATTTTAATTATGAATTCAGTATAAAATATATATAAAAAAACACATAAGAAATGCTCATTGAACGCGGAATTTATGGTGAAATAATGTATAAGTAGAAGAAAACAAAACACACAGCTTATAATTGTATCTCCGGATTTGAAATTAAATTTTCCAATGCAATGTTCAGCTGCTCTAATTCGCAAACGCTGCTTAGCATCTATAGTTGTTCCATAATCAAGATATTGCCCTTAAATTGTGTTAAATTTCCGTGAAAATATACAGTTTTCACTTACAACGAACGAGAGCAACAGCATATGCATCGATTTTTCTCAATTCTGAATCATCATAAAGCAAGCTAAAGAACTTTCTCTCGAAGAAATTATTTACGAACAAAGCCAACGAGGTTCAAAATGTAATGTGTTTAGATAGGCATGAAATGATCAAAAAATTATAAATTCATTAAGAGAAATGTTGAATGAATTGAATTGAATATCCGCATATTGATGAGTTGCATCATCTGTCTGCAATTTATGTTTAATGGAAATCGCTTTTTTCGAAAACATTTTTTTGTGAGAGAAAAAAGGTCATCAAAATCGAACGGTTAAAACGAATCCCAATGATCAGGGAATAGATATAGTGAGTGGGTGCTTTTCCAACAGAAAAAAAATAAACAACTCAATAAAATACCTACATATATCACCCATTCAATTTTTCTACGAGATCTTATTTTTAGGACGATTCGAAAATTGAACACATATGCAATTCTCGGATTGTTTTTTTTTTCTTTTTGAGAAAAACAACGATCGTATTCGGTTGTGTAATGATTTTACACGCACATATGAGATATATGTGTATGCTGCTTAAATTTCTGCTTCTTCAACAGTTTTCAATGCATTCTTTTTTGAATCAGTTGAGCGAGTGAAGAATCGAAATGTGTGTTTTATTTTTAGATTCAACTTGATACATCATAAACACGCACAGCATAAGATGATACGTGTGGCTCACACTACCAAAGAAAAGATTTGTATTTTTGTATCGCCTCATATTCCAATCTCTCAGTGTCTACTGTTCACCTTCTTATTACTGTATATGTATGTATCTGAGTCATCACACCACATTATATCAACACTAACAGCTCTGAGCGCTGAAGATTACCAGGGGCTCAAACTGTTTCTCAGTTCGTCGGCGATTGTTCAATACGCGGATTCGTTTTGTAAGTATCACATCGATTCTTTCAGCTGTGTTCAAAAGAAAAAAAATAATACTTTTCGTTACATTTGTGAAGTTTTTTGATTGAATTAAAATTAAAGTGTTTATACCAAAGTTCAAGCATATTAGCTTAATAGTTAATTTGATTGAAAAATAGTTGTGTTGTGCAAATCATTTATTTTTCTTCAGTTTTATAGTTTTGGAATTGAAAAATTCGAGATTCAAGTTTTGAATTTTGAGCCAGTGAGTGCAATTTAAGTCGAAAATTGGTTTGAATTTTCTTTAATTATTTGTCACAGTTCTTTTTAAATTTATTTTTTAAACGATAAGAGAGAATTTTCATCATAACGAAAGTTTAGATTTTTTTCTCATATATAAAATCATTTTTCTGCTTCAGAATTGTTTTTGTGTTAGGTCTTTTCCTGAATCAGTCTTGAGCCAAGATTTTACTATTTTTATTCTTAAATTTGAGCCTAAACGAACGAATTTGTGTGAAAAAACAGTCGTTCAAAAACGCCCACATCGACAAAATTCAAATTTTTGGCAATTGCCTTGAGTTTATTTTTTTAATACACAACACACTTGCGCACAAAACGTTCTGATGAAGAAAACACCAAACCTACTGAATGGCTATTTTTAAATTGCGAATGAAATCGAATTCGTTTAGAAAATTCATCCAGTCATTGCCTAACTTGATCAAAATCTATTTTCGAAAGAATTCGGAAAAACAACACTACTTTTTATCGTCTTTTATTGACTAAATTGAATAACTGGGCCGATGATTCATTAAATTCCCTTCGTCTTTAAAAATATGGAAAAGTAGAATTATTCTAGAAAACCCAAATAACACGTTCGAAATTCAGTATTGCTGATATAAAATTCTTTTGTGAAATGCAATATTTTGATCACAGATTTATTTACACCATACTATTTATAATTATATAAAAAAAAATACTTGGTATTGGAACTATTCCCAATTAATATTCAATATTGGTTTCATTTTCAAATAAAAAAAAACTTCTGTCGATTACTTTTCTAGTTAATCATTTAAAAAAAATCATCATAATCTCCTTTAAAACCGGAGCCAAAAACGCCATTCGAATAAAATAAAGTAACGAACGTTACCCTTATTTTCTAATTTGATTCAAGTCAAGCACCTCCTATTTAGAGATTAAGTACATTGAAAATTAGCCTTAATTTTTCTTGAGCAGAGAGATAATACTCGAAATGAAAACTAGTAAATTCACTCACGAGCTTCAAAGAAAGAAAGAAATAATATTGCGAGACGGCAATGTTAACACCTATATTTGAGAAAAAGAAACGCCGACACTCGCCAAAGAAACTAATTGTAACATCATCTTTTCACTTATCGACTGCAAAGCAACAATAAGCAATTCAGTAATTGGTCCGTATCAATAACATGCTTTCGACTGTAACAAAGTAAATTGACCATTAAAAATGTTTTTTTTTTTCGTTTGTAATTACCTACTGTACTTCACTGCAGTACAGTGCAATCAAATGTGTGCAGAAAAAAAACGAGGTGTAAAATGGCGTTTGAAGATCATATAGTATGAAAACGGAAAATAGACGATAAAAAAAGACTAACACGCAATCTGTCGATTTTAAAGAGTATTTTTAGCACTTTTGCTCGTTGTCATATTTAGCGAACATTCAATCATTTAATGAATTTTACGATGACTTGATTATTTCTCTTTGCATCGTTGCTTTGAATTTTTTTTCTCCATCACGTCTTCGGTAAATTAAAGATTTTGTTGATTTAATTTTATTCTGTTAATGAGTTCATGTAAAAAATGATCACGAACGAGTTTTAAACATTTTCCAAACATGTCGATTGGGAAGTTTTCAAATATTGAAAATTGATATTTTTTTAATATCATATTCATTTTGTGGTTTGATGATGTCAGAGACGATCACTTCCAAATGACAACGAAATCGTTGTGATGCAAAACACAATAAATATGCTTTGATATCTAAATCTTATTTTCAAATGTGTGTATTTATGAATTGAATTTTGAGTTTCAACCAGATTATAAATTAAAAATCTTTTTCTTAAATAAAAGCGGCAAACTTTCAAAACATTGTGTACCATTCAGTGATACCGTCAGCAGCAAAAAGCGCCAACACAAAAAAAACGTACATTAACCGCTGCACTTTTAATTTATCAACGAATGAGTATTTTTTTGTTTGTTATTGTTGTTGTGTTTACTTTTACAATTTTCTCCGTGTTTCAGACAATTTGATGTGGTATTTCATATTTGAGCGAGCGAATCAACGAAGAAAAATCTCGTTTTACCTTGCGTAAAATATACGACACGAACGCATTACCGTGTATGGAAACGAAACCGCATAACCATAACAACTACACAACAGTTGAAGAGCGTTGTTTTATTTATGCTTGGCGACGGCCTTGTCAGGGCCGTCATTTCATTCGATGTGTTTTTTCTGTTTCTCTCTCTCTCTCTCTCTCTTCATTCCTTTGTTCTACCAATGCAAATGCACACTGTTTACGCGCTAGTTGTGTGCGGCTCGCTGTTGTAACATTGAAGAATTATACTCTGCAAAGCGAATAAACTCTTTGATACCATTATAGTTGCAATGAGTTTTATATGTTTGCACTAAAAACAACAATTTTTCTTTTCTGGTCTGTTGATTAATGCTGGAATGCTATTCCATGCGTCATGGAGAAATAAGATAAATTCACAGCTTTCATGACATAACATTGTAATGCGATTGAGTACATTCGGGATAAATCAAAGTACTTATAATAATTATTGGCTAAAGTGACAAAAACCAATTGAAACGTCACATTTTTTTACAACTATGAAATAATTATGCTGTCGATTTGTTAGGGTATGACCAAAACAACGATCCAGTTTGAAAAACATTTCCATTTTTGGTTCTGAAAAATATTGTTTATGCTTTTTCTGCCCCGGTTGTCATATGATGAAATCATTCAATTACGTTTAACGTGCGTAAATGCTGTACACAATTTACAATCTACATGCATTTTGTTTTGATCTCACGCTTTGACTTTTTTCAATGTCATTATGTCATGGCAAATGCGAAAAAAGTGAATTGATTTTAGACAAGTACATTTTTTTTTTAAATTTTACTCCACTTAAATGTCAACTATAGCATATCCTTTTATATATTCATCTGTCGGCGCTTATGAAATATCCATTCAAAACAGCGTCAGTTCCGAATTTACTGGACTTTGAACTATCAATAATAATATATATGACCTTATAAAATGCATCGTTTATCGATGTGATGACTCATTCTAAGGGCGTGTCGTAGTGAAAAAGAAAACATTAGGTTTATAGGGTGATGAATGATTTAACATTTGGAGAAAGAAAATGATTTGCCCAAACAAACTACGGAAATCAAGTTTATTGCGCTATCACATTTATTGTATGATTAATTTCTATGTTGAATGCATTTTCAGAATTTGTTCAGAACTTTTTTGTGTGAAAGTTAAAAAAACTAGCCCTCATCATGGACGCCATTAAGAAGAAGATGCAAGCTATGAAGCTTGAAAAAGACAATGCCTTAGATCGTGCATTAGTCTGTGAACAACAAGCACGTGATGCCAACCTTCGTGCCGAAAAGGTGAGCCAATCATTTGATCATTCAATTTATACAGATATTCCAACCGAATGTGACTATTAGTGACTTTATGTAAACCAAAATATATAATCCAATTATAGGCTGAAGAAGAAGCTCGTTCCCTCCAAAAGAAGATCCAAACCGTTGAGAACGAACTCGACCAAACACAAGAAGCTCTTACTCAAGTTAACACCAAATTGGACGAAAAGAACAAAGCCTTGCAAAATGTGAGTACAATTCTTCCATTTTTATCTTCTATTCTTCAAATAATTTTAATGATAAAAAATGCCATTAGAACTATTCATAACAATTGATAGGATTAGTTTGTGAAAATTTAAAATAAATGATATTGAAAAAGTAAAAAAAAAATATTCAAAAAACAACAACATTTATCACCCACTCAAGGGTACAGATTCATAAACATGAAATTCAAATCATTTGCAATGTGGAAAATAATTTCATTCAGACATTTTCTGCTTGCGAAATCCATCCATTTAGAAATTCTCTAGAAAAAAAAAACACATACAAAGTATATTATATGTTTCGAAAAGGAACATTTCTGCCCAATGTTCTATTTATAACGTGTGCGTTGCGAAAAAGACAAACAGAGAGATTTTATGAACAACAAAGTTTAAAACCATTGATAATCACTCGAATACATTTGTAAAGTTGATTTAATTTATTGGGTGAGATAAAAACTTTCATCGAATCGGGATCACATCGATCAATAATGATTTGAGAAATTTCCAGCAATTGAATTCGGTGATGATTAATAATTTTGGAGTTGGCTCCTCCCAAAACTCAATTTGAAAATAAACGCCTACTCACACGAAAAATATTGTATGTGAAAAATCTCTAAATGCTTGACTGCACGTTAACTATCTAAAAATATCAAAAAGATCAGAGCGAAATCGTTGTGTGAAAATTGATCGAACATTTTTTTTGAAGGGGAAACCGTCAAATGTTTTCAAACACTAGTGCAAGCCAGAATTATATCGCACAAAGTGCATATTGAGTTAGCTTCATTTTATTCTGCTTTGCGCAAATGCAAACTGTTTTCAATCTCCTTTTCCTTGGCAACCTATTTTTGAATCGTCAATACAAATGAAAATCATCGTTATGGCGGCAATTGGTATGTAAGCGAAGAATCCCGAACTAGAAAGAAATCGTCGGCATGTGAGACTCAATACACTGAAAGTGACAAGAAAAAATACAAATATATTGGCCAAAAATAAACGATTACAACGTTTTTAAGTCTCACACTGTGTGTAAATCATGATACATTAAATTCCACACATGTATTCGAATCGACAGTCGGTATAGCTTTTCACCGGAGCAAAGTTGAACATAATATCGACGTCTTTGTGTAACGAAGAAAAATAGAATAAAATGAGGTGGACAAATGTGTGGATTGAGCAAAGTGTGCATTTCCTATACGTGGTTGAAATTTGTATTTAGAAAGAAGATTATGCACTCATCGTCACTGAAAATTGTGTTCCACATTTCAAAGTTCACACTCGTTTGAGCAAGACGAGATAGTAAGAGTGAAACCCGAACGGATCGAAAATAAATTGTGTGCCCACATCGGTTTGACAGTAAATCATACGCAACGGCGACGACATAGTTTCTTTGGCGGGCGATACAGAAGGAGTATTATAATTTCATCGTTTTGCAAAACAAGCATATTTCCGAAATTATTTTTGTATCGTTGGATTTTAATTCATCAGCACATGATTGTGTGAGGCGAAAGTTTTTCGAGAAGGAAAAAAAAATTAGATTAACAGAAACAACAAGAAATATTTCGAATAAAAACTTCAGAAAAATTTACTGAATGTTAGCGCAATGAAACGAGTCGCAGCTAAATTTAAACATTGAAACAATTATACTACCAGACACGCCCAACAGATGGTGTTTATAACGAACATACACGCGAACATATGCACACACATTCGTAACTATACACACGATCGATCTATGTGTTTGACGTACTTAAAACATCAAATATATTCGTTGTTCGAAACGTCAATTGGCAACAGTAATGAAATAATATCTACGAAAAAATTAAATTACATCGAAATTAAATCAATACGGAAAATAAATTTGATTTTAAAACTAAACGTAATCCAGTATGGTAATAGAGACAGTGGACAAACAACACGAATGGAAACTATTTTTAAACATTTGCTGCTGCTGCTGCTGATCGGAACGTAAGCACTTTTTGTTTTCTAAAGGAAAATTTCCAACTCAACTATGAATGTGTGTTTTTTTCCTTCTTTTACAAAGCGAATGTGTTAAATAGAGAAATATACAGACAAGAAGTAAAGAAGATATGGAAGAAGCAAGGGAGGGAACAGAAGTTGAACAGCAAATAACGAGTAGTAGTGGCCAAAATATGAGCGGAACGGGAAAAAAACGGGGACATCAACATCACATTCGACATAGTGGCAGCAGAACATCAAATGTACGTGCAGATGAAGTAATTGCTGCATTACGTAGAGGCGATCAATTGCCCGTTACACAAAATATTCAACAATATTCAGATATTGAACGGTCGACTCTGGACTTTAGTGATATCGATATGGTTTTGACTAAAGACAACAGTTCATTGCATAGCAAGCTACTTGTTTGTGATACAAATGAAACAGCTCAATGTAATGAAACGACTGATAAAAATGGCAACAAAAATAATGCAAACACCATCAACGATACCAAACACATTACGCTTATCGACGATTTAAACAAAAATAATAGATTAGGTAGCCTGATGTTAAAAAACGCGAACATATTGATGGATTCCACAAGCGACAAACTGAACAAAATAAATGTGATAAGCAAAGATAGTGATGATTTGGATGAATTGACAATGGGGTCAGAAGCAATTGGTGCCTTGCATAGTGATATTGAAATGGAATTGACAAAAGACGAATTAAATGATTCCATAAGCAGTAACAGTAGTTCGGGTAGTAAGACTCCATCGAAACAATCAAAACGATCGAAGAAACAACGTCAAACAGCAGCTACAACGGATTCAGAACATGGTGCCAAAAAAGAGAAACGTAGTAAGAAAACCAAAAATTTGCCACCAACCGAAGAAAGACCACCTCTGGAAGGTGCTGATGCCGATCAATGGATTGAAAATGACAATACAGCCGACTTAGAAAATGATCCAGAGGCCGCTGAATGGTCAAAGCTACGGTGCACAAATGAGCGGTGCGAAGTAGTAGCCGAAAGAGAATATCGGCGACAAAATCGAAGGTGTGCCGATTATCCAGGACTGGCTTTTGGCCGTTCAATATTCAGTTCGGATACAATGATGAAATTGAACATCATTCGAAACGAATTGCACAATATTATGAAAACACAATTGAAACGGGTATGTGTGATGACGAAATTACATGCACGATAAAAGCAATTGCATTTAAACGGTTGCATTTCGTCATATTTTCCACGAATTGTTTTTTTTTTCCAAACCATTTTTCTCTTGAAATTAATTTCTTTTCTTCTACAAGCAGATATTCAAGATACCACAATTTCGAACAAGTCACATACAAATTATGCTATACGCTATTTGAGTGATAAATTTCTTATTATTTTGAAAATTTGCAAAAAAAATTTGCATTAAAAATCGTGTGAGTAGTGCAATATTCTTTCCGTTAAATTTGTGACACAATCATTTGGTGTCTTCGTACTACATACACTTAATTTACTTATTCATTCAGTTCAATTTGTTCAAGTACACAAAATACAGTATACTTGTTAAAAATTGAAAGAGAAATTATATAAATGACATCACTTTATCGGGCCATATTAAAATGTCAGTACTCACACACATGACTTTTTTAAGGAAAAAAATGTTTTCAGGTCGATTTGATTTCATGGTGTGAAAACAAAAACGCAAACAGACAATAATAAACATTGTGGACCTCATTAGTACTTTCAGCCACACATACATATTCAATGAAATTCTTCAAAACAATTGATTCGTATCGCAAATGTTTGCGTGAATCATTTTATGTTTGACTCAAGTGTGTTTATCTCTCTCTCTCTCTCTCTCTCTCGTTTTTAAACCAATTTTAAATGATAAATTTCACGTATGAAAAAAAAAAACAAAATATCACCATTGTATTTATATGTGTGCTAATTTTTTTAAGCAGATCAATGATCGCATTATTGTAAATTTATTTGATTGTTGCAAATACCCATATTTTTTTATATATGGACTAATTTTCCTTTTGTCTCGACGAAGGCCTAAAATGAAACAAATGCTCATTTCATAGCGATTTTTGTCCTTTTACGGACCATGTGCAACACACGTTTGCTATTTGCCAATTAAAACAAGTTTTATTTCAATTCAAAACCAAATGAGATCACACCATTTATACACAACCTTTAATAATCAATGACAACGTAAAATCCACTCTGCAAAAAAAAGACACATGCCCTAAAAAACTTATCCACTTGGCGCCGCATCATATAATTTATGTAAAAGCATCGTTTATGTCGTTATGAGTTACGATTCATTTATTTTCGCTTTTTGTTAATTTTTTTTCAAACAACCATAATACTTTTCGTTGATGTTTGTAAAAACTTTGTGGGTATTTTAAACAATTGCAAAACGGGAGTTTCCCAACAAGAAAACACATTGTTTTAATGATCATTGGTTCATTCATTCACTTGTGCGGTATGTTTATACAAAATGATTTGTTTTGATTTAAAATCAATGATCCATTTCAAACGTTATATTGAAAATGTCATACCAATTAACGAGTTGAATATTCAAAATCGTTGTTATATTTCCGCTAAACTGTACATTTTTTGCTTCTTTCTGAAAATTAGACCCAAACAAATATGTAATTCGGGCAACCGTTAACACATTTTCTTATCGTTCCATATTTTCTCATCGTTGGCATACCTTTGTATACGATGTATGATTAATTGAATTTTAAAAATATTGATGATAAAACAGCAAAAGAGAAATGTGGAAAGCAGTGATAAGGTTTAGAAACGGATGTAAAAAAAACAATTGACGTACGCTTTTGATAACGTTGATATGAAGAAAACCTAGACACATTGTTGTTAAAATCGAGAGATCACGATGGTGAGACAAACAGTGTATTAATAGACATTTGCATAAATTTACGTATATTATAATTCAGTGCGTATCGAATGACAATTTAATTAAGATTCGGTCACAGATTGCCAAATCAAGGTATAATATCTACCTACGATCAAAATATAGCGATCACAATAAATGCAAATCAACTTTGATTCATTCGGAAATTTGAATGCACGATTAAAAATTGACTCTTCATTATTGACTACAATTTAAAAAAAACACCTAATGATCACATTCTATTGCTTTGTTTTTATCTCCTTCTCTCTCTTTCTCTCGCACAAAGTGAATACAAACGAGAATAGAAACGATTCATATTCTGGTGGTCTATCGGTATAAAAAAATATAGAAAATCGTGCACGATGTCGTGCAACTGATGTGCTTGGAAACATAAACAAGCAAACTGATTAAACAGCGTCATATTGTAATTGAGAGCTGCATACTGTCCACTTCAAACAAATAGTTGAGAACAAAAGAAGAATAAAAAATCCACAATTGGGTATATCCAATTCTTATAAGAATCGTAGATTAGAAACAGAAACAGTTAAATATCAAGAATTGAACTAAATCAGTCTCTTTTTCTGCCTGTTGCTTATTTTCCAACGTTCAATATTTGCAATGCTGATGCAGCAATATATTCAAACTCTGAATAATAATGAATATTTAAAAATAACCATTTTTGCTGTGACTTGAATTTTAAAATGGATTTGCTTATTTTGATTACCAAATTTGAACATTTTTTTGGGAGCTCAGAAATGAACATATATAGTTCAGTAATTGAACCATTCATATGCAAAATATGCAATATTTCTGACTGAATTTATCATTCGCCTCAGTAGAAATGGAAAGAACATGTGTGGCACATTAGTTCCTGTTTCGCCTTTGTACAAATGCACCAAGTGAAACAATTTGAAAATAATGGCAACAGAAAACAATGGTGAATTCAGCTTTTGAACGCAACTTTTCTTTTATTTTCCCATATATTCAATTAGATCGTTTGCACATAGATGATGTGCCTCACCTCTTTTCAATTCAATGTTTTTCTCTTTTACACACATACTTTGTTTAGAAAAAAACTTCAGCAACATAATCGTTGGTCATTTGTTCATCATTGATCACTTGTGCTGTATACGCATGGAATATTTCCACTTTTGAATTAAAATTATACAAAACGTTCAGGTGTATAGAATGACGATACATGCAAAACCATTCAATTTAAGGTCAAAAGCATTGGAACAAATACCGAAAAAGCAAGATCGGAACGTTTACGCATGGTATTACAAACGATACGAATCCCGTATATTCCCTCTGTATGTATACACTCAACACTGTCTCACAAGCCAAACAATATATATACGCATTTGAAAATATTGTCAATGCACAACCGTACATGGTACATACAGTTCTACTACATTCAAAATTCATTTGCTTGTGTAGTCTTTTACATTTCGCTTACCAAAGCATATATTGTTGTATGGACGAAGAAGAAGAGCTAAAGCAACAACAACAACAGCAGGCACCGAAACATACAACATTATGACACAATCCAAAATACATGCTCATTGTCGAGTCAGTGGTTGTTGTGTGTCTCTCTCTTTTATTCATATAATTTTGACTTTGTGTGTATATTCACTGTACGGGTTCGCCATTTTGAAGTTTCGGGCGAGTCACTTGCGTTTCGTGCTCTTTAGTACAGTTTTATTCTCATTCATTTGTGTCCGATCCATCTTTTTATGTGTCCAGTTTTTTTTATCGATTTATACCTTTGCTTCAATACTGAAACAAAAAAAAAATCCACTAAAAAATCAATTGATTTTAAATAATCAAATATAATCTAATTAAAATTGAGTTTCATTAATTCAAAATAGAAGAAAAATAAGCCAAGTGTTAGATTACGTTTTCTAATTGAGAAAGAGAGAAAAGTGGGTGCGATACATGTTTCCAACTGAAGAAACGATTTGATTGAGAACACACCAATTTTTTTAAAAAAATTCCTCATTGTAGTTTTTTTTTAAACTTGAAATTAAGTGTACGTGTGTTGTGCACAAAAAAGTGGATTGATACATAAAAAACACTAGAATAAAATTCTATTTTACTTTACGTCATTTTCTGACAAGAAAATTGTGAAGTTTTACTAGTGTCAAACGAAGTTCTTTGTTACAAGACAAAATCAATTGCATTAGCAACCAATTGTATTTTGTAAAACAGAAGAAAAAGTTTAAAAAAATTAGACAAAATGACGACCAATATTCAGCAAGGCACACTTCTCGATGTTTTGAAGAAGAAGATGCGCCAGACAAAAGAAGAAATGGAGAAGTATAAGGATGAATGTGAAGAATACCAAAAACGCTTACAAGGCGAAGTCATTCGCCGTGAAGAAGTGAGTTAATTTTTTTTTCCTAGATTTTCCAAGCAACTTTCGTTTTTGATCCAAAACATCAAAAATGTATTTCGTACTCTATGGTCTGATGTCTCTTCACATAGTATAATTCATTAAAACATTTCAAGAAATAATATTGATTTTTCTTCCTTTATTCACATTGTCGAATATAATGACACGTACGATATGAACACCGGCAATAAATTCTTGGCCAAATGGCTTAACCTCTTTTTCTCCACAATTCGCAATTGATTAGTTGATTATGCTAGGAAATTGTTCAAAAAAGCAGCCCATTGGTCGAACAACACATTCGTGTGTGCGTATGTATATGTGACACATTGATACATTCCATGCATATGGATATTTCAGTACATTTAAGTATAAAAAGAAGCGGAAAAAATGTTACAAGAAACGACAAATGATGTTCATTTGGCAATCGCCTGTGTGTAATGCCAACAAACAAAAATATTTTTGTGGTCTAAATAGCATGAAAAATACAAAAATACGCATATAGAGTATGCATGTCTGTATGAGTTATTTATCCATGTTCCTATGGTTTTTAATTTGTGTATTGTGTGTTATTTTTCCCGTACAAATCGTCGACCGTATATGAACAAAAAGTATAAAAATGGATGAACGTTACGAAGAGTAAAGCAAACACAGCAAAATGTTCGTTGAAATGATACGACCGGCTTTTAATAATCGTAATGAGAGAGAGAAAAAAGACAAACATTCAACATTCAAACCGCTTTTAGCGAACCCATTGAGAAGCGACAAATACACATACGTATACATGTCCAAGCATATACACGATACAGCTTAAGCTTAATTACCTCTTGCCGGAACGCATTTCGTTCAACGAGAGTAATATACAATTTGTATAGTGCAAAATGTTTATTTACTGTGCATTCAAATTGATTTTTCATTAAACTACGCTTAAAATGTTATACATATGACTCATGGCCATTTGTATAAAGATATGAAAATGTATCATCTTTTACGTGTCCAATGGATGATATATCTTTTCAAATGAACTCGCATTGAACATGACCAAATATCAAGACGATAGCGTGGTCAAAGGTCGACAATAAACAGCCACTACAAGTACATTAAAATGAATGGTATTCGTTGAAAAATGAACAATCAACCTAAAAAACTGATTGTTATTCAAAAATGTTTAAGGCAAATATATAATTATCAACGATAAAAATTGTTGTCCATCTGGGAAAATGTTCGAGAAGCATTGGTTCAAAACACCGTTTACTAGTACATGTAAAGAAGATCCGGTGCATAGAAATAAGAACAACATAAGAACTCTTCTTATTTTTACCTCTCCCTCTTATGTTTCGGTTGCTTATGTCAGCACTTTTCTTCCATTGATACAAACACAATTGTAACGTCTCTCGTGACCATTTGCATTCATCTACAAAGTGTTTAAATTTCTTGTTCTATGCTGTGTGACTAACACAGATATAAATTCGTTTCATCGCTTATTTTTCTCGCTGAAATTTGAAATTCGAAGCAATCGTGCAAAATTCTAGCACATTTTTAGTCGAAAGAGATAGATAGAAACATAAAATTTATGTCCATGTAATCATCAATTTCTATTCGGTGTTCTCGTTTCACTTTCCCGTTCCGCTACACACCAATGCATTATGTTGTATTTGTTGGTGTTTCAAAAAACTTCTGATATATTCAAGCGACCGGTTCCAATGTATGGATGCCGAACTTCATTCAATTACAACAAAAGCAATACCGCCAACAACCGGTATGGAATGTGTTTACGAAGGTATCGGACAGCTCTCCGAAATGCGATAAAGGTGGAACGTGTGCTATTTATATATGTTGACGTTACTTGTAATTGCGATTAAAAAGCAAAAAAAAGGAAAGAAGAAAACAATTTTCATCGCGGTTACGGCCACGCAGCGATAGAGGATGATGAGTGTGTTTCAATGTGCTTGTGTCATACACAACTACCAATGGTTGCGTAATGTTTCGATGCTTCCTCAATGATGATCAAGATTTTACTGATGCACATATAGAAAGTAGCCACACTTATTAACGTGATATTAACATCTCTGCTCTTCAGACAAGCTTATATGTTAAGCATAATTTGAATTTCTTTTAATAAGAACAAAAGCCGAAAACATATTTTCCATATATTTTAATGCATTTCTAAAACGAAAATATTTCAAAGCAACGTAAACAACGACCGTTTTATTTTTCTTCCTGAAATCAAGACGTCAGCAAACATTTCAGTCACATAACGTTTCAAATTACAAGGTTGCGATAATATTGTATTAGTCATAAATTCTTTTGCATTGAAATAGAAAAGACACGAGTTGCTACCAAAGCCTACAATATTCTCATAGGCTGAGCGGTCGAATTTCTACAAAGTAAAGCAAACAATTTATTTTTTTTGTTCAGTTTTTTTCTTAAATACATCCTTAAGATTGCATTTTAGCTTTACGTGCATGTTTAATTGCACATTTTTCTTTTTGTTTGTTGTTAGTGCAATTCCTGTCTCTCGATATACTTGCACTGTGTTCCATTATTTTGTAACGTATACAATTTATATTTCTTTTTGTCGACTCAAAAGCGGGCATTGGAAGAAACGGAATTTTGCGCGAAAACAAAAATAAATAAAAATTACACCAACACACCGAAAATTTACACACTAATATGTGGCGAGATGATATCAACACTACGCATTATGATGTCGTATTCATTTGTGGGGATTGCATGAACGCGCTGAATATTTAGCGGAGTTACAATATTTTCACTCGAACAAATATTGCGTGCGTAATCGCAATATTGACATGCACCCATAAAACAAAACAGCACCAAAAATGCATTATGCGGAACTTGTAACTTACTAAATTGAGTTCACCAAATACAATAATATCGCCGATACAATTTAGTTAAAAAAGCAAAAAAATATTGAGTCATTCATACAGTATTTGTACAATTATTATTTCCATAGTTTTTTTTCACTGAGCACCATAGTTTGTTCGTTATTTACAAGTTGCTCGGATTATTTGCCTGATTTATTTAAGCCAACAATAGCCTCAATATATGAAGTCATAAATTTTGATCTATATGCGATGCCATAGATGATTTTAATTGGCTGGATAAGCATAAATCATCGAAATCGATACAAACTCTATTCCATAAATATTTATAACATATGTGCAATGTAATTTGTTCAGCAATTCTTAGTGCTAGATTCTTTTACGCTTTGAAAATGTTTAATTTTGCGTTTAATCTCTTTAACTTGAGAAAAAAAATTCTTATACATATAATCTCTATAAATCATTATTGCGTAATCCCGCTTCAGTACATATCTCTTCTTGTTTTAGTAAAGAATTGCGGAGATAAACAAATCTAACGTATTTAAAAATCCACAAGATAATTTGGATGAGAACATGAATATGAACGATGAGTTGAATATTTTAAACAAAGTAAAAGATTGGAATGAGCGATATAAAACTCAAAGAAAATGTGTTTTATGTTTACGTTCATATATTCGATGAACGAATATTCGAAATGTGTTTCACTATGATAAATTACCCGGTAATTTTTGTCATATGTGTCACATTCCTGAATATAAATTTGTATGAGTGTTAAACCTCTATACTAAGCGCGTCGCAATGAAAAATACATAATTGAATGAAAAGTATACACACCAAACTTCATAGTGTGAATAGCGAAATTTCATGATGACGTCATGTTTATAAGATAGAACATTTGAAGTCACTTGAAATTTTCATCAAATACATCGTTTTTTTTTTTCTCTCAAACAATTAGGTAGTAACAAATAATTTTGTCCAATTAAATAATTTTTCTCACGTCAAGTTTTTTTATTTACTGGTTTTCATTCCAAAATATATTTTGCCATACTTAATTGATTGCTGTGATAAATTAGAGTGTGAGCGCTCAATATGGAAATATAAATTCCGTTAGACTATGGAACAATTAGTTTAATTTAGTTTGAATTGATTTAGTTTTTATTTCTTCCAACAAAATTGATTTGATATCAAATGTATATGTGTATGTCATATTGTTAAAATCATTTATAAAAATGATTCAATTGCGCTGTAGCGAGCTATAAATGGTTGGAGACAAATGACTATATTTCTGAAATGGTCGTAAATAGAAAACGAAATTCGTGACTTTGACATACATAAATGAAGTGACAGAATTAAAAAAAGAGAGAGAAACACATAAGTAGGCGCATGGCTCAAAGTTTTTTTTTTGGTCAAGCTGAAATGCCAATTAAACAACGAATCTGACGTAATTCCATTTTCTGTCCCATTCAACGAGTAAAAAGAAACGAAGAATACAATACAGCAAGAACCAAACAAAACTCCGTGGCTTCAAACAATAGCGACGGCTTCTGTTTCAATATCAAGGTGAATGAATAGAGAATAGAGAACTGTGAATAATATTCACTAAACATTGAGAGTTTTCGTTTCACTGTCATATGAAAATTGTATACGCGTTTTTATTCAATCTCGACTATGTTTAAACCATTTTATCGACATTCAAATATGGGAGCGTATGGCTTGGATTACATTTGAAGGTTTAATCGAGGAATTAGAACAAATCAAACAGATGCACAAACATCTCAATACCAATGCACATTTTTAGATTATTTTTCTACCAATAAAATTGTGAATAATAATATAAATAAAGAGTGAAACAAAAATATTGTGAACGCGCCCTCTGCTCACGGAACCATTTCATGGGTGACAATCAAATTGTCTCAACGAAAGCTTCCGCTGCTTTAGTTAACTGCCGTTAGAACATTAAAACACATTTGACAATTGAAACAATGCACTTGTTTGTTTCACGATTTCATTGTTCCATTCAACTTTTGTGTTGTCGTCAGCAGTATGTATTGAAAAATAGAAATGAATTTAAATATGAGCTAAGCACATCTTCTAATACAATTCAATTCGTCGTTCGAAATACTATCTCACAGAGGAAATTGTAAATAATAACAGATCTAGTCTAACAGTGAAAATAATACACAGACACAGACACAGACACACACACACACCTACGCATCGGTTTTAAAGAAAGCAACACTGTATTTTTTGATACAATCTTATTGCTTTTAAAATGAAGATAATCAACAATCTAAGAACACTGTCCGGACATGATATTTTTTGACACGATAATAAGGTCATCGCTTCAAGTCCATAAAAATGTTGCATTTCAAGATATTTGATTTCTTGAGTTAACATTTTTCATATCTTGAAATTGTACATTTTATTCAATGAGAGACTCATTTATCTTCCATACGCTTCGTTTCTTTTGATAATTGTTTCGATATGAACTTATAACATATTTCCACCAAATGCAATGAAAATGGATTGTTTTTCAATCTTATATAATGCGTCCACTAGAAATTAAACCGGTTTTTAACGGTTGTTTATCAAAACATAATGTTTAATTTACATTTTCTTGTCGTTTTACTGGATCAATGAATTAAATAATTTTAGAAACATCAATTGTTATGAATAGAAGTAATGAAAAATTTTAAATGTAAGAGCGAAGAAATTAATTTTCAAGACAAAAAAGAAACATTTGCCATAATATTTATATATATGGATAAAAATTCGAGTTTCAAACACAACTGATGTCCATCATTCCAAAATGTTTATGGTTTAGGCTGAATCTGAAGTAGCCGCTCTTAATCGTCGCATTCAATTGCTTGAAGAAGATTTGGAACGTTCAGAAGAACGTTTGGGATCAGCCACAGCTAAACTCTCAGAAGCATCTCAAGCCGCTGACGAAAGTGAACGGTAGGTCAAAATGAAACTCGATTTTACATTCTTTTTTTTATTATCGAATTCAAAAGATTTATTTTTATAAAAAAAAAATGAGAGAAAAGTTGTTTTCGTTTATTGGTCAGAAGAAAATATTTTTTTTTGTTCCGAATAAAATATTTTTCAATTGCATCGAAATAGGATACGAAAAGCACTTGAAAATCGTACTAACATGGAAGATGATAGAGTAGGCCTCTTGGAGCAACAATTAGCGCAAGCAAAATTAATTGCTGAAGAAGCAGATAAAAAATATGAAGAGGTAGTCAAATTTAACTGGTTTTGCTAAATAACACATAGGGATGTGTAATAGGGCAGTTGTTTTTTTTTTAAAAAAAGCAACTGATAGTTAGGGACAATTTGAGCTAGGGAACATATTTGCATTTCTTTTCTTTTCAGCAAAAATTTCAGGAAATCATCATGGATGCATCGGATTAACGAAAAGATAACATCGTATTTTGTGCATCTAGATTAATTTTGTGGCATTTTTTCTCTCTTTCTTTTCATTTTCATTTGTCAAAAAACTGCGTGAAAATGATGCAGTGCTCGCAAAGTATTGGAAAATCGTTCATTGGCCGATGAAGAACGTATGGACGCTCTTGAAAATCAATTGAAAGAAGCCCGATTCCTCGCTGAGGAAGCCGACAAAAAATACGATGAGGTGCTTTTACAAATTACTTGACAAATCTGAGCTCATACACAATCGCTTCAAAAAATTATTGCCGCTTGTTTGCCTCCCGAAAAGAATATAACAAGCCATACATTGGAATACAATAGAATAAATTTATCACGTCGATGGAATAAATTGCAATCAATACAGAACCTAGCGTCGTTATCAGAACAGTTTAATTGACAAGTAGGGTGAATTTGTTGCAGGGATCAACACCATATCTAGATTTGAATCATCAAATTTTATCAAAGTTGTTGATTTTGTAGATATACATTTTTTTTAAATTAAAACTTTATATAATTTTTTTGTTGCAAACTAATTAAACTTAAATTTGACAAACATATAATGATTTATTAGAAGTTTATTGATGCTGCTTTGTTTATTTTTTTTCGTCCTCTTCAACAGTGGTTGAAGAATGTCCAAAGATTTTGATGAAAGTTTAAAGAAATGTTTAAATTATTTTTTATTAGAAAAACACTTTAATTGAATGTATTGAATAAAGATTATTGAACGTCCATTAAAACACAGTGACAGATTAGCAAAATAATTGGTATTGGGTTTGAAAAGAAATAATAATAATAAAAAGAAATTTTTAATTTAAAATGAAATGTAAATGTTACATTTTTAACGAGATTTTTGATTTACAAATGAAAATTTTTAATTTAGAATAAATGAATTTATGCAAAATATATAAAATATTAATAAAAACAACCAAATCTGTTTTAATATCGAATTATTTTACTTTGTTTGATGGTTTTGACTGAAAGAAGTCAATAGTGGTTTTGCTTCAGAAACTTATGCATATGGACCTCATTTGGTCAACAAACTCTGAATTTCATATAAATTTCTTCAGAAAATCCAATCCCAGAAATCTGTTGATGACAATATTTTTCGAATCTGAGTCTTGATCTAAAAACCAGACACACTTCCTTACAACTTGTACCGCTTCTACTTTCAATCTCTTTCTGAATTATAATCTTAACTTTATAATTTGATAAGAAAAAAAATAAGGCCACATAGTTGTTGTTTTGTAACTTTTTCCTTGACGAATACAAGTTTAAAAATGTAAACAAAACATTCTACGTAACAAATATATTGTCATTATATTTTTTTCCATGAAGATTTTTTCCCGAAAAATTGTAGTGTTGAAAGTTACTACTGTAATGTTTGTCTAAGTTATCCTATTGAATTTCTTTACAAAGCCATCAAACAAAATCTGATAAAATAGCTAGTTCGTTAGATTGCAATCATGTTATGTTGAGATTCGATTGTGAAAGTTATATTATTGTATTCCAATGTGTTGCATCATATTCCATATGCTGCTTCAAGAAAAAGAAATCCCAAGAAATTATATTTCTAACGTCATATTCTTTCTCTCGAAAAAATGTGTGAATTTGGCAAATGAATAACTGTCACAAAATATCTAGGTTGCCCGTAAATTGGCCATGGTTGAAGCCGATTTGGAAAGAGCCGAAGAACGTGCTGAACTCGGTGAAAAGTACGTTTCAGTAATGTTTATGTTTTGTTGTGCTGTTGTTTTAAACATGTTTCCGCTGATCCAACTGCTGCTGATGTTATGCGAGCCCCACGCTGTTTTTAATCTTGCTTCAGAACTAACTAAATTATATTAATTTTACCATTCAATTTCAGGCATTCGAAGAAAGTGTATTTTTCAAGAACATTTATCCACTAGATGTATTAACTACCAATTTTAAATAATGTTTGCTAGAATTTAAGAAAGAATTTAGATAGCAGAAATAGTTTTATCGTTTTCATTAATCATTAACACATCCCAATGTAATCTTAACTTACTAAATTCGTCTTATCCAATTTTAATTTTTTTTTTTGTGAAAAACTAATGAGTTTTTGTGTTTATTTCATAACCCATGTATAATGCGTTGCTTGTTCCACATAATACAATCCGCTAAAAAAAGGTTGCACGTAAGCTAGTCCTCATGGAACAGGACCTAGAACGCTCCGAAGAGAAAGTCGAACTAAGTGAAAGGTTTGTAATTTGTGCCAATGCTTTTTATTTTACAAAAATAACATTTGCTGTACTATTTAAATATTGTTTTCAACTTGATTTTCATTGAACATATGAAATAATAATAATTATATTTTTTTTTACTCTTTTTAACAGCAAAATCGTTGAACTAGAAGAAGAACTCCGTGTTGTTGGCAACAACTTGAAATCTCTTGAAGTTTCGGAAGAGAAGGTATATAATTTTATTACCAATTTATTTAAAATTCAATTCAAAGTTATCTTTTTAGTGGCGAAGGTATAAAAAATTGTATGAAAAAAAATATATCTTTCAAATCAATTTTTTATGTTTTCATGCCAAAGAAATAATTAAGAGTTCGCGTTATTGATTTTAATTTAATCGTTGTTCAAAATTTGCTCAAAATCGAAAAAAAAAACAATACTATAAAAAACACAAAACGAATTAGGCCAACCAACGTGAAGAAGAATATAAAATGCAGATCAAGACATTGACCACCCGTCTCAAGGAGGTACAAATAAAAGGCTTCACAAAATGTGTTTCGTTGTTGTTTGAACGCGTTTTGTCAATGTTTATACGCTTTTCTCTGTGTGTCGAAATCACTCACTTTGCTCAAACAAATTTTATTTATAAATCTAACAAATTGGGCCAAACGCTACCTAATTTCCCATAATTTCGTGTTACCACAGATAAATATAACGTTAACTTGCAAAAAAATCATTACGCGCATGTCAAAAACATACTAATTTTTTTTTTCTAATTGTTTGATCCACACATTAACATTTATATCCGAATACTGTGTTTGATTCACTCGTTTTGACTATAACATTTCAAAATGGATATTCACTGGAATTAGGCAACGCAATTGGAAGAAACATGTGGCGAACAAATTCGCTCATTAAGTCATAGACTCAAAGAGGTGATATTAAATTACTTCCATTTTTTTTTGTCCTGAATATGAGCAACATCAATTATTATGAATCAATTCTGTGTATGTAAAATCTATGACGTTTCAATTCAATCGAAATTTTGTAAATATTTGATGGCAGTACAAATGCTTTCAATTCCAAGCATCTACCTTTTGACAAATGAAGAGATCGTTGGGTTGATTGTAAATCATTCGCTCTATCTCTATTTCTCTGTCTCTTTTGCCAAATATTTTATTCACATCGATTTTTTACTGTAAAAACAACGATTTTCCTCAAAAACAAGATTTCAATAGAAAATTATAAATATTCGAAGAAAACTCTCCAAAAGTCAAACTTTTTGTAAAAAATACCTTTTTGTCTCTAAAAATTATTACATTATTTTCAACGAAAATTAGGCTTCTGCTAATCGGGAAACTGCCGAGGAACAAATTTTAGCACTTAAAAAACAATGCTCCAGTGTAAGTTTTCACAACAAAGTTTTTGTAAAATTGCACACTCTATTTTATCATATAGAACTATAGAAAATTTCGGTGAAGGGTTTTTAATTTCTTTTGGAAATAGAAATTCTCAATTCTATCATTATTAAATTTCTCAAATATTTCTCATCCGTTTATATTTAGAGGTATAAATATTATTTTATTGAACAACCGAATGGTTTTTATTCAGTTTTTTAAACATAGTTTGATTTTATATTATTAACACACCAAATAGTTTCTTTGTTAATATTAATTGCATGATAATTTTTTTTTCTGTGTTTCAATTGATGTGTGCTCATAAAAATTCAAGCTTTTTACAAACAAAATTTGTTCTCATAATTCCAAGCAAATGTGATAGTAATTTTATAAAATTTCGAGTTCATTTATGGTATTCTTGGAATTTTGAAACAAAGCCAACTCAAAATGACAAATATCGTTACTTATATATATATTTTATTTCTATTTCAACCTTTAAAAAAATGACAGGCTGAAGCTCGTGCTGAATTCGCTGAGCGTTCCGTTCAGAAATTGCAAAAGGAAGTTGACAGACTTGAAGGTAAGTCATTTCGTGTGCAATTTTTTTCACACATTTTATCCCAATACGTATGTGACATATCTGTGACTAACAAATGAACTTAAACATATTTCAATAAAATGTTTAAAGTTTTAAATTCAACCTTACCTCAAGACTAACAACACTGGACTGATCCAAACGATCTTTTTAAAATTGTTTTTATTTTTTTATTATAATATGTTTTGGTGTTTTTATTAATTTTGTTTTGATTTAATTTTTTTTTTCCTTTTTTTTTAATTTTTGTTGTGTTGCGCTGATAATCCCAAAATTGCTGTAATAACTGCGTATGCTTGACCTAATTGTTGCAACGATAAAAAAATATATAAAATCTAATATCAATTTGATGGCGTCCCGATTGATTCAATATGTTTTGTATACTAAATAAAAAAAACCATCTACACAACATCATCAACATACAATCAAAACAGATGACATTTTAGTTGAACGTGAAAAGAACAAACTACTTCAAGAAGAAATGGAAGCGACTTTGCATGACATTCAAAATATGTAAAACCGGATGTGTTAAAATCAAAACCTAAGACAGGATCAAAATCTAGACATTTCTACTTTCCATTGAATTTTTCTCCAAATTTTTTTTTGTGTTCAAATGAACGAAGCATAAACAATTAAACATAATGCACGAAATGTATTATATAGACAAATGATTATTATATTCATCATTCAAAAAAGACATGCACGTAGCACTTCACCTACAACAACAACAAAAAGGGAACAAATTCACGTAATTAAGCAACTTAAAGAATATTTAAATCTATATTTGATTCCCGCAAACCCTTTTTTGATATGTATAACTACTTTTTCTCGATAGAATGTAAGGAGAAAGATGAAAAAAATCTTCCATTTATAAAAGTAAACCATAACAATAAGAGCGAATGCCATTAGTAACGTTTCATTCAAATCATCGACGCGCAAGAGTTAAAATATAATAGACATTTACATTCCAGTCAAAAAATGGACAAAGGACGTTCAATAGCCCGAATCAATGTCCAAATTATACATTAATTTATGAACTTAAATCTTTTTTCATTCGATTTCTACTAAATACAATACATTTTCGGTTTTTCCTGCTTCCAATCTTCATCAATTTTCAATCATTCCAAGTTTTGGGTATTTTTTGAGAAAATCTTAAAACTTTGTGAAATGAAGGACTGTTTTAAGGCTCAGTCAATCAATTTTTCTGCAATTATGAGAGAATTAATTATTATATGAATAATTATTTTTTACTATACATCAGTTATAAACAGTTAACTAAGTTACATTTATATATGTCGATCAATGATTTAAAGCCTCGAAGAGTTTAATATGCAAGGCAAGATATAAAATTATATTTATATACTATATTTAGTAAAACACACTGACTATTTACTTCAAACATTTCATCTGATTTCTACTGCTAATAAAAAGCAGCATATCATATTCCCTCAAATAAAGAATAGTCGACTTAGATTTAACATTCAATTGATTTGAAACAAAGAGATGAAAAAAAAAACATTATTCACTATTTACATTCTGGACTATTGAGAGAGAAAAAGAAAATACTAAAAGTGGCTTAGCCAATCATTTATTTTTACCCTTCTATTAATTTTTTTGAATTTAATTTCATTTTTTGTTTGATTTGAGTCAGAGAATTAAATGATTTTTTGTCCTTCTAAAATAAATTGTTTGTATTTTTTTAAACAAATATATTATTTTACATCAATGTCTTTATCCATTTATCCTAGTAGTTAATAAAATTATTTACGTTTCTGGTGGCTAATGATTTGTAAGAAGATATTTTTAAGCCGTATTAAATTTCGTTTATCCAACATATGGTCTCATATTACAATGAATTGTGGAGAACTAAACTCGTTCGTAGCTTCATCGATCCCACACACGTAACTAAGAACATTCCACTTAAATGTGTCAATGTCTGTTTTATGTAACAGATATTATGTTTACTGACGCATTTTTCTTTAAATAATTCAACGAATAGATGAGTTTATCAAGGAGCGAGAACGATACGCAACGATCGGAGATGATTTGGATAATGCATTTGTTGGTCAGAAAATACATTAGTCTTTGTTGATTAGAAATAACATAATGTATAATTCTATAGAACTTATCGGTGTTGATGTGGTGTATAACGACAGACATCCAAAACCTCCAACACCTCCCAAGGATCCAACACCGCCACCACCAAAAGAAGCAACACCACCAGGCAAATACCGAATAAAAGAAACAATAGTTTTCACATATCTAACAAATACGATGCCATCGAATTTGTGTTTTGTAAATATTTACCAGAAATATTTGCAAATTTTGTAGACATGATGACATCGTATTTGAGTGATTTCGAAAACTATTCGTACAACTTGAAGAATATATTTTGCATAACATTCAAAATAATGTTGTACAGAGGTTGCGCCCGATGCGGTTCCTGTTGGTGAAGATGGTCAACCAATTGTAGTGCAACTTGGTGAAGATGGCCAACCAATTCCACCAAGTGCCGATGCGGCAGCACCTGCAGAGCCTGAACCAGAAGTATTGAGAATATCATACATATATCCAACGAAATTCTTTATTTCATGGATTGGAAAATCTAATTTTCTGTTTCGCATAAACTAAAGCCACCAAAACCAAAGGGACCACCACCACCATTTGAATTCAAACTTGACTTGCCACCTGAGGGCGCCGAAGTACCATTCGTGAAGAATTACTCTCCACCTCCACCAGAACCAGAACCAGTACCTGTGCCTGAAGGTGAAAGCGATAGAAAGATCGATTAATTATTATTGACAAACATTCAATGGATTGTATTGGTTGGTAGGTGAGAAGCCAGCCGATGGTGCACCACCCGCCGAGGGTGAAAAACCAGCAGAAGGGCAACCACCAGTCGAAGGACAACCGCCAGTCGAAGGGCAACCACCAGTCGAAGGACAACCACCTGCAGAAGGTTAATACAGTATATTGAAGCGATAATACCTACTGTACATTCATTTTGAATGATATTTGCGTTGTAGCGAATTCATTTGCTTAGATCATTTTCGATCGCTGTTGAATGCGTCACAAGAGATATCGTTCAAATTAAATGTATATACCAAAATATCGTCAAACACATAAACAATTATATTGCGGTTATCAGGTGAGAAACCAGCTGAAGCTGCACCAGCTGAAGCCACACCAGCCGAGGCTGCACCAGCCGAAGCCGCACCAGCAGCACCAGCTGAGGCCGCACCATCCGAGGCTGCACCAGCTGAAGCACCACCAGCCGATGCTCCATCAGCATAGACTTCTCAATTACTTCATCATCCAAGAAATTGTTGATCATTTCTTTTACATTAAAACAAAATATTTGCTTGCCAAAATTATCGCTTTGCACGTTAAACCTTTTAACACTTGAGAAACAAATTAAAAAAAAAAAACATTATATTGACCAATGTTCAATGCTTCTCTAAGGTAACTATTTAAATTGAGTGGCACTTTATTTTGCTTGGAATGTGAATGATTTTTTAAAAAAATATATCGCTAAATATTATATAAAAAATTATCTAGGTAGAACATTTTGAATTGTAAATATCTAATATTTTACTTTATTACTTGTATTTTATTTCTGTTGCTGGTTTTTTTATCATGATAAAACAGACGAACTCGTCATGGAAAAGGAAAAATACAAGGATATTGGAGACGATCTCGACACCGCATTCGTCGAACTCATCCTCAAAGAATAAGCAGCAATTGCTTCCACAAAAGACTCTTTCAATTCTGCATAAAATCCCGTATTATGATCAACTTAAAAGTGAAACATTGTTTTACTTTCTTTTTTTTAAAATTATTTTTATAATTTTGTATTTTGTAATTTTGATTTAAAAAAAAAGCGAATTAAAGAGCGTTCTTTTATTTTCAATCAGTTAAAATTAATTTGTTTTATTGAATTTATTTTATTAATTAGTTGACCCCAGACCTATTTGATGACAAATACTTTATGTTTACTGGACTATGAGACTATAAGACATGAACAATTATTTACTGCTATAAGATTTTTAGAAATTATACTAACAAAGATTAACATTACATTCGCAGATGATCTACTGGCCGAAAGGGAAAATAACAAACGAATTGCACATCAAATTGATCTAGGCTATGCTGATAGTTACTAGACATTTTCCATTTATAATATGCAAATAAGTGTCCCACAGAAAATTTTTACACATTATTTTCATTGAGTAACGCGCATTTTCTTCAAAAACCATACGAACAACATCGCATGTGCATCTATATGGTTCATTTCTGAAAATTATGAATACCTCACGATATCACCACAATTTCATAGTAATAGTGCAGACATATTCATTTAACTGACATTGTAATGGTAAATAATGGTGAATTTTTGGTGTCCATTTTATTTATGAATACCACTTTAAACAATGAAATCATAGTGCGTTTAGTTTCATCATTAGTTTTAACCTAATGTCACTACTCACTTTTGCTACAATTAAATCAATAAATTAGCTTTAAGTACTGCCTAAACAACCAAATGAAAATTTAGAATGAATGGAGAGGGAGAGAGAAAAGGTATTCTTTTCATTTGGATAAATGGTAATAGTTAAAAATATCGTCTGTTCAATGGCCAAATGTCAATCTCCAGGGCCTTCCTTAACTTCTATCAGCACACTTTCACATAAAAATTCAATGCTATGAAATACTTACATACAAATTGTATGAACACTTGCAAAAACAAAATAAACAATAACAACTTTGAACCGATAGGAATTAGACTAATTAATATGAACACTGTTGTAGCTTTCAGTAATATGTTCTTAAAAATGTTTTGCTATTTCATTAAAAATGAATTGAATTTAATTGATAAATGCCTTTTTTGTAATGATCTATTAATAATTGTTGCCAGAAGATTTGTCACAGAATTACTTTTGGACATTGGTCATTTAAAGACAAATCGTACCAAATATAACTGTCAATACTTCACCAATATTACTGTTTTATTCACTTGGTGGATTTTTTGCGATTTGAACGTTTGTCCGGTCCGCTTACAAATAATTTTGATAAGATTTCAAAACCCTATTTATATGCTATTTTATCTGCTAATAAAAGAAGTTGTAAATCCGAAAAACAATTTTATTATTTACCTTTTTCATTCTTTCTTCCTTTGGAATAGCTAATAAAATTTACCTGAAAACTTGTTCAAGAAAAAAGTAAGTACTGTTCATTCCACAGAATGAATATAGGTTTTGATTAGTTCCAATGTTCTTCATGCGTGCCTTTAAATTCTAAAATGTGATAATTCAAGTATTCAAGATAATCATTGATTATTAGTCAAAGTTTGAATGTGATGAATACAAAGTAAAAAAAATCGCTTTTTATATGTCAACGACCATATCATGTAAAGAGCACATCATCAATATCCAAATGGTGTAGTACTTCTCATATTAAATGAATAAAAACTTAATTTTTAAAATAATAAAAAAACATTAAAAATCTACTAACCATAAGAACCATACAATTTTTGTAAAAAAAAAATCACCCAACAAATGAAAAAAAAAAAGAAATGATGCCAACGACACATGGTGTTCCCAGACGGTCACCCATTCAAGTACTAACCATGCTCAATGCAGCTTAACTTCAGTGATCGGACGAGAACTGGTGCTTTTTACATGATATGGTCGTTGACAAATAAATAATCCTTATTTGCGTAGACATTCTTCAAATATAATATCTAAAACACATTTTTGGGGCAATTATAATGTTACTTAAAGACTGTTTTCACTTCCAAATGAAAGAAGGTGCCTTTTACTTACAGTCTTCAAAAAATTATTTATCATCGATATAGTTTTCTCGGTATTATTAATCAAAATAAGTGAAACTGTGAAAAATGTGTTCGTAAAAAATAATTATGGTAAAAAAAATGATTGAAAACTACTAGTAGAGAGCATCTTCTTTCACTTGAAATCTAAAAAAATCTTTAAGTAACATTATAATTGCTCCAAAAATATGTTTTAGATATTATATTTGAAGATTGTCTACGCAAATAAGGATTATATATTTGTCAACGACCATATCATGTAAAAAGCACCAGTTCTCGTCCGATCACTGAAGTTAAGCTGCATTGAGCATGGTTAGTACTTGAATGGGTGACCGTCTGGGAACACCATGTGTCGTTGGCATCATTTCTTTTTTAATTTAGTTTTTTTTTACATTAAATGAAGAATTCATCAATAATCTAATTGAAATAATAATCTTTTTTGAATTTTAAAATGTTTGATTTTCGATATATATTCTATTTTAAACTATTATGTATTTGTTGAAAAAACAAACAAACTCATCAAATTTAATTGAATTCAAATACAATCAATATATTCGTTCATCGCACTAAATAAACTTGAAATACTTACACATTCTATACCACCACAAAATGTATTTTAGTACTGGCTATGACGCATGGCTGAAAAATTTGAGAAAAATGTCGAGTATTTGTAAAATAGTGAATAAAATGTTCATTTCGAATAATATACATATAAAATAATTTTATTTATCTCACTTTTATTTGCAAGACAACAATGCTAAAATGAATAAAATATATAGTAATATTTTAATTTCCTGTTTCAATCATATTTACTTCGTGTAAATCAAATGCACACCGAAGTGATAGTGTTATATATATATTCGAATGTTTTACAGTAGACTAACTATAGTGCATAGAAAGAATATTAAGTTGGTTCATTTCATTGCAAGAAATATTTGCGTCATTCGCACATTGATTTTCGATTGGAAAAGCTTTTTAAATGCGAACAAAAATAATTTCAGAAATGCTCACATCATTCTCTTATACAATACATTTTTAATGCCAAATAGAATATGTTCGCATCTATTTCATATTTTTTTCAATCATATTCTGTTATTTTAAGTTTGTTTTTCTCTAGTTTGACATTTTTACTCCGATACCTTTATAAATAATATAAGCGACTTTGCACATAGACATAAAATGTGTGATATTCAAAATTCTTTTGTGCTTTGAAAATAGACACGAAATTTAGAAATTTTATTTTTAGTTCAAAACGGTATCAAAATCGCTTATTGTCTTACATAATAAGTATCAGAAGAAGAAGAAAAAAATATATAACATTTTTATTTATGCTTTTCAGCCTTGAAATACATGAATATCATCGTAAAGTAGCAAAACAAAAAATTTACGCAAGTAATTTCAAGTAATGTTTGACTTAGATATCTTATTTTGTGCGATCGCAAATCGAAAAAAATCAAAGAAAAAACAATATAGTATAATGATATTGTTGGAATGCTTGGCTTTAAATTGACTAAACCAACTAAATATGTGTATGTGTATGTCAATATATCGATTACATCAATGAATTTGTGCTTGCGTATAATGGTGATGTCGTCGAAACTGCTCGCTTCAATCGTAGCGGTGTGGTTTTTGTAAAAGAAAATGCTCGATTGACTAGACGTGACCGAGCATAATTGTATACTTTCTTGAGTGTGCCAAAATTGATATCACTGATATCAATGCCCAATTCTTGTGATTCACAATTGCGCAAAAATTGCTCATAATCGGCACGGCATGCATTCTCCGCTAATTGCCTACAAAAGTTTTTCAAATAGACGATTTTATCGCATTCCTCGTTGATATTGAAACAGTAAATTTTATCTTTAACATTAATGGCGAAAGCTCGTTCGCTATCTTTCATATCATATACATATGGAATTGCACTAAGCGGTATCAGGCGAATATGTTTATAGCTCTTGCCATGCGTATGGGAGCGTGTTGTTGTATTCAGCGCATTGATTGTTCCCGTTGGTGATTTAATACTGTTTATGCCACGCGATTTACGAATCTTACAAATCTCAATGTAATCGGTAAACAAAAATATCATCAGTGGATCATCACGACCGCTTAAGCAATTTGACAACTCGGAAACTTCGCACCGAGATATATAGCTTCGATGTGAAGATACTAGATCAGCCGGACAATTATCAATTTCATTGAATATATCAAATAATGCAACACGACCCTCTGTTTTCCGTTTATCTTCGTTGATATACTTCATTACATCTTTGATGGCATTCAATGCTTCTTCTAAAACTTTAAAATCTGGATTGGATTTTGGTGTATGTTTTAGTATATCGTTGATAAGTAAACTCATGCTTGGAAGTCGTTGAACGGGTCGAATCATAAGATCTTGTAATGTTTGACGGCCACACTCTGGTTTTGATTGGTTAATTTTTAAGAATGCATGAAATTTTGGATTTTGTGCAATACATTGTTGAAGGGTGTCTTTCATCTGTTCAAAGAAATTTACATAGGGCGGATATGCTTTGAGTAATCTTTCGCGATGATCGAGTATTATTTTTCCAATGAGACATGTGTCGGTCCAGCACGACTGTAGCTCTTTGAAATCATTCAACATATGCAAATGCACCTCGTATATTGGTGAGAAATTATTGAAAATCGCTCGAAGTTCTGATTTGTTAAGTAGCTCTTCGTCGGTATCCACCATGTTTTCCAGTGGTTTTTGAAATTCCGAAACGATTGTGTGCAAAATACCAACGTAATTATTTTCAGTCGAATACAAATCCATAAAGTGATTAAGTCGCATCGATTTTTGCTTTTTTGTTTTCGGCGTATTATCCATACTGCAATCAAAATCTGTATGATAAAAAATATATGGTAAATTATAAAGTATATGTATATGACGTTTGATAATTGAGACATTGAAGCTGACGTACCTTTGGAATCATGCTTAATGCTGGGGCTATTTGTGCAATCTAAGAAGCTTCCCGACACTGATAATCCTTCAGAAATTGATGATCGTCGCTTTATAGAAGAAGCTCCAAGTATAGAAAAGCGCTTCCGTTTCAGATGTTTTTTACCAGGTGGCAACGATTCACGTCGGCCTGGTGTTGCCAAACTTTCAAAGTATTCTTCATTGAATTTATGTTCATCTTCGCTGGCAATGCCTTTTTGTATAGTATACCAAAACCAGTCGGATTTAACTATGTGGGGAACGATGTTTTTCTGTAGTTCAATATGTTGATTATCGGACGATATTAGTGAAATTGGCTGTGGACGAGATACATTCGTATTGTCGGCAACATCAGTCCCGGTTATCTGCATAGAACAAGCATTCGATTGTCCGGTAGTGTTTGTTCTATCATCCAAAGCATTTGTAAAATTTTCAGTATTCTCAGTTTCTGATGTTTTAACTATTGCCGCGGCATTCATAGTGCTGTTAACTAATTTGCGACACGACATTTTACTAATCTCATTTGGTATCGCAAATTTACCGTCATCATTTTCCACTCGATCTAAAACGGCCGTGTTGAATTTCTTCGGAGTTTGTGGTGTTAAGCAGAAATCTCGTTTCGAGCGACTGCTGTTGGTGATACGATCCTTAAGTCCTAGTAGAAATTTCTCCTTAACGGGACGCTTAATATCGGAAAATGTGCTTTCGATGGATGTTATAGAATTTATCGATGCATTTGGATCGATTGAGTTTCGTCGTACACGAATCATACTTGTTATCGGATTTTTTAGCGCAGCAAAACTCATACTTCGACGCAATGACCGTGTTATTGAACCAGTTCGAATTAGTTTTGGTTTTTTTGCAGAACTGAACTGTGTTGCAAATGTTTCGGTTGAAATTATGGAAATATTATCGAAACTATCACGTTTACGTTTTGATAAATCTTTGTCGTTTGGATCATCGTTATTTGGATTATCTTCTTCTTCTTCTTCGATGTTATGAAGTATTGGAGATAAATTGGCCTGATCCGAAAATAAATTTTCTTCATTACCCGGTAAAACGATACCATCATTACGGATATTGTTGTGTTTGTTTATTTTTTTTGGTGTTTCAATAATGGTTTGTTGGTTGGTGCTCAATTTATTTTGAACAATTTTATCATTTAAATTTAATTGATCCAATCCATCGGGTGGTAACATTTTTTCCGTGCAAACTGTATTCGATGTCGATGTACTGCAAAAATGTGATGGCAATGGTGGTCGTGCAATTATTGGCGGTGATGTTGGTCCCGTTAATAGTTCAGGGAAATTTGAAATATTACTTGCTAAAATTAAGTGAGTACAATCCGGATCATCTATATCGGTTGGTATACCACCATTCATTTTTAAAATGTCAACCATTTCTTGATGTTCTTCCGGTGAAAAACCGTAGAAACAAATGCGTAACCCTTCGAATGATTTAAGTTTATATGTTTCGCAGAATTCACTTTCGTTGGCAAAAAAATTTGGATCATTTCGTCGTTCCCACGCTGCTTCGATCCAGCTTGGTCGCACAACCGTTAAATTGAATGTTTTCGCATAATGATACTTTTCACCAACACTTGCACTACAAATCAGGTGCGTGCAATGACTATTATTCTTTATGTCTTTACGTATCGAACCTCCCATTGTGTGAATAAGAGTAACGAAACGCGTTAGTTCGTCTTTCTTGCGAATGCCAGTGAAGCAAGTAATTACACCCTTCATGGAAAAATTGTATAACGGTCGATTAACATAGACAAGACCTTTGCCAGATTGTGCGATCTGCTGCAATGCTGTTGGTCCATAAATTCGATGTTTACTTTTACGAATAGCATTGAAATGTTCTCCATCAAACTCACTCATCACATAATATGTTGTCCATTGTTTTTCATCGATAAATTCAATTCCCGTTTTCGATGTAATTACAGGAACATTAAATGAACGTGCTGCTGATAAAATATTCTCATCATCAGCCACTGAACCAACCAAACAAATTCGCTCGTCCGAAATCGTTTCGGTTTTTGTGGCACACATTTGATTTGCCATGATTTTTGATTTTGTTGGTGATACAATGTTAACTTCTTTGATTAATTTATGATTGGTAACTAGTTCGTTATGGTTTTCTTTCTCTTCGAGTTCGTATTGGTCTTCAATAATTTTTACTGATTGCTTCATTGTTCCCACCAATCCATTTTCAAATGTAACAACACCTGTACTATGACTATTCGCATAATCGGTTCCACTCATTTCGCACGACCGTTAAAATTTTTGAAATTCATGCGCAAACCACATTTTGTTTGTTGTACTATTATACGTGTTTTTGTTTCGACTGTATATACATAAAAGTCAATGAAAGAAGAAGAATTAAATAAAAAACTACTATATATGTAATGTCGACTAAATGTTCTTCGCTTTCGTTGTCTTCTTCTTTTGCTGTATCACTGAATATCCATAGGATCGTGAACAAGCACAATCACAAACAAACTGCGATACACTTGGCCAGAGCAACGTTCACTTACGCTACACACGTACACTGTGAGAGTATAGCGATAATATCGAAGATTTCGTCGTTTCTTTTATATTGTTTTTTTTTTCCTTTCTGCTTTTTGTTTATTTCTTCTTCACTTGATATATTCAACACAGGCTTTGAATTCGTTGCTACAGTTGTACTCACGTTTTGCTTTTAAAAGTAAATGCAAAATTTGAAAGAGAAAAAACTCTCATGCAAACGATATGAACAAGGAACTTTACATGTAAATACACAGTTTAGTATAACAAGTATTTCTTCTTTGTTTTTTTCGCTTAAAATGTATTTGCTTTAATTTAACGTATGAGTCAATTGTTCTAAAATGAGTCGTTGTGTGTGGTGGTATTTGACATTTGATCAAATAAATTTAACAAAAATCCGTCGAATGTAGAAAAAAAAAACCGAATTAATGCACGGAAAAGAATCACTTTAAATCAAAGTAAACGTAGATTCGTTTCCTCTATACAGACTCATTCCTTCTTTTTGAGTGTTTTTTTATCGTCTATTATGTTGTGAATACGTTGTGAGAAAATAACACACGAAAATTCGACAATGAAAACTTAATACACATATAACACACGGGAAAAGTCTTTCGACTAAAATAAACGTACTTTTTTCGGCAGCTCTTGTTGCTGTTTGGATGTCGTTACGTTTTTCATATATATATGTATATCTGAATTTTAAGCGTCGCACGCTGTTCAATGCTGTTCCTCTCTTTCTTCTGCACGCAGTCGTGCAAGTGAGCAACATGTATATGTGTGTGCAATGTACAGACTTATGTGTGCGCAATTCGACTTGTGTGGTTGAGTGAGCGCACATTTGTACCAATCTTTGAAATCTGGCGCTTATTGTGTATACAAGTCTAAAAGAGACAAATATATGGTGTACGTTTTTTGTGACTCTTTTTCGTTTCGGTCATTTCGTACTCATTCTCTTTTTTGTCCATGGTTCGTATTTGTATGTGTTTGCATTTGTTTGAAATTGTCCTTGGTATTTGCTGTTCAATCAGAGCATTGGCTTTTTGCCTCTTTTCATTTTTTAAAACAACATTCCTATTATGTTCATTTAATGGGTTGATTGATTCATACAACAGAGTAGTCTTTTATAATTTAAAATATAATCGACAATTGTTGAAAACTATTAACGGCGATGCCAACAATTCAAATATTGATGTGTTAACTTGTGCAAACTTTTCAACAGCTGTCACACTATGTTGTGTTATGTCAATGGTGTAGAGAACGCAACCCAATTTCGTTGTTTCGCACATGTTTATTGAAACGTCAAATTCGCTGTATTGTATACTTTTCACGAGCTAGAGATAGCTTCAATCGTTTTTAGTTGAACTAAATTTATTCAAAAGATTGGAAAAATCATAGCAGCAACTGAGACATGGCAAATTCAACTGAAGATCCGGTTTTTAAAAACCTCAGCGCTGATGATATTGATCACACTGTGACTGAAATTGAATCTTGCTGCATGAACTGTTACAAAAATGTGAGTTTGTTGTTTATTTGTAAATTAATCGGAATAATATAATAATTGTTTTCGGGATGTATTTTTTTCATTTTATTAGGGTATCACGCGTTTGCTTCTTACCAAAATTCCATTCTATAAAGAAACAATAATCGCTTCATTTTCCTGCGAAAATTGTGGTTATGAAAACAACGAAATCCAACCGGCTGGCGAAATCGAACCTACCGGATGTAAAATTACACTACAAATAAAAACATCAAAAGATCTAAATCGTCGTGTTGTCAAATCAGATCGAACGAATGTAAAATTCGTCGAATTAGATTTCGAAATACCAGCGCAATCACAAAAAGGTGAAGTCACCACCATCGAAGGTATTATTAACCGCTCAGTTGCTGGTTTAGAACAGGACCAACCACTTCGACGTATAGAGCATCCAGAGGTTGCGGCACAAATTGATGCATTCGTTGAAAAATTGAATAGCCTTAAGTCAGTTGAAACACCATTTACAATCATCTTTGAAGATATTTCGGGAAATTGTCGAGTTGAAAATTTGAGTGCACCAAATCCAGGTAAAAAAAAATTCATATAAAAAATACCAAGTATTTCGTTTAAATACATTTTATTATTGATATTGATTTATTGGAAATTGAATGGAACAATTTTGTCAATTTGACAATGTCAAAGCAACGAATCAAATAATCGTATAAATTCTGAATTTCACCTGTTCCTCATTCTCCGCAATGGAATTCAAGACGGATTCAAGCCCATCTACATCCGCGTTGTCCACAACCAGAATACGATGTTCGAGTTCAGACACACCATTTCTTTATTTTTAACAATATTTCACCGAACTTTTTTTCGTCTTTCTATCGAAAGAAAAATTGGTTTGGCATTGGTCACCGAAGAGATTCAGAATTTATACGATTATTTAAATCATTGCTTTAACAACATTGTTCCATTAAATTTCTAATAAATTGATATCAATAATAAAATATATTTGAACTAAATACCTGGAAAAAATACCAGGAATATAAATTTAATAGATCTCGATTTTTTATATGATTTTAATAGATCCAGGTTGTTCGATTGCACACTTTATTCGAACGAAAGAACAGAATCATGAGCTGGGAATGTTCACGCAAGCCGAACTCAATGATGAAACCACGGAAAGTAAAACAAATATTTTAAAACCCATTGCTGAAGATGAATGGCCATTGGAAGAACTACATGGCGAAGTTTTACAATTTCAAACCAATTGCTCTAATTGTCACTCAAACTGTGAAACAAATATGAAACTCACGAATATTCCACATTTCAAAGAGGTTGTGATTATGTCAACAAATTGCGATGCATGCGGCGTTAGAACCAACGAAGTTAAATCAGGTGGTGGTATTGAGGAGAAGGGAGTCAGAATAACAGTCAAAATTGATGGACGCGAAGACATGAGCAGAGACGTTTTGAAGGTATGTTTGTTTATTACATTCAGTATACTACACATGTGAAATTAAGTCGTATTTTGTCGAAATTAACAGTCAGACACGTGTACCATTGATATACCTGAGCTGGAAAGTGAGTTTGGTGCATCAGGTCTGGGTGGTCGTTTTACAACAATTGAAGGAATACTGAGTGCGATACGTGATCAAATATTGGAAAATAGTGCTGTTTTTCAAGACTCAGCCGATGTTGAATCCAAAAAGAAAATCGACAAGTAAGATACAATTTATTTATTTAAATGGCTATTCATTTTATTGAAGAAAAAAAAACATTTAAATCTATTTTAAAATAGGTTTGCAGAAACATTGCAAGACATTATGAGCGGAAAACGTACAGTGACTATCATTTTGGATGACCCAGCTGGCAATAGCTATGTACAAGCATTAACCGATGATGGCAGTCTAGACGAACGATTAACAATTGAAAAATACGAACGAACATTTGAACATAATGAAGAATTAGGTCTAAATGACATTAAAACTGAAAACTATGCATAAGAATGAAAGCAAGCACTTTTTAAAATGTTAATAATAAATATACTTGATAAAACATAAATTATTCAGCTGGATTTGTTGGATTTGTTGCCGATTGTTGAGCTTGTGCTTGTGCAAATTGCGAATCTACATCGCTCACCACTAATTCTCCGTCTAATTTTTTAAGTGATGGTAAACGCTTAATTACTTCGGCACGGTAAGTCGCTTCGTCCGTATAACTTTCATGCAACGGATTTCCCGTAAACAATAAATTTTCTAAAGAAGGCAATTCTTCAGAATTTTTAGACAGTTAAAAGTGGTAAGTTAGAAAATTAAGGTAACATTTTAATGTACCGACTATCCCAATAGTATAAAGTGAATAAAAACCTTGAAGTCGAGCAAATTCGGTCCAGTCCTTTATCAAATTATTACTGATGTAGAGAACACGAAGTTTTTTTAACACATTGATGCCTTTTAGCTTTTCGATCAAATTATAGCTCATCCACAGCTCTTCGAGGGTATCAGCAACGCCCTCCTAAAACAATTTGATATAGAAAGTACATAATTTTTATTCACATTTTGAGAAACTTACCAATCCGGTAAACGATTTCACGTAATTGCGACCCAACGATAGAACACGTAAATTTTTCATCCCATTTATTCCTGTAATCTTTTCAATTCAATTTTCGTGTTGGTTACAAACCGATATCCGAGAATTTTCCGCCATGGTGGAAAGTTTGCGTATAAGTGGTGTACAATGCGTACTGCCTTGCATATAAATTTTGTAATGTACCCTTATTGTCCGTATAAAACTGTTATGAAATGCAATCTATTGCACAATTTGTACGCAATGATAGCATATGTTATAATATCAAAAAAAAATGTACGGAAAAGTTATATTTTTGGCTAAAGAGGCATTTTATAACAGTTTTGTATGGACAGTAAGGGTCCCCATACCTTTTCAATCATATTGGTTGATAGACTCAATTTCCTACAACAAAGAGTAGTAAGAGTTTTTTAAACGTTGATTAAAATATTTTACATGCGTTACAAACTCACTCGCATTTGACTAATGTTGATAAGGTTGCGTCCATCTTTTCAATTGGCGGCCACTGAAATTGCAGGTTGATTTCTTTCACTTCCGTCGAGTTTTGTTTATTTTGATCTTCCCAACGTTTTAACGCTTCTTTAATTGTAGTAGCTTTTGCCATGTTATTGCAAACAGAATCGTTGGTAGAATTCTTGTTAGTGTTAAAAAAAGATTCTTAATAGAGAACTAAATAACACCCATATCACTATGACAACGATGACATGAACTACATTTCTGACAAAAATCCATTTTAATTGAATTGACACATTGTTTTATGAATTTTAAGACATTTTATCATTATGATTTATGAATAACATGGACATAAGCATTTTTCAGTTATTTTAAAAATCTGCAATATTTTTGAAATTCAAAAGTCCAACGTTCATGAAAACTTGTTTTAAGCATAAATATGATTAAATTTCAGTCATAAATAAAGCAATTAGTTGGATTCGTTATGGAAAATATTCAGTTTTTCCATAATACCAGTGACATCGAAAATCCAATGCCAATGAAACCAATGTAAATAAAAAGTCCCGTTACGTGAGCGAAATAACTTTTCCTATGAAAATGCCAAATGTTAACGACTTTCATGTTGTTCGGCACTCTAGCTGATGTAATTTTTTTGTTTAGACAAATAACAATCGAATAAAATGAAATAAATTAGGAAACACAATAAAAGTATGTTTGTAGTATAAACAAACTATACAATTGATGTGACGTACGTACTCACATCCTCGTTCTTTAATCGTTACGAAATGCCATAGCAAATCGAAATGGACGCTCAATAAGTAAAACGCAATATTCTCGTCAAATCATTCATATTTAATTTGTATCAACTAGAAAGCAATGACCAAATTTCTTCGAGCATGTACGTGTAGTAAAAAATAAAAATTCAAACTGTTCGGTATTAATCTCGATCATTTATATGGATATTACATAATTAAAAAAATAAACTAAGTATTTTGTTCCAAAACTAATAGATTTTTCTATTGTATCGTATTGATCAAAGTTCGTGAAACTTTCATGAGTGGGAATAAAGTAAAATTGGAAATAAGTCTAGTCAAAGTTTTGACATTGAAAAAGACCAATTGCTGTTTCTTGGCAATAATAAGACACCTGGAAATAAAACAACAGTACCTGTTTGCTTACATTTTTCATCTACGCAAAAACACCATAATATATTTTTATGGACAAATGGTTTGGAGAGAAACGACTATGGCTATTTGGAAATCGTTTTCCATTGCTATCTAGAAGGTAAACACTTAAGGAAAACTTTAATTAGAAAATCATAGATAATGGGTTAATAAACAATCTCGGAATTTCAATTAAATTCTGAAAGTGAAACTTAATTTCAACTTCTCTCGTGGTCAATATAGCATGTGCTACACCCGATACGGACATACAATTGAACAAAATATTTATTCTACAATTAAAAATACATATGTGGTATAATGTTGGAATAACATCGCGAGTGAATAAATAAATTCATCGATTTTTTCCTCTGTTTTTGGTTAGGCCAATCCAAGTCTAGTCATTGTTAAAATTGAGTAGTTGCTTGTATTGCTTATATGTATTGCTTATGTATATGCATACATAGATATTTCCATTATTATTCGGTATTATTGGATGAATATTTTATTATTGGTCATTCCTTCTGTGTGTGGTGGTTTCCACTTTCGATAAATGTATTTTGTATCCAGTTGATGTGCAACCAAACAAAGGAAAAGTCGTTTCTTTTGTGCTCAATAAAAGTTACATTGTTTCGGTTTTAAAATTTTCCAACAACTCATTCGCAATATCAATAAAACAACAGTTTGATGCAATTTATGTTAAATTTTTGGAGGTGAATTTAAACAATACAATACCAAAATAGTAATTTTCAAGAGACACATTTTTTTACATGTTAAACATTCGATTGAACATTATAAAAGATTGAATGTCAGAGTCGTTGCGTGTCATTTGATTTATACCACCTGTTATTCTTGGAATCGTTCATGATTGATTTTGTTCTTGCTAGTACCTCATTTAAAATTTAATCAATAAATTCTTTCATTCGTCCGAGCATACATATCTAATAAAAATTTGCTGTTAACGGTGACAAATTTTTTATATGTTCATTTTTTTGCAATTATGGAATTTATAGAGCGAACGTCCAGAGCGGGAAAATGGAGCGGTACGAGAAACTCAGTCGGTAATTTTTCATATCATATTTGTTAATAGATTCAAATTTCTACTATAAAAGAAAAAATCATTACTATCACAAGCAACATTTTTCAACGCTATAATTGATAAAAAATATCACTACTATTTTTTACTTTGATTGAAATATTCTACATGCATACGAAGACTCGGCGAAGGCAGTTACGGAGTTGTATATAAATGTCGCGATCATGAGACGGGTGGATTAGTGGCTGTAAAACGTTTTGTAGAAAGCGAAGGTATGTATTGAAAAAATGTGCTATGTTTTTTTTATATGTATTGGTTGGTGGTGCAACTTTCGATAAATTCGCCGTTTCATTTCTCTTCTGTTTCATAGAGGACCCAGCTATAAGAAAGATTGCATTACGAGAAATTCGACTATTGAAGGTAAATGATAAGGACATAATATGTTTAAACAAACAATTATTAATTCCTTTATTCCATTTTTAACGTTCCAACCCAAACATATAGAATTTGAAGCACGAAAATTTAGTATCCCTTTTGGAAGTTTTTCGTCGAAAGCGCAGACTACATTTGGTGTTCGAATTTTGTGAGCATACTGTTTTACATGAATTGGAGCGAAATCCACAAGTATGCAAATTATTTGTTTCATTTAACGAACGCAATCGAATTAATTTCATAAAAATATTTTTTAGGGCTGTCCTGATGCATTAACGAAGCAGATAATTTACCAAACCTTGAATGGCGTTGCATACTGTCACTCGCAAGGTTGTATATACAATTTTTTTTAAATGACTGATGAATTGTTTTTTTTTTTTTAATTTAAAACGTCATTATTACAAAAAAGTAATGGATTAACAATTTTAGGTTGTTTGCACCGTGATATCAAGCCTGAGAATATCCTTCTTACTGCACAAGGTATCCAATATTGCAATGATCATATTGTCTTCCATTTGCCAAACATATAACGTTATAATAATACAAATAATATTTTCCTTATTTCATAAGGACAAGTTAAACTGTGTGATTTTGGTTTTGCCCGAATTATGAGCCCAGGCGAGAACTACACAGATTATGTCGCAACGAGATGGTATAGAGCACCTGAGCTCTTAGTTGGGGACACTCAATACTCCACACCTGTGGACGTCTGGTAATTTTATTTCTATAAATACCTCATAAATAGAATAGAGCAATATAAAAATGTCCGCTCAAATTTTAAGGGCAATCGGGTGTGTTTTTGCTGAAATGGTGCGTGGTACTGCACTTTGGCCTGGTCGGAGTGATGTGGATCAATTGTATCTAATTCGTAGAACCATTGGTGATATCTTGACCAGGCATCAACTGATTTTTAGTCAAAACGAATACTTTGGAGTAAGAATTTCCACATAAAAATATAATGGATATATTTTAGTATAGTTTAAACCAATTGTTTTTTTAGGGAATCACACTTCCAGTTGCACCAGTCATTGATGGATTGGAATCAAAGTTCCCGAGCAGGGTTCTCAAACAACCTGAAATTCTTGATTTTGCAAGAGTGAGTAAATGTTTGAATTATTAGTAAACTAAGGAAAACAGTATGTAATTGGATATGGTTCTAAACGCAGCAGGATCAATAAGAAATGATTATAAATTGAAAGAATTTGTGGCAATAGAAACCGATATACTTTGAAACAGTTTTAAATAGGAACCATTTCGAATAAACTCCATGCAAAATATCAATTTACTTTGGAAACTAGTGTGAATACATGTTAAAAACAAAACGACAAAATACGACTGATTGACATAAGCTGATGTCCATCCCACATAACACATAAGATAACAAAAATCGGCTCGTGTCTAAAAATAGTCGAAAATTCATTCAGATCCACGTAGCAAATTGTTATTTGAATAAGAATTTATTTACTTATCGCATTGTTATAATAAGATGTTTGTTTTTACAAATTCACTTTCCTTATATGTATTGAAAAAAAAAGCGTTGCTTGGATAAAGACCCGTCTAAACGATACTCATGTGAACGCCTCATGAAACATCCCCTTTTCGAGGATTACCTAGCGAAGCAAAAAGAAAATTCAATTGAACATATCGATTCACACAAGCTGAATCGTTCGCGTGAAAAAGCAAAGGTACATTTCGAATAAAAAATGTGAATTTTTCAGAGAATATTTTAATTTGTTTTCATTATTGCAGTCATTGAATACGTCGCTACCAATGATCGTAAATGCACAAGAAATTAATGCCAATTTGAAACAGATGCCGAAAATTTATTCCAATTCGAACGAACACCACTTGCCTTCAATTTAAAAGTCAGAACATCGGATTTTTAATGCTTCTTTCTCTACGAATAGTTATTTGTTAATACGCTTTTTTCGATCTATAGGAATCGATTTATTTTTTATTATATAGCGATTTCAAATATTTGATTCATCTACTTCGACATTCTTTCTGTAGACAATTATTTTACATGTAAATTTTTATTTACGTTATGCACACATCTTTGTTTTGTTTTTCTTTTTTTGTAAATTGCAACATGTAAAAGAAACAAAAAGGTATAATATGTAACTTTTTCTTTTAAAAATTAAAGCGAAAAACTATATATGTTAGACATTAATTAATTACTATAATTGACCCATACATTGCATTGGCCGGTGATTTTAACGAGATTCTGACGATAAATTGAGTCTGATAGACCATTGTAAGTAAAGCATTTATAGCCCACGTATCGACTGCATTCAAAACTATGACAAGAAAATCAGCTAAACGGATATATATTCAAAATTGACTGTGTATTTGATCAAATTTGGGATGTTGCCAAAACTCAATGGAAAAGAATGTTGTGATAGAAACTGCTAATGAAAATAACACACATATACATAAATAAATTTCAAACAACAAATTATAGAGACATGCGAGTCTGCGTAGAAGAGATATACTCGTTTAATTTTTATTTTTGTAGCAAACCCAATGAAAATGCTTGAATTGGAGCGATGTTGTCACCGGTTTTGAGAAAAAAACGGACATGTTAATCAGGCCAGATTTATAAAAATAGAATGAAATTCCAGCCAGTGAATCTTCAGCTTCTAATTAATTAAACTAACCAATTCGATATTGAAGGTTTCAAGATTCCAAAAGTTTTACATTTTCCTTGACATCATTTTGAGCCTTTCAGCCAATGAACAAAAAAAAAATCTTAGGCATAAAACGTGTCGATCAAGATGCATTTTGAATGTTGAATCAACCAAAATATTATATTTAAAAAAATTGAAAACATAAGTAAGATTTCGCTTGGTTTACGAATGAAATTTTTCGCAATGCTTTACTAACCTTGCATGCTGAAAAACAAGATGGGCGAACGATGACGATCGTTGTTATTTGCTCTTCGCATTTTGCAAGAGATTTTCTGTTGTTGTTTTTTTTTTCCTCAAAGACATCATTTTAAATTTATCTTACAGTCTAAGTTTTTTAAATAGAAAATAAAGTATATAGTCGAAATTTAAATTTACAAAACGAAATGAAGTATTTTTCGCCGTCGCCGTTAGTCGTCATCATAAGGACATTATGCGGTATGTGTTTTATTTTTATGCAAATAACTTGTGTGTGTGTGTCTGTAAGTAAAAGGGGAAATCGATGCGATATGAGTTGTGAAAACTCGAAAAGGTGGGGCTCTTCAGATCAACGATCGTCAGTGCTTTCGCGTTTTTACTGTCGTGTGGACTGTTTCGAGCGCTCAGGTTAGTTTGAAACTCTGCTCGGTGGAATTTTTTTTTCAACTTCTAATTTTTCTCCATAAATGTGATTTAAATCTATTCAATTAAGTGCATCAGAAAAACGGTGAAATATTTTGTTATGTTTGCTATGGTCCTGGTATATATAAACTTGAGGAAATACGGAAATTCCGGTGATTAAATTGTGACAAAAATTTCTCATTATATAATTGTGGAGATATGCAAGTGAACAGAAGTTGAACTTTCTTCTCGTTTTGAAAATGAATTTCGATTCAAACTGTAACTTAATTTTTTTTCATATTTAACACATTTTTAAGATCGTTTTTCGCCAATTCAAAATTTAAAGCAAAAACGTTAAATCTTGAAAAAATATTTCCACTTGAAAAAATTAAAATAAATATTGTGAGACAGTTAGATGTTTGTCTAGCATAAATTTCGTGAAAAGTCATGGACGTAACAGTTCCATTGGATTGTGTGCTAAAGTTCACCCACGCATGCATATAAAAATAAATATTTTTTATGTGCCGTGTGATCTAGAATCGTATTTGTTCAACTAACAAGTGACGTTAAAATTGATGTATTCGTCAACGTGCTGAATTTTACAAACTCAATTAGAAATTGGCTTATATATGCAATGATGCAAAAGTACAATGAAAACAGTGTGTAGAGGGCCATGCAAAATATTTGCCTGACAATTTTCAACGAAATGCCAAATGCTCGAGTGTTCATTTTAGTTTGCTTATTTTATTTTTGCTCAGTCTAATGTTGTAAAAGCAAATTGTTCATATCAATTGTAAAGAACGAGCAAATTATCATTTTTTTGCGAAAATGATTTAATTAAAAAAACCTACATATTGTGTACACAATCAGAAAAATTTAAGAATCAAAATATTTTGCAGTCTAAGCGAAGCAAGTCTCAGATCATGAAACTAGGTGAATCATACTTGCACGGTGTTCAATACAGAGCAATATACAAATCTCCATCTTCGCGTTCTATTTTAAACTTATTCACTATGAAATTGGAGTTGATTCAAACCAAAAAAAAAAAATACGAAGTAAAACCGACGATAATTTTTTTTTTCAGAAATATTAAACACGTATATGTAACAATAAATGTGCTAGAAGAGAGGAGAATCCGAAATACTTTACGATTAATTTAAAAATAGACATTTTTGCTCGCGCTGTCGCACCAGTTGAGCCATTCATATATATGCACCTTTCATAAGCCCACATCTTCTACATAGCTCCTTCTATACGAATTTTTCATTGTATATACATTGATGTTTTTGTTGTTTTCATTTTCTTTTTCGATGCTGCGATATATGTAGGCATTAGAGATTTTTACAGTTGGCATGTGGGAGTTATTTGGATATTCATTTCTTTCTACATTCGAATGAAATAAAACTGCGGAAAATCGCCTTTTACAATCGCGATATTATTGAAACAAATTTTTATTCAAAATTTCTAATATTAGATAAAGAAAATATTTTCATCGACCCGCCAGACCAATAGCAAGTGAAACAAAAATAATTTTTTTTTCTCATTCGTTTTTCCAATTGTTACTTAATTTTTTCTTGACATTTTTCGTATAATTTTTTTTTTCATACATTTCGAAATTATTCGGTTCGTTTCAGATAGTTCGAATTTTGTAGCAAATTTCTGTTAACTGTTTTCCTGTGTGTAAGCAAATAAAAAAAACTACATCAACATGGACGCCATCAAGAAGAAGATGCAAGCTATGAAGCTTGAAAAAGATAATGCTCAGGACAAGGCTGATACCTGTGAGGGACAGGCTAAAGATGCCAACCTTCGTGCCGATAAAGTCCTTGAAGAAGTTCGCGATTGCGAAAAGAAATTGGTTCAAGTTGAAATTGATTTGACCAATTCAAAGAACCAATTGGAATTGGCCAACCAAGAATTGGAAGAAAAAGAAAAGACCCTCACCGCTACCGAATCTGAAGTTGCCACTTTGAACCGTAAAGTTCAACAAATTGAAGAAGATTTGGAAAAATCCGAAGAACGCTCAGGCAGCGCACAACAAAAATTGTTGGAAGCCACCCAATCGGCTGATGAAAACAACCGGTATGTCTTTAAATTTGCCAAACTGTGATAGGTGGTCTAAGTGCAATCAATTTTTTTTTTTAATAATAATTCATTTTCTCACTATTTTCAGTATGTGCAAAGTACTTGAAAACCGTTCACAACAAGACGAAGAACGTATGGATCAATTGACCAACCAATTGAAAGAAGCTCGTCTCCTTGCTGAAGATGCTGACGGCAAATCCGATGAAGTCTCACGTAAATTGGCCTTCGTTGAAGATGAATTAGAAGTCGCTGAAGACCGTGTCAAATCAGGAGAAGCCAAGATCATGGAACTCGAAGAAGAATTGAAGGCAAGAATTTAAAAAATCTTTAAATTACATAAAATTAGAGTGTGAATTCAATATTGAAAATCGATTGTATTATTTCAATAACAATAATAATTTTAAAATGTAGGTCGTCGGAAACTCGCTCAAATCATTGGAAGTTTCGGAAGAAAAAGCCAATCAACGAGTGGAAGAATTCAAACGTGAAATGAAAACTCTTACTGTGCGCCTCAAGGAAGCCGAGAACCGCGCTGAAAGCGCTGAAAAGCAAGTCAAGAGACTTCAAAAAGAAGTCGACAGACTGGAAGGTGGGTTTGATCGAAAGAATATTATATGTTTGTTAATGTTGTACATTTTTTCAATTAAATTTTTTTAGTTAAGAATTTTAATCATTATAAAAATGCATTATAATAATCCAAAGCAGTGTTTAAAGTGAGACTATTTTGAATGTACAGTTTCGAGTAACTTATTTTAGACACTGCTGCTTAGTTTTTAAAACTTGTAAAAATGATGCTTTAATCAAATGCCTCGCCATATTTACAGATCGTCTGTTCCACGAAAAAGAAAAATACAAAGCAATTTGCGACGATTTGGATTCAACATTTGCAGAGCTTACTGGATATTAAATTGTCCAGAGCTTTATATGTTATTTTTTATGAAATTTCCCATTACCTATCCGTTGATTGATCCAAATACCAATTTTCCTTGTAAAATTTCCATCATTTTTAATTCGAATTTATACTATGTACTGTGTTTTTCATACATCCAGTCTCCAATATGAACATATAGTTTGCATATGCTTATTTTTCCCATACTAGATTTCTCATCGTGAACAGACATTTTTGTATTATGACCTGAAATATTTTTTTCTTTCAATATTAACATCTTAATTTACTACTAACATATTACCAATTCGAATTAAACGATGTATTATAGTCGCAATAAGTGATGAATTGAAAAAAACCAAATGTAAAAAGAGAAACCAACGCAAAAGATATGCAACACAACGCTGCTAAAAACAATGTAAACAATAACTAATAGATTTTACGCTTGGGCCTTTTGATAAAAAAATATATTTAAAAAATGTTTCGGAGCCTCTGCAGCTGCTCAAATAACCACCAATGCAAACATGAATACAATTCAATCTAGCAAGGTATTTCTACTGACATTAACCACTGGTATGAAAAATAAATTTAAAAAAAAGCTTAATTAACTGAAATTTACTGTATAAAATTACATTCTTTATCCTAGATAAAAAAAATTGTAAGATTTCTTTTGAATAAATATATGTTTTTGGTACTCTTTCAGACGAATTGGGTCTCAACAAGGACCGCTACAAGAGTCTTGCCGACGAAATGGACTCAACATTCGCCGAATTGGCTGGTTACTAAACAATACCAAAATCTCGTTTTGCTGCCATTTTTTACCATCCAATGGCGATGACTATGACGTTTTCGATAAATATCCTTCATTCTTTTTCTGCCTACGAATGATCAAAAACATCCAAGAAAAAGAACATGTCATCGTTTCAACATTCACAAACACACTCACTTTAAAATTGTCACATTTTAAATTTCAAATTTTTTTGTATTGCTTTGTAATTTATTGTAAAATTTATAACCGGATTTTCAATTATACATGTATTTCAAAAACAAACATCATGTGAATACTATGTTATTAATAATATATTTGTGTTTGTGAGCTTTATTCAAATAAAAAAATGCAAAAAAAAAAAACAAATGAAAAGATTTTAATTTCTCTCACATTCTAAAATTCAAATTGGAAACATTTATGAAATAATAGATTATCAACGGCTTCAATTTTCAAATCTATGTTTTAATAATAATGAGTTTTGACTTTTCGGTCGAACTGTGATGACAGTGATGGCACGTGAGTTAGTGGTTGCGCATGTCCAAAAGAAAAACAGTGAATAAACTTCAATTTAGTTGCACTTGGAATTTTGACGAAATATTGTATATTTTAAGAAAATCTGTTAAAAATGGCATTGAAAGTGCAAGTTGAGCAAAGTAAGTTATCTTTTTATTAAAAAATAATAGTCCTTGAAGTAATGAAATATTCAAAATATTTTTTTCTCAGAAAAATAATATTTTGTCTCTACATCGTAGTTTTGCTTTGAACAAGAACCATGCTTGCATGTGAATATGCAATATTATGATTTTTTTAATTTACAATACAAACTGTCAATGTGAAGATATTATTTTTGTTATGCACATCATTTCTGGTGAAATATTTAAATTAAATTACAGAATATTAAAAAAATGTAATGTAAAAAACCCGTTTAAGAAGTTGTTTATTAAACAAACAAATGTTGTATGAAAGTATCGATTTTCCCAACGAAGGGATACTGCGTCGAATCAAATACATAATCAACACAATAGGAATGACATTTATGAATTGTTTTGATTTAATTTTTAGAAATTATGAACGAAATTATTCGTTTCAATGGGAATGTTCCAGCCAAATCTGGTTCCAAGCGATGGCGTATTTTGGTCGTCGATAAGTTGGCAATGCGTATGATATCAGCTTGCTGTAAAATGCACGATATTACAGCTGAAGGAATACCATGTAAGTTTATAGAACAAAAAGGAATGGATTTGCTTTTCACGAGATTGCCCGACATTTTAATATAAAAATTATGCTTTTTAATGTTAACCAAATTAAAATTCTTTAGTGGTTGAAGATTTGCATAAAAAAAGAGAACCATTGACATCCATGGAAGCTATTTACTTGATGACGCCAACGGAAGAGTCAGTGCGTATTTTACCAATGATTATTGTTTTATGTAATAGAAGATATTTTAAACAGGAACGATTCAATGTATTTGGTTTGTTTATTATTTTGTCCTTTTAATTTAATCTCTTCGGCTTTTAATGCGAGCTCACAAATATTTTGTAAGCAATCAGCGGAAGCTTCCTGAATTATTTTTGGATATGAAGACAGTGGCTTTTCTTCTTATTTTTCAGGTGCGTATTTTATTGAGTGATTTTGAGAGTCCAAATCGTTCCATGTACAAAGCTGCCCATGTCTTCTTTTCTGCAGGTATTTTTATATTATTTCATATATACATATGCTTTACATCAAAAATGTTTTTATTGCCAACACTTAAGTGTTCTAATTAGAATTAAATACATAAAAATAATTATGCTTCTCTGTACGTTGAATATTTTTCTTTTGGTTTTATTTTTATTTTGAATTCCAAAACCGTTTCATTTGAATGCCTCATTATTTTAAACTAGTTTGTCCCGAGGAGTTATTTAATGAAATATGTAAATCAACTGCCAATACCACTAAAAAGATCAAAAATATTAAGGAAATCAACGTCGCTTTTTTACCATATGAAAGCCAGGTAATCACATCTTGTTTTTTTTTGTGCTGCTGCCATACGAATGTTTGTACTATTTTACATAGTGCCAATTCTCTTCTTCATTTTGTTCTTGTAGATATTTGCTTTTTGATAAACTTTACATAATTAAAAAACTGTCTTTATTTGTGATGAAAGTGTTTACATCATTTGTAAATATTGTTTTGTTTTTCAATTTAAAGGTATTCACACTGGATTCTCCGGATACATTTCAAATCATGTACTCACCGTATTTGGCCACAGCTCGATTTGCACACATGGAACGGATTGCTGAACAAGTGGCTACATTGTGTGCTACATTGGGTGAATATCCATCTGTGCGTTATAGAAGGTATATTCCTTTTATTTGCTTTTTGTAATTTGCTTTTCAATTACTACATATGTTTATTTTAGCGCTTGTGAGCGTAACGTGGAGTTGTCAACATTGATCCAACAGAAACTCGATGTATATAAAGCAGGTAAATTATCTAAGATAATATTGAAATTATAAAGACATTCAAATGACGTTAAACCGATCCAAATTAGATGATCCAACAATTGGAGAAGGCCTTGAAAAGGCTCGATCACAGCTCATTATATTGGATCGTGGTTTCGATTGTATCTCACCCATTCTTCATGAGCTAACGCTTCAGGCGATGGTAAGAAAACAATAAAAATAATTGATCAATTTTGGAAGCAATCAATTAGCCTTCTTAAATACAATGAAATATTTATGTTTACTAACAGGCTTACGATTTGCTTCCAATCACAAATGATGTATATCGGTACGTATATAGTTATTATTTTCATTTCTTTTTTTTCTAAAGTAACTTTTTCGTTCGAAAAGAAATCGTTGAGCCTCTTTAACGAACTATTTTTATTGTCTTCTTTTTTAGCTATTTTCCGTCTCCAAATTCCATTGAAAAAGAGGTTTTACTAGATGAAAATGATGAATTATGGGTCGAATTACGCCATCAACATATTGCCGTTGTAAGCACTCTTGTAACGCAAAATCTGAAGCGATTCACTGATTCAAAGCGCATGAACCAAGGCGACAAACAGACAATACGTGATTTATCGCTTTTGATCAAGAAGATGCCACAATATCAAAAGGAATTATCAAAATATTCAACACATTTGCATTTGGCTGAAGATTGTATGAAAGCATATCAAGGCTATGTGGACAGTTTGTGCAAAGTGGAACAGGATCTTGCGATGGGCAAGTATCGAAAATTTGTTTCAATTTGAGTTTGCATGATGATGATGTTCACCATTCTCTAGGTACCGATTGCGAGGGCGAAAAAGTAAAAGATCACATGAAAAATATTATAAACATCATACTGGACACGAATATATCGAGCTACGATAAGATACGTATAATTGCATTATATGCAATGATAAAGAACGGAATTTCTGATGAAAGTCTCAATAAATTGTTTACACATGCTCAGATTAATTTACGAGATCAAGATATGGTAAGTAAAAATTAAAGAATTGATCAATTTCGAAAGTATAATGCCTTCTAAAATGAAATGAAATATTTATTTTGACAAACAGGTCCGAAATCTAAGCTACCTCGGAATAAATGTTGTAACTGATGTAAGCTAACATGTTCATTCATAGCAAAAAAAAAAAATCTAATACCGCTTAATTTTTGCAGGGAAATCGCAAGAAACCATATCAGATTCCCAGAAAAAATCGTGTTACCGAACAAACATATCAGGTAACGTTTGTAATTATTCATGAACGTATTATTTGAATATTTTCAATAACAATTTATTTATATCAGATGTCCAGATGGACGCCTGTTCTAAAAGATATCATTGAAGATAGCATAGACGATAAATTGGATCAAAGGCATTTCCCATTTTTGGCTGGTCGTGCACAAAGCAGCACGTACCATGCACCGATAAGGTAATAAGGAAAATAAATAACAAACACACATTCAATTCACTGTACTGTATTGGATTCTTTATTTCTTTTGTTTCTAGCGCACGCTATGGACATTGGCATAAGGTAAAGATCCATTTTTATAAACATCAAAATATGAGTCAAGTTTAATTCTAACCATATCAAATTGAATGTGACATTCTCTACAACTTCTTGTTTTTCTATCAAAGGACAAAGGACAAACGACGGTGAAAAACGTACCACGTTTAATTGTATTTATCGTTGGTGGCATAAGCTACTCAGAAATGCGATGTGCATATGAAGTAACTGCTGCCAAATCTGGATGGGAAGCTATTGTTGGAGCAAGTCATATTTTAACTCCTTCGGGATTTTTGGGAGACATTGCATCACTATCCAAAGATAACTAGATGCAAAAATTAACAATTTCAAAACATGCACAAACCAAAGAATGTTGGCTTTATACAGTATATTAATTTATTGAGTATCCAAAAATTTATTGAGTGTATAGTAACCATTTTTGTGTTCTGATCTTATGAGACTTATATATTTATGTTGAACATTAACAAATAGTATATTTATTATTTATAGTATTGATGAATCAACTTTATTGTAGTGGACAATTATTGTCAATCAAACTCTTTTGAAAATCGTATATCAGATTCTTTATGTAAACATTTTAAATCAAAGTCATTCAAATCAAATGGAATATAATTGCGAAAGTACTTTGAAAAATACATAATATCAAATTATGGTATTTCTATACATTTAAGGTCCTATTGTAAAATCAACACTGATCTATTTAATCGCTCAATTGAGCATCAAAAAAAGACTAACTGAATAATTGTGGTGCCAACTTTTACAATCGATAAAAAAATTACTGATTTTATCTACCTCATTGTCTAATATACAGTACAAATTAGAACCAAATATTGATGGATTTGAAAATGTCGATTTGGAATTTTCAGCAGAAGCTTTTTTAACGAACGGGCACAACAACATTGTTTTTGTCAAATTAAATTTATTAAATAAAAAGTTGACAATGGATCTAAGTAAATATATATTGTCATTTTTGCCACAAATAATGACAGATAAATTAAGTATATATTACGAAAATAATGTATATTATTATATTAATGTAGTAATTTGAAAAAATGATGAAATAAAAAAATGAATGTATTCATTGTGCATGCATTGGTATTTTCAATTTTCATATCATTGGAAATTTTTATTACTTTCGATAAACAGTTACTTTTTATAGATCTGTGAAGAAGTATAATGAATTTCTGATGTTTGTTGTAAAATTCAAACAAAAGCCGTAAAGTACATTAATGCATGAAGACTGCACTGAAATGTAGCTGTTGGACGTTCAATATTTTTCTTTTACTAGATCATATAATTATCATGAATGTTCGGAGAATAGACTTTGTTTGCCAGCACAGTATTGTTGATAATGATTCATCGATCATGATTAGCATAAGATGACTAATATTTTGCATTGCTTCCCTTTTTCATGTGTTCACTATAAATGAGTCATTCAAGTTGCATCTAAATTATTTGAAATATCAAAGTAGCAGTAGTAAAATTTCAATATGTTAACTGTCCAGCAAATATATATTAAAAAAAAAAGTTCGAAAAGTCCGTTTTTTCATCATTTCTATTCATTTCTTCTCAAATCGATTCATCTTTAGAAACAAAAAACTTTTTCGAATCAAAACATAGTTAAAAGCATTGTAATACAGTAGAACTCCCACATGCAGAATAATGGCGCGAGCATTTTCATGCTAAATAGTAATGCGTCTGCGTTTATTCATCGATTTTCCGTTGACGGAGAAAATTTCCCAGTACCATTTTAGTGTACCGTATAGTTCAGTATGCAAAAATTGCTTATGTAAGGTGGAAGATATACAAATTTTAATAAAAAAAGTTATATTTTCCATACTCATTTCTGTGTAAAATATTGCAATTTGTTTGCAACTGTTATTATATTGAGATAAACAGAATTTGTTTATTTAGTTTAATCTTTTCACTATAGAAAAAAAAGGAAAGAAAATTGTAACATGTTGCGCGAGTGAAAATAAATCTGGTGAATCATTTTTCATTTGAAGAAATTGAAAACAACAACAATATTTTAGAATTTATTTAAATTTTCACAATTATATTGCACACAAAGTTCGAAAATTGCCTCAAAAGTGGATAACAGACAACTTTTTGGATCGGATAAACACGTAAATCAACTCTATTTGAGTTCTGGGAGGATTTACAAGATGGGTGAACACAGCATGGTAAATGACGCATCCACCACTGAAACTGGTAAATTTTCTTCACAAAACATGTTTATTCCTTTATTTCACATTTATTTTTAAATTATTAAGTTAAATAACCAAACCAGAAATTAGAAAGTCAAAAGATTTTTTTTACTGCGTAATAAAAATTATTTGAACTCGGTGCATGAATCATACGTCATTTTTCAAGCATATTTTCCATGTTTGTCATTTGATTTAACAGACATTAGTCACATTACCATGGGATAAAATCAAGACAAAGAAAGTATTTCCAATTTGTAAACTGTTTCTCTGACAACTGTCTAACATAGATTTTTCTTTGGTTTTAACAAAGTAATTGAAATTTTACTCTTTGGTTTTAAAGCCAACGTCAAATAGGTTGCTGTTATTACATTTAATGTGAATGCAATGGCTGAATTCGATCTGGAAATGGCATATAACACAAATGAAACAGTTATTTATTTAGCATCCTACGAATAGGTGGGCGACACATAATTCGCTTGCTATAATTCATTGATGGTTCTCCCAACGGTGAATCAGTAGATGTTATTCGACGCCGTTTGATTGGTTGCAATGGGTCCACTTCACTTCCATCGTCGCACAGATTTGAGATATTTTGCTCTCGCAAAACTCCTAATGATATAGAACAAGTACATATTAAAAGTTGCCACGTAAATTCTTGTAGAATTTATTGAAACACAAATAATATACCTGTGAAGGAGGCGCATCGCTTTATAATTACGTGTGATGCATCACTATCGTTCGTCTTAATATCTGGCATTGACATGTCGCTTGGTGGTGTTAGTGAGGCAAATCGTAAGAATGTTGATACAAATGACCATATTTTACTGCCTGACGATTTGATCGGCTCACTTCTTGATCCATTCGGTAGCTCTTTTTTATGAGTTTCGAATTCGTTTTCCAAATCTGGAGCATATTCCTCTTCATTATCATCATCGAATCGTCGAACAGTAGCACGTTTCTTCGACACTTTTGGCGTATAAATCTAAAGAGTTGCAAAAATAAATTTTATTGAATGGATAAACTGGAGTGTGATAAATTTTTATTAAAAACGCGTACATCAATATTTTCGACTAATTTCGTTTGCGCAAATTCCTTTGGCGTAAACCAAATTTCTGGATCGATATTTTTAACTTCTTTGACGATCTTTTCACTCGATAATTTTCGTGAAACCAAAACTGGTGTTTCTTTAATTGATTCTGATGTTAGTAATGGTTCATTGATAATACTTTGGTCACTTAAAACCTCAACAACTTCATAATTACTGCTGACACAGCATTCACGTTCATAACACCCAAATGTTTCAACATTCGCATCTTTGTCTTGTTCATATACAGTTTCTAAAGAGCTTTGTCTTAAATTGGAATCGAGTGAATTTGATTTGACAACAATAGAAGTTGAAATGGAACTCTTGTCAATAACTTTGGGCGACCTCTTTTCACATTTTACCGTCTTTGATGAAGTGTTTTCCATTTTTAAAATCTCACGTCCACGCATTCGTAAATCCAATGGTGATTTTGGGCTGACGGCAATTCCATGCTGCGAGTTTTGATATTCGAGGATAGCACGATGAATGCTTTTTGTCATTACTTGGCGTGTAAGCGGTGTTACTGCAAGCGAATTTCTCGATCGCTTAAAGGTTGTCGTTTTCTTCTGTGTAACCATTATACTTTGCTGTTGAACGTTCTGTCTGTGTAAATTAATTATAAGCTATGTATCGACATACCGAATAAAAGACCAATATTGTTATTTACCTTTTATTATCATCGGAATTAGTTAATGGATTAGTGCTTGTGTCAGAATCACTACTACTATTCACATTCGATATATGACCCGATGATGATGATGACGATGATACCAAACATGAACTACATGATTGTCCAACGGTGTCATGCGAATTTGCATGCAGCAAATTTTGATGCATTGGAGTTGATGTTTGACGAACCAATGCCTTTTCCATTGCATCCGGACTTTGAGTTTTGTACAGTGGATGATTTGATGTATGCAAAATGGTCGAATAATTTCGCAATGATACACTATCCGAGATGCTTCTCTCAAATGATGATTTTTGAACAGCTGTAATATAATTAATATTTGATGCTTCTTTACCGCAAGCCATTTGACATTCAATTTTATCTACATTACATTCTTTTGGCGAATGCAAACTGCAGCCATCGTTTATGTGAGCACATTTATTAGCCGAAGAAAAATCACCAATCGAATTAAATTGCTGTACATGAGAATAACGATGAAAAATTATTATTATTATCGAGTAACAGCATACATAAACATTTGTGCGTTGTCAGTCCAACAAACGAAATAAGACATTTGAATTTTATAAATATTTACCGTTAGACATTTTTTGCAATGCAATGGCAAATGAGCTTGACACAAATGCATGATAAGTGCAAAGTCATTTCGGCATTGAAATTCCATCGTGGGATTGCCCTGGCATAGGCCACAACGCATGCGATTCCGTTCCGTCCACACTTCATTTGGTGTATGAGCATTTTGTTCGTGTTTATTACGGCATTCAACACAACAAAAAATGCTTTTGCAAACCGCACACTTAACCTGGTTCATAAGTTGATGAAAAGGATGATGTGAAATAATTTTTATACATTTCTTAAATAAAAGTCTTACTTACTTCTTCTGGTATTGAAACCATTTTTCTCGATATTCAATAAATTAAATTAAATTAAAACCCGTTGAAAGAACAATACGAAAAATGTGAACAGTAAAAATAGTTCCGCTATGTCATGCAAACAATAAATAACAAAATATACACTTAAAATAACAGGCGCACAAGGCTCTGCTTAGAATGTTAACCCCACAGATGCTAATACACTACTGATAACCCCATTAAACTTATGCACGCATTCAACCGCATCAAAACGTCTTACCAGATTAAAAACAAAAGAGTTGTGATTATTACGACTTATCGCTGACTTCACACTTGTACTTGTACAGTGACTTCAGATAGTTTCGTTTTGTTTTTGTTTTCTCGATCACAATTTATTAAATTGTAAAATTTTGATATTTTTAATATTTTTTTATTTTGTTATATAAATTGATAAAAATTGGCATTGTTTTCTCTTCCGTACAGTACTTCCAGCAGTTCTTGGATTTGCTGTGGCTGGTTTCATTATTGCAACGGTATTCTATGTCTGTCGCTTGCGACAACGAAACAACAAAAAAAATCATGAACCGGCCATATATCAGCCCAAAAAGCGTACAACAGCTGTACGCTCACCAAGCGGCCAACCGGGCGGTCAACCACCGCATTATCTAAAGAAATCACCATCTCCAACGTCAAATAAAACGTTGCCGGGTGGTTTATCGCCAACAACTGAAACAATTGGTGGTTCACTTAATCATGGATCATCATCATCATCAAGTTTCAAAACGCAATCCATCGTTACACATCCAAAATACACCGAAGAAAATGAAATCCAAACGAAAATTATTGGACAAATGGAAAATTCTACAAGTTCAATTGGCTCTGATAATAACAACGACACACAAGAATATGGAAAACTTGGTTCTTTGGTTTTTAAACTGAGATATCTAACGGACCGTAATGCTTTAGTGGTATCGGTCATTCGATGCAGAGGTTTACCCTATAAAAGCATTACTGATGATCTACCAAATGGCACCAATGGAAAAACACAAACCGCCACCGATCCATACGTGAAGCTTCAACTCTTGCCAGAAAAAACACATAAAGTAAAAACTCGGTAAGGCATTGAATAGTTTTCTATGCACTAAACAATATGATATTTTACTAAAGAATTAATTTTTTATAGTGTTGTTCGTAATACTCGCAACCCAGTGTATGATGAAGATTTCACTTTCTATGGATTGTCTATGGCAGATATAACGGCAATGTCATTGCATTTTGTCGTGTTAAGTTTCGATCGCTATTCTCGTGATGATGTCATTGGTGAAGTGATTTTACCATTGGGTAACCCGAACGAGGTTGATTTGACTCAGATAGAAACACAACAGGTAGCACTATGCAAGGAAATACAACCAAGAAGCTTAAAGGTATTCAGAAGAAACTATTTTTAAGGGATACGGATTATTAAAGTATATTTTCCAAACTAAAGATACGAGCACAGGGGCGAGGTGAACTGTTGGTTTCGTTATGCTTTCAACCCGGCGCGGCTCGTCTCACTGTTGTTTTGCTAAAAGCTCGAAATTTACCACGAATGGATGTTACTGGCTTGGCTGATCCGTATGTCAAAATATATTTATTGTGCAATGGACAAAGAATCGCAAAGAAAAAGACACATGTTAAAAAACGTACTCTCTCGCCTGTCTTCAATGAGAGCTTTGCATTTGACATACCAACGAACGAGGTATATATTCTTGTTTAAGTTTATCTCATTTTAATATTTAGTTTAACGAATCATTTTTTATTCATAGAGTACTGGAGGAAGCTTGGAAAATATTTCATTGGAGTTGATGCTGCTGGATTGGGACCGCGTTACCAAAAACGAAGTAAGTTTTTATTATTAAGCACGTCTCATGTATTTAGTTCAAACCAAAGAATTTTTTAACATTTCAGGTGATTGGGCGACTCGAATTAGGCGGTCCCAGGTGTGCTGGAGCAGCTCAGAATCATTGGAACGAAATTTCGACTTCACCTCGTAGACAAATTGCTGAATGGCACAAACTCACCGATTAAATACATACACCATAATTTATTCTAATAGTTTTAAACTTTCATGCACAACAAAACTTTGTCAAAATGGTGTTATATATACACTTGTGTTTTAGTTGTATTATTTTATTTTTTAATATATGTTCATTCTGTCTGAGAGTTAGCATGAAGAAAAATCTCTCTAGAACGTCATCCCAAAACTTAAGAAAATCAGATAACATTTTCTGTTTCCAATAAACCATGTATAGCCACATAATATTCACAAAAATAAATTGTATAGCTAAATGTCTCGAATTTCACCACATACGATGTGCATGAATGCGAGAAGTTTTTTTTGAAGAAAACAAAATAATTTTTCATATGGACTCGTGATGGAATCTCATGATTTGTATCGAAATTGAAAAAAAAGAAATACACGTTTATTTACGGTCATTTGATGAATAACATTTATATGATCCATTAAATGTATATATACCCGCTAAGCAATGCCTAAAATATGATCAAAAATTGTATTGGCTACCGGCTCAATCGCGTAGATTGAAAAGTTATCGTTTTTTCTTTAATTTCGAGAAAAAAAACACCAAGGTGATCAGGTAGTTTTTCTTTGTTTCTCAAGTGCAGGGAAGAATATATATATTTAGATATTTGAATTTATTTCAGGCATGGCAACATACTATTGAACTAAAAAGTCAAAAAAAATTATTGATGTCAACGTGTGGTACGTCAAGCTGTAATAATTCAAAAAAGCAGGATCATATTATATAGCAATTCAGTCAAAATAATAAATCGTTAAAATATAATTTTCTTTTGTTGACCAATATTCCAATAGAGTCGAAAACATACTAAAATTTTGACTAAATGTTCAAAAATAGCAGTGTAGAATTAATATGATAAAGAATTATTTATTGGTTGCCTGACAATTTTCCCAACTAAATATCAACTATAACTATTACAATTATTCAATCTAAAGTGGACGAAATGTGGATTTCGACTAAAAATAACAATATCAACGAAGAACCACATCTTTTCAAAAGATCCAGCTTTTATCCTAAAAAAAGAAATGTTCAACCATGTATGTTATACAAAACTTATAATGTGCTATATTTTCCATATTTATGTAATTGAGAAAAAAAAACGTTTTCATACTATAATAATTCCAACTGAAATATTTTAATTTTATGAATTTGTAATGTATACCCAAATATGTTTATAATGTATGTTGCTAAGACAATGAAGACAAAAAATGTTGTTTTCGCAGGTATTTATCATTTTTGCCTTTATATTTAATCAAATACTCAACATTTATTTTCTTAAAAAAGAAAAAAAAATAAGTTACAGAATTAGAAAAATATATTTACTTATTTTGATTCAACAAATAGATGAGAATTATCCCATTTTATGTTAATTGAAACCTTTTTTTTGAAAAATGATTTATGTAAACTTAAAACCATCAAAGTTTGATCAATAAAAGAATGGATTTGTTTAAATTCGTAGACGAGCTCTGTTTCAATATTTCAATTACATAAACTTTGTTCAATATTTACCTCGTTTTAGATTGCATCTCTTTGTATGTAAAAGTTAACAAATGAAAAGAAAATGCACAGTTTGAATTTGTATGAAGTTCACTTGATTTTATTTTTGTTTATTATTCACGTTTAAATTAATTTATGCTTAAAAAGAAAAGAATTACATAATAGTTATTTAAATGTTAAAAAAAATGTTGAACTCATATGTCTGTGTTCATATAGTTTTCACAAGGGTGAGACGATCCAAATGAGAGACTGCTTGTATTCAATGAATTTCCTTCACTGCTATATATCTAAACAAGATAAAGTTACACAACTTCAAATGAAAATTAAATTGTTGCAACTATACAAACAATGGGCAAAAATATTTGGGAAGCCAAATCTGCTAATTAAAAAAATATTAAAAAAAGAACTGAAAAATGTTTATCAAGAAAAGAAGCTGGTCTTTCTACCTATTTCGTATGAATTTGAATGTAATATGAGTAATATACGTTATTTCAGCTCATTTCACTTAATTTTTTTTTATTAGTTCTTTTTTTCTGTTGTAGTTTTTATGTTATGATAATAATTTCTTTCTTCTTCATTTTTTGTTTATTTTCCTGTGAATTCTTTTTCATGTTTCAAATAATTTGTTGATTTTGCCAGCCTTGTTGTAGTAGTTGTTGTTTTTGTTGTTGGTTTCAGATTTTATTCTCTATGAGCAATCTTCCTGGCTCTTTCGAACACAACGTGCCACCTTCCGCTTAAATTCCGGATACGATTCTCGCCATTCTTTGGCCGCATCAACGTTGGCTGGTGATTCGTCATTTGGATCGGCTAGCATCGATATTACGGATATTAAAATTGTTTCCACTGTGTGAACAGGTAACCAGCGCTCCGATGCCTTTTCATAGCCCCATTTGTCATCGCCTGGCTCATGTAGAATACTAATGCAAACGTCTCCATTCTTTTCTATATTTGGATGCCAGATCTCGGTAACAAACTTCATACGCGGAGGTCGCAATGGATATTCTTTTGGGAAATGCAAATGAGCCTTAAAGAATCCACCCTCACTGTGCGAAGCAAGAAAAAACAAACAAACATTAAATTTGAGCAAACGATGATTTCAAATTACATATGATGACAAACAGATTCATTTGGAAAAAAATTTGAGGTTAAATCATGTGCATCTAAACTTTTTTTTGTCTCAAAGCCGTATTTTACTTACTAGAGCGTATCTGGTGGACCAATGATCAGAACCTCCCATTTGTGAATATCATTTTCATCAACTAGACCGGCTGAAAATCCTTCAACGGGATTTTTGTTCAGCTCTAAAAAAACAAAGGAATCATTGTTTAAAAATGTGGATTGAAATTCTATAATTTGCTTATTTCAGCATTGTCTTATAATTCGAGTATATCTTTTAGTTTTCATCCGATCAATATTGGATTTTGTTGCCAATTAATAAGAAGCTGACAAAGACGAAGTGCCGGGGACTTTTTAACGACGTAAAAGTGATTTTTAACCAGTATCTTTGTTTGCAAAGTAATTTAGTTATTTTAAATAACTTATAATCGCATAATTTTCAAAAGATGACAGAATTTTTTACCCTAATTTTTCTTATATGTAAAAATATAGTAGTATTGATTTTTCCAAAAGAAGAATAAGTTTTACATTAAACAACCAATGGACAAAAAACAATTTGTTGCGTTAAGCATTTCTGCTAAGCAAAATAACTCAATTTCAATATAAATGGAATGCGTACAACATCATTAATATCAATTATTTAGCATATGTATAAAAAACACCTCAGCCCGTCAACTGTCAATCGGTGCGGTCATTCTTTCTCTGGGTATATTTGTGCACAAATGTAGCAAACAAAGAAAGCTGCTTGGAAGCATGCTCGTATTCGTTAAATAGAAACTCACTTCCTTTAACAAACCAATTCGGTATTTTATATAATATGAAAAAAATCACAAATAAAATATTTAACCCAACTCTTCGATGCCGTCGAATTTCATGGAATTATGCATGATTCAACTCTTTTTTGGTATTTATATATATATACCTATACAATGCACATCATATATATGTATATATGTATATATATATATATGAAACCCGATCGACTTCTATAGAATTTCACTTCGAACCTAACTCTTTGTCGTGCATGCCCGAACATATATGAAGCAATACGGTAATTCTTTTTGCTTTTTTTTAATTTAATTTTCACAAATACTTACCGGCCAATTGTTTTTTCAACAGCAATGACGATTGTGTCTCTGACATTTAAAAAAATTAAACGAAAATTTGATGATACAACGATGATTTGATAAAAATGAGTTTAGTTTTCACAGAGATGAACGAGACGTCTACTGAGGAAATATGGCGACTTGACTTTAGCATTTATTGGCTCGTGCATACAACTAAAAAAAGCAAGAACAAAATTACATGCAACAGTGCCGCCTATGTGTCAAAAACGACATTCAGTTGCATACGACTAACGTGAATGATATATTCAATCGTTTTTTGCTATCTACAGCGATGCCAACGTTCAAATTTAGAATTAGTTACCAAACTTGATTCATATGGAGTATCAATTTGACAGTTTCCGAAAACATTTTTTCATATATGGAATATACGTGATACAACTGTCGTTAAATTTTTTCCCAAAATTCTTACAAATTATTAAAATTTCAAGAAAAAAGGAAAAAAAAACATATGATATACAAACGAAGTCGAATGGAATTGGAACCTTCACCATTGGCTATCGCTGTTAATCAAATTTTTGAGCGACTTGAGCATGAATATTCGCTAAGACATTTACCACAATGTTAGTACATTCTGGTATATATTTCTGGTTTTTCAATAACTGTTGTATTTTTCAATTTAGTTGCAGACAAAGACCTACTTGAATTAAACGGAATTTTCGGAACATTACTCGCTGAGTCACTGGATTTATTAGATCGGGAAAAGATTACTATTCATCGAAGAGCCTCCGATAATCGAGAGTACTTTGAAATTATTGAAGATCAAAATTCAGTTTACAAACTCTTGCCAAACTTAAACTATTGTATGTGCAAAACATTTCGCGACAAAGTTTTAAACACCAACGAATTATACACGTGCAAACACGTTTTAGCATCACGTTTATGCGTGCTTATTGGGAAAGTAAAAGTTGAAACAAAATCAGATGATGCATTCATATTTTCACTGCAATTGATTAGACCGATGTCAACAATTGTAGCCGACGAATAGATGCAGCATTCAAAAGTATTACATGAAAAGGGTTTAATTCAACATAAAAGTATGCTGACACAATCATGTTTCAGTCAAGTAAGGTTTTGTGCAAAGTTAGACAACATCAAGACATTCTATGGGGCACTAAAGGCAATCAATTTCAATGAAGATGCAAATATAATAATATCAGATGATGGTTTCAAGGCGGTCGTTGAAGAATCAAAATTTGTTCAGGCATCGTTGTATGTAACGCGATCATGTTTTTCTGAATTCCGTTTGTTGCGCAATGAAGAAGTCTCGATTCGATTAAATTTATCGGTTTTTACCGATTGTCTTAGTATTTTCGCAAATCCAGACTGCAGTATGAAGATCATTTATAAAGGCGATGCAGCGCCACTGATTTTGGTTCTAGAACAACATGATGGCGATGATTTAATCACGGAAGTTTCAATCAAAACGAAAAATGGCGAAGAACATTCAGACTATAACATCGATGAGGATGATGAAAACTACAATTCGTTAATCGTACGTGGAGCCGACTTTGCGCAGCTTTTCAACGATATTCACAAGTCAGTTGAAGAATTGGAAATCACCATTTCACCCAAAATACCGTATTTTTGTATTGAATCCCTTGGACTGATGCAGGATGAGTCGAAAATCGAAATTGCCAAATCTAGTGATATGTTTGTAAGCTATTATTGCAGTCGGCAATCACGTGCACGATATAAAATGACTCACATTCGTCTTGCGCTCAAAGCGTTTTCAATAGCAAACAAGGTACAAATTTCCTTCTTTTAAATTTCATAAATTTTCATCCGTTTCAATTTTAAGATAAATATATTGTAACGTATTTAAAATCAATTTTTTGGTAAAAAATATCAATCATTGTCAATTTTTTATTTTCAAAAAAAGATTTGCCTGCGAACAGATCGTACCGGTTTACTTGGATTACAGATTATGGTATGCAATTTTTTCCATTCTGTTCCATTACTTATTGATTAATTTCCATTTTTTCCATTATTTTCTTCTGATCATCTAGGTATTATCAGATGGCGATTCACAAATCTACATTGAATATTTTATAGCGCCTTTAATTGAAGAATTTGAATAAATTTGATAAGATTGTTGAAAAATGTTTATGTTTATTAGAAATTTAAATACATTAAAAGTATAATACCCAAATATTAAGTGCTTTTCAAATATTCTTTCCATTTATTTAGAGGATTTGCATTTGGATATGCCCAACAAAATGGAATCGTAGATCCAAATGTATTAGTATGTGACACGATACATTTATCCCATTGGCTGCGAACTGCAATCAAATGACTCAAACGATCGTCTTTCTTTCGTATAGAAAATGTGGGCTCCCCAAATAATACGTTACTCCACTCCTCCCATTTGTCGCTGCCATTGAGAAATGTATGTAATTTTTTTTCTTCGTCTTCATATTTTTTCGATGCAATTAACCACATTTCTTTTAACTGGTTAATTTCTTGATTGAATTCAGTACTACTACAACCTGCGCTGGTGTGTTTGTCTCTATTTCGAATGCGTTGCAATTCTCTTACAGATTCTAGTAGTATGATAAATTTTTCAGCTTCATTTTGCCGATTTTTAACGTCCATTAAAATTTGTTCAGCACGTTGTTTGTTTTCCATTTGTTGACGATTTTTGTGAATTTCTTTAGCATTTTGTTCGAGCCATTTATTAAGTTGTTGGTGTTTCTTGTTCCGTTTAAAAGTTTCGTATTTCTTTAACACGCATGTTTCTAATTTACGTTTTCTTATATGGCCTCGTTTTTTTAGTCGCTTGCTAATCATATTCTTTATGTTATTCTGCACATCCTTACTTTCGTACTTTGCACAAATATTTGATAGATATGCTGTTTTTGAATTTAATTCAGTAATATGCTCTTTCCATTGTTTTTCATCAATTGAAGATGTTGCACGTGAAATAGTTTCAATTTTTTCGTTGATCTCATTTAATGTTTGCACACAGAAGCCAAGCTCTTTCGATGCTTCTCCTAATTTTAATGTATTCGACGTGTTTGTTTTCGATACATGTTTTAAGGTTTTTTCCCTTCGAGATTCCAAATAATTGGTGAAGCGAGTTTTATACTGCGTGGTATTATAATGCGCTGAATTAAATGTTGTTGGACTGGACTTATTTGAATTTTTCGTAGAAAATGGGAGCAGAGGGGGCGGATAATTTGGAATAAACACTTGAATATGATGATTCATGTTTTGTTCGTATAAGTTTAAATGTATTGTATATAATTAGTGTTAGAATTAGGAATAATGAATTTTCGATCAATTGCTGTCTATTTTTTCCTTAGCCAGTTTTAGTACGTCCATTGCAAGTTCAAATTCTTGTTTCTCTTTAAGTTCGTCTTCGTTTTTCAAGTATTCATTGAGTTCATCGTATGCTTTTACTAGGCTGTTTTAAAAAAAATAGAAAACGGTCCATTTGAAAATGCGTTGAAAAATCAATTTTTATATGTGAGTTAAATTACCGTCTATGAGTATCTGGAACCATCATCATTGATTCAGCAAGGATTTCTTCTTCTTTTCGCATGACATGTTCGTCTTTACCTTCGGCGCGTAGTTTTTCAATTCTTGCTTTTTGCTGATCGATCTCTTTCTCGTAAACGGTTTTTTCTTTTGTCAAACGCTTTAACACACCTGTTTTTATTTTTATCTGTCGAAGACGTGGATCAGACATTATGTTTAAAAATTTATAGCTATTTGTATACAACAACGGTTTAAACCGGAAAATTCAATATGCAATTTTTTTTTCTCAAAAAGAAATCGTGTGATGTGATTCAAAATCTAAGAGATACTATGCGCGGGTCTCTGGAAATGACATCACAACGAATATACAAATGAAATGTCAAACAAAACGTGACTCACCGAATTGCCGATGCCTCTAACCAATAAATACTTGCGTCTTGCCAACGAATATGACAAAGTTGATTTTCAAGTTTTCATTAGTCAAACAAATTAGCCCAAATGTAGCCCAAATACTATATAACGCAAAAGGAAATAGCCGAATTAACTAGTATTATCAAAAATATCCCTACAATAAAATGAAATATACAAAATTTGTCGACATAATTTGATGAGAAATGAATTTTTTTCAAAATTTATTTAACAATAATAACGAACTGAAACGTTTAGCGTTGACGTTTTAAAAGTGTGTGTGTCTGTGTTTGTATTTGTACAATATACAATAGACGCCATTCATTCAACTACAAGCAAACTGAAACAAGAGACATTGTTTTTACTCACTTGTAAGTTTCAATTGAGCTGTCAGATGGAAAACTATTGCGAACATTCTTTCTTTGCACTGTGGCTAACCAATTGTGTGTGATTTATGTTTTTTAATTCACATTTTTAAAATATTATTTGGTTGATTAAATCAGACATAAAAATCCCAAGATATTTTTGAATTGAAAAAGATTGCATATATATATAGATATATATTTTTTTTAAATAAAGACTGGCGGTAGTACAATCGAGTGCCTATCGTAAAATTGGTGTTTGGTGAAAGTCTTACAAAATTATTTCACATAGAATCACATCAAAACCATAAATAATTTCGTATAAACATCTCAATTGCGTAAGTACTGTATAAGACTTTCCATAAATTTGCGAATATCTCACATTTACGTTCACGTCTCTTTGTCAGTATTAGCTTTGCACAAAAGCAACGACATTTGTTTGGAAACTCCAGTTTGTTTTTGTGAATTACTTTGTATCGATGATGCCATCAAATGAGTGGCAATGAGATTAAACTATACAAATATTTTTGAAATATCAAAATATGTCTCAATATTTATAATATGTCTCTTAATTTCGGACGAAAGATTTTGCAATTTTTCGAAAGTGTACCTACAGATTAGTACAACAATTTATAATATTCGCCACAAATCAACTGGTATCGTCAATAGAAAATAATAGTATCGGAGAATGAGTCATCTAATGTTTTGCATACATATATGTCTACCTGAGGATTTTTGTAATTAGAGCCGCAGACCAATTCAACAGAAATGCAAATAAAACCTTTTTGTGAATGTTATATACTCACAATATCTAAAGTATGTAGACTTATGAATACAACTAATTCCGGTCTGCTTTTTGTAAAAACAAAGGTCATAGAGATGAAAAATATGATTTAAAAATTAAAGTGACTCATGCATGTCCATCGTAAAGCTATAGTTAAAGTCATTAAAGTTACCGTAAAATATTTCTCAAATGCAGTATAACAATTAAATTTACCAAGTCAGAAAAAAAAAGTTTGATCATATATACTATTCCATAAATTATCTATTTTGTGTTATTATACATGTGTTAGTTACCGTGGTGGTCGAATATGCCAAAGACTTCGGGAGACCGATTCATTCATTTTTACTAGAGTTATGGTTTGAATACAGAGAAAACGTCGCGACGCGTTGAAACACCAATTGCGTTCCGCTCATATTCGCATACTCAGAACGGTATATCGTATGCTAATACGGGTATACATATGCTTCTCAGTTGATTGGTCGCTTTGCTTGGGTGTAGTACTGTAGTCGCGTTGGGGGTTTCTCTTAGAATAATGTGCACAAACTTAAATGACCATTTTGAGAACTTAACTAAAACACAAAACAAGAAACAAATAAAAACAAAATAAGCAAAAAAAGAGAAACATTTCGTGCAAAAATTATTCGTGCCTGTGATAATCATTTTATTCTTTATTCTATTTTGACGTTTTCAAAGCTAGACACTTACTATTTTCCAATAGAAAAATTGATAAAAGTATTAAAAAAGTAATTGTAATTGAAACGCTTGTCGAATAGTTTTATTTGCGATTTAGTAAACGCACAACATTATATTAATCAATAATATCGTGTGTTTCAATGAATGTGCTTCGTATTTGATATTTTTAGTTTAGTTGTAATTTGTTGGTGAAACCAAAAAAAAAAAAAAAAACAGAAAAATGTCAAAAGCGATTAATGATTATCGAATGTAAGTAAAACTCTATCGCTTGCCATAGATTTGCTCTTCGTATTTTCCATTATCATCGAATGTTCATTTTTTCATGCAGCTCTTACATACAATATTTCCGTGAATATTATGTTCTTCAAATCGCCATTGCATTGAGTCCATTATAAAGTTTATTTTCTCAGCGCCACACGACCGCGCTGCTATTGCAGGGAGGGGAAAATCAATAGATTATTATTTCCAAATGTACATATACTATTTTGATTATTATTCACGAAGCATGCTTCGCATGTATGGTTATACATTGATAAATGGTATACAAATTCTAATGAGCGATGTGCATTAATTCAGTCGTTTCGGTTGTTGTTGTTGTTGATGTTAATGTTAATGAACAAAAACAAAAAAATATACGCTCAATGCGATGCGTTCGTTTCCACTCTACTTATTCAGAGATTTGATGTTTTATACAAAATTTATACAATATAAAAGCTTTTAAATAAATTTCTAAAATTCGTTTATCAAGTACAAGTTAGTAGTGAACAAAAAATGCCTCGCTCATGCATCTTAATTGAAAAATAGTAATAAAATATTCATTTTGATTGCATTTCAATTTTACAGCAGAAAAATCGAAAGTATTGGCAAAATGACGCAAATGACTCAAGAAGAAATAATCAGCAACACAAGAACAGTATTACAAGGTTTGGAAGCGTTACGTGTAGAACATGTTTCGTTGATAAGTGGTTTGGGACAAGCGAAAAATGAAAAATCTGACATTGTGCAAAAGAACATCGAGAGCATTGAGCTCGGTTTGGGCGAGGCACAGGTGATGATGGCATTAGCACAGCATTTACAAAATGTCGAAGCCGAAAAACAAAAGTTACGTACACAGGTACGTCGTCTATGCCAAGAAAATGCCTGGCTCCGAGATGAGCTTGCAAATACACAACAAAAACTCCAAGCATCGGAACAAAGTGTTGCACAGCTCGAAGAAGAGAAGAAACATTTGGAATTTATGGCATCGGTGAAAAAGTATGACGAAAATCAAGAACAAGAAGAAGCAACGGAAAAATCACGCACCGATCCAGTTGTAGAATTATTTCCCGAAGAAGATCAAGAAAGTAGAAGCCATCTATCGCCCACTCCACCAAATCAAATTGCCTATCAAGCCAGTGGCGGCTACGAGATTCCAGCTCGCCTACGTACATTGCATAATTTAGTCATTCAATACGCGTCGCAAGGAAGGTAATGTGTCAATTTCATTTGTTCTACATTCTAATATGGCGTTAAATACCAATTGTTTCAATCGGTCGAATCTATTTTGATCAACTTTAGATATGAAGTCGCCGTTCCGTTATGCAAACAGGCATTAGAAGATCTGGAAAAAACGAGTGGACATGATCATCCTGATGTGGCAACCATGCTGAATATTCTTGCGCTGGTGTATCGTGATCAAAATAAATACAAAGAAGCTGCAAATCTTTTAAATGACGCATTGGAAATTCGTGAAAAAACCCTAGGCGAAAATCATCCAGCCGTTGCGGCAACACTCAATAATTTGGCGGTTTTGTATGGAAAACGTGGAAAATATAAGGATGCTGAACCACTGTGTAAACGGGCTTTGGAAATTCGTGAGGAAGCATTGGGTCGAGATCATCCAGACGTTGCAAAGCAACTGAATAATTTAGCTTTGTTGTGTCAGAATCAAGGCAAATACGACGAAGTCGAATTATACTACCAACGAGCACTGGAGATTTATGAATTGACGCTAGGCCCAGATGATCCAAATGTCGCTAAAACGAAAAATAATTTAGCTAGTTGCTTTTTGAAACAGGGCAAGTACAAAGAGGCCGAAATTCTCTATAAGCAAGTGTTGACCCGAGCACATGAGCGTGAATTTGGTACAATTGACGGTGATAACAAGCCAATTTGGCAGGTAAGCATTTATTTACACAAATTTTTATTAATTTTCAATTCCCATTAACGAATAAAATATTGTTTTGATACTACAGGTGGCTGAAGAACGTGAAGAGAATAAAGATAAGAACACAAATTGTGCCCCATACGGTGAATATGGCGGTTGGCACAAGGCAGCGAAAGTTGATAGTCCAACGGTGACAACAACACTTAAGAATCTCGGTGCACTATATCGTCGACAAGGCAAATATGAAGCGGCCGAAACACTAGAAGATTGTGCAATACGTAGTAAAAAGGATGCTATTGAATTGGTGCAACAAGCCCGCGTAGGTAGTGCTGAAAAACGACGATCGCGTAATTTGACCGGCTACAATGGCCCAGGTACAAGTACTGAAACATCGCAAAATGAAAGCGCCGATGGGGTATGTACCTTATTTTTACCCGTGGTTTTATACAAGAATAAATGTTCATTATTTCAGCAAAGTCGACATTCATCTCATCACTAAGCGATAAATTACCATCGTTTGGTCTATTCAAAAAATAATACCAAATTTGGTCCACCGAATCGCCACTCCAACTCAGAAGGATTTATTTGTAATGTAGCCAGTTTACTTTTTTTGAATTGACTATGATGACAACAATACGACAAATACGAAATTATTTTTGTTTGATTCAATGGTGCGGCGGAATGCGGAAGGAAATATAAGGGCCACAATTAAGCTGTTTATAAATTTAAAAAAAAATCAAACCTAATCCTATATTTCACATACTTACAAAAATCTACTTTGCTGACTTTAATTTAAAAAAAAAACTATTGTGGTAGTCTGCATCAAAAATTACATTTATTCCAAAATAATACTTACATTGTTTTCACCCAATTTTTAGTGTTATAATTTTCCATTCAAACCCACGAATATTTAAAATTTTATATATTAATCAAATCGCAGCCGGTAAAATAGTGTAGAGCTTGCTTAAAAAATAGATATTGCTCTTTTCTGCAAAAGTGATTTAGAAAAAGTGAAAACCGCATATTTCAACGTTTAATACAAAAGTCAGTACACCACATTTTGAATTATTTTCTGTTGATGACGTATAATTTTATCTTTTAATTTAATATATTCATTCTAATTTTGATAAGAATAAATCGGCAATGCGAAATACAATGTAAATGTTTCTATTTATAACAAACATCAAAAATATTTATTCGGAACTTTTTACCGTCTTAACGACAACAAGAAAAAAAAACAATAATTTTCCAATAAAAGGACTTAATTTGCACTATAAAGACTAAAGTAAACCAATAAATCAAATATGTTTTTTTTTGTGTCAAAAAAGTTTATTTTTTTATGAAAATAAATTTTATTGTGCTTATTGTATTCGTTTTAGGTAAAAATATCGAAGAACTACAGCTTCAATTTGTATTCAAAAATTCAAAAGTTTTAATACAATTTTTAATGTGTTTTTTTTTTTTTTAATTTGGGGTTATAAAAATTTTGTTTATAAAAACATTGTCTATTACAGATAAATATTATCCGCTTATTAACAGCCTTATATTGTTTGCCACAAAATATTACTTAAATCTATAGATATATATGATAATGAAAGAAATCGTATGCTTCAATTAATTCGAGGCATGTCCGTAAACAAAATGAGAAATTTTAGAATATAAATGAGATGAGTATTCGGCGGTCAATGCGTTTTTTATTTTAAGCTCCGTTTATCTTGAAACTTTGGCCATGATTATTCTTTTCGATGGTAAAGATGATAATGTTCTTGACATCTTTGTATACTTGCATTTCACGCCATTGGTGTTCATTCACAATCAAATGAAAGCGTGGTGGATTTTCTTGCACCTGTGCACGAAGTTCACGATGTTTTCGAACCGATTTAATAAGTTTTCGCATCTCCACTGGCAAATACTTCATTTTCAAATGTGAAATTCCAAGCTCATCCAGATTTGGCGCCATATCTACCACTTTGTTTATGTCCCAAATGGATGGTTCACTCATGACGATCAGTTTTGTCACATTGGCCAAATTTGATATGAATTCCAAAATGAATTCACTGTTCAAATCACATTCGTTTCTCTCCGACTTAATTTGAATTTCGATCGATTTCAAGCTCTTAAAATGATTGAAATCTTTTTTCGAATAGTGCATCTGATTGTTTTCAGGTAATGCAATGGCAGAATCTCGATCAACAAAAATTTTCAATGCTTCAATTCGATTTTGGGCAGCCAATTTAACAAATGGATAGTAAAGATCACTTCCACACTGTGTATAGGATGTGAGACCAAGCGTTTTTACGCTGGTAAATTTTCGGACATAACCGTATTGATTGGCCGATTGTGAGTAGATAGTTGTCACCGTTCCATGGTTATATCGATTACTCAATTGGAAATCAACAAAGGTTTTCAATTTGGGACAACTTTGGGTCAAGGAATCGATTACTAACGTAATATTTTCATTGCCAACAAAACTGAACAATTCAAGTTTTTCTTTCGTCTGGATAAACTGCGACAATTCCGCGACTTTGATACACATCGACCGTCGTTTTGATGTGTGCAATCGAAATTCTCGTAAATTTTCCATGCCGCCATTTATCAACCATTCACCAGAAACATTGACACCCTCTAGTGTAAGATGTGTCAAATTTGTTGCTGATGTTGCGATTCCCGACAAGAACTCTTTGTACGTAACGAGTGTGTAGTTATCATGAAGCACCAATTTTCGAAGATTTGAGAAGAATGGCATAGATTGCTGCATTGTGGTTTCGGAGGCTGTAGGTGAACTAAAACGTAGCTCCACTTCGGATAATCCGCCCACAGCACAATACTGGCTGATGAATGTTAAGAAACGTTCAAAGCTTCCCAGTGTATTTTCTTCGGCGATTTTTATTTTCCGCATGTGTTTGCCGAATGTTTGGAAAATTTTATTTGTTGTCCAGCATGGGTCCATTTTCGTGAACTATAAGACATAAAACGGTTAATGTTATAGTTTTATTTAGGTTTTATTTATTACTGTATTAACAAATACAGTGTGTATTATTATAATTATTTTATTTGCTTACGTTTATCTTTTTTCTGCCGATCACCCAATTCGAAATTAAATTTTGAAAGTAAATATCTAATTCACACAATTGAATCAGATCATATACTTCCAGAAATTTGAAAATTTCATACAGACAGTCTTCATTTAAACCATGTCGAAGGCGACAGCTAGCAAGCGGTGATTCAATATTGTCAGCTTCATCCGATGACTTTTGTTCGTCTGTTTCAATGTTTTGGTGTTGCTTCGACGTGGTTGCCTCATCCGAATTAGGTAATATTTGTCTAGAATTTTGTTGAACTTCCAATTCAGCCAATTCATTATTGTCCGTATTCAAACGACGCCGTTTTGCATGTTTTGCACTCATTTTGTAAAATTTTGCTTAGAATGCAATTTTTTGATGGTTCTTTGATATCGAACTCCCAATTATTTTCCAGTTAAGAATGAATTTTCTGTTAAATCAAAATCAAAATAAATTATTCAATTGCCGGAATTTAATAATTACATTACAAATTATTTTTTAGTTAGTTAATTACTTACACACAAGACACTATTTTGTAGCTCACTTGTTGTAAAGTCATATGTTCCGGCAATACATGTTCGAAATGTCAAACCAAAGTGAAGTTACCTCGTCAAATATGCGCAACTATCTATCAAATGATATTTTGACCACAAGATGGCGCATAATCAGTGGAAGGCAAATTTTTTATTTTGATTTAACTTTTTTTGTTATTAAATTTTAGTTGGCATTCAATTTAAATCTTCCTCAGAAATTCATTTGCCAACTATATTTGTTTTTTTCCTAATGCTTCCCAGGCAACTTTGTTTGATATTGAAATATGAGACACAAAAGGGTGAATGTTATAGTTTTATTTAGGTTGTATTTGTTACTATATTAACGAATACAGAATATATTATTAAGTAATTCTATTCTCACTATGCTAAGAGGTTGCAAAATTTTTGAAAATTATTTACATCTCACACATTTTTAGATTGCAGAATAATAATCAATGTTAGATTGAATAATGTTCATTTACATCATTATATTGTCGTTAGACTTATTGTCAACGTTTGAATTCAGTCTTGCTTATTTCGATCCTAATCGAAATATGAAAGTCAATACAAGATTTTCGTTTCTAAATTTAGTTTCAATTAAAGCAATAGCCTACGCTAAAGAATTCTTCATTTTTTCTCGGAAATTAGTTTAATGAAATACTCCATTAGATTATACTGAAAAGTATACAATTTATTTAGTTTTTTGTAATAATCAACATTATAATAATCATCAATTACCATTCGGAATGATTTGATTGTGACATTGCTTGACAATGATAAGACTGTTGCACTTCCGGTTTGCATGGAATTTTTCAAAAGATGTCAAAGGAGATAGTTATCAATTTCTATTGTTTCTTGATTTAATTACAGAGATAGCAGATATTTTCGCATTAGATATGGAAATTGATATACATCACTATAAAAGCTATAATTTGCAGAGAAATAAATTCAAAAAAAAATTAGCATTGCATTGGATGCATCACATATAAAAGCGCCGTGAAATTTGATTACTGGCTCAAACCTTTTCAAACTATTCTAGTGAAAAACAAGTTAGAGAAAAAATCTATTAAAAAATGTTCAATAAAAATTCCATTTTGGTCGTTTTACTTTTGGTTCAGTTGGTGGTAAGTTTATTTCGAAACACTCGTTGAAACTGTGTTTGAATCATTCAAACATTATATTCATGTAGTAAATTTTAGCCAGTACATGTTCAACTTTAATGTCTAATTGAGATTTAAAAAAAATTGTACGCGAATATTTTTCAGTCCATCACATTCAGTGCTGCAGCACCAGAAGGTCAAGAAGGTCAGGGCCAAGGAGGACAATCAGGCGGACCCCAAGGAGGACCACCAGGAGGACAATCAGGATTAGGTAAACCACCTGGATCATCTGGACAAAATTCAGATGGAAAAAATAATCCAAAGATTCCCGGAAATTAATAATGATCCCCAGGAGGTATTGAAACTATTGGCCAATATTTAAAAGAACAATCGAACTAAAAATGTATGTTATCAAATGTATTGCTAAATGTATTGAGACTGCCGTCCTCCGTGATACTGAATTCTCATATATCACAAGTATTAGACAGTAATTCAAGTACATATAGTTCAGTCGTTCTTTGATATGTGGAGTTGATAAAGTTTTAGATGGTTCCTTTTTCATTTTTATTTATCCAAAATTTAGGTAATTCAAAGTTATCAACTAGGACAATAATCCACTAAACAATGAAAATATTCTTAAAATTATTTGGCCGATGAACATCCTTAAATGAACCTATTATTGGTTTATTTAAGTCTTTTTTGAAAAATGCACTGTAAAAATAGTTAATCTACACAGTATGAAAATTAAAATAAAAAGCAAATAGAAAATTCATTCATTATTTCTATAGAAAATTTATTTAAAAAAACATTCTTCACAATAGGACTTCGTTGTTTGTCAGTATATTCTTGGAATACGTGATGCACGGGTTTTTGGTATGTGAAAAGGAATTTAAGTCGATATATGTCTTCAGATGATTAAACACGTTATAATTTTATGAAAACAATCATTCGAAGCGCAAATATACATTGTAAATATTTAAACGAAAAACAAAAAATCAATGGAATCCGGAGGCGAAAGAAAAAGTTATAAAATATGACTAAGTGTCAATCTTAAATCTGATAACACACGACAGGCTGACGTGCAATTCATTACGCTTCGACAAAATAATAAAATCAAATATCGTTGTAAAAAAAAGGTGCTATAAGTAGATCATGATGTCGAACAGTAATGACAGAGTAATTGCTTCGCAATTTTAGCAGTTTTATTACATTCGAATTCCAATCCGTGGGCTTTATAACACAATTTTGATATATATTCCCAGAAATTGCGATAAGGTTCGTCATCGACAGATCTATCGTTTTGTATCACACAACAAAATATATTTTGCCATATGTTCATTTTGACGTTGTAAGCCAATAATAATCATAACAACAATAATGTGCTAAAGTATAATCACATTTCCCTTCTTCCACAATGGCCCAATCTTCGTGTGGAAACATGCAAACGATAATGGAGCCCATTTGTATATACATGCGAATGTGCGCCAGCCGCAGCCAGCGGAAAATAAGTATTGGTGTGCATGCGTGTGTTAAAAGCGATGTTCACATTCCAAATGGCCCGTAAGTAGTGGAATATAAGAATTCGAGAGGAAAATGCTGACACATCTCGTCGACGCATATAAATACAGTAATTTCGTTTCTATTGCCATCATTCTACGATGATGTTTAGAGTTGATAACTGATTTTTGGTACATTCAATTTTGTTTAAGTCTCATCGGCTGCATTGTTCTTTAGTCCTTCGGACTTCAAATTACATATTATTTTGGATCTATCCATATTCAGTGATAACAATAAAATTTAATTCAATTTGAATCAATCAGAGTGGAAATAATAAAGAAAGAATTATTTTCAATAAATTTCAATTTTGATATTTATACAACAATGAATTTTTGTGAAAAAAGTGCCATATAAAATGAAATTACCATTTTAATAAATTTCAATCAATAATATATAAACTTTCAATTGTAAACAATTTCATACAGAAAAACATTTCATTGTGATTTTTTTCCAAATCGTGTTTTAATTCAAATATGAAGAAAATTTTTGTTCTGTTCATTTTCCTGATTATAAAGGCCAAGGTGAGATTTTTCATTTTTAAACTGTGTTTTTTATCAAATAACCCATTCAACCATGATAAAATTAATAATTTAAAACCGAATAGAGACGTATCGAAGTAAATTTAGTCGTCCGATACAAAATACATAATTATGTATAATAATATCTAAACAGCGTGATCACAGTTTGATACACTTGTTCAGGCTAATACGTTTGCTTTTATGTAATGTGTTAACATTCTGAACGCTTGAGTAATATCCAAAATTATACGTTTGATGAGTTGATGATTAGGACCAAGTCTTACTCAATATTCCATCGGATTAAATTGCATTTTATTCGTTTCTGAACGAAAACTCTGTTAACATAGAAAATGATCAAACTTTGTACAAAGATAATGTTAAATATATTATACGAGCCACGAAAAAATATCGGTGTTGAATATTTTAGTATGGCACGACTTGAATATTCTATCAGTGCACTTGAAGAAAAGTGTATTGACACATTTAATGGACTGTTTTTTCAGTGATAATATCAGTATATTGACTTTGTGTCAAATTCTTTTTAAACGTTAAAGAGAGAAAAATGAATTTATTCGAAGTTTATATTCAATGTTGATGGTTTCATCGTTCAGACAAAATACATGTATAATATTTAAAAAAAAACTTTGAGTGCGACATGTCCCGAGATTGAATCGATCAAATTCACGAAAAAAAAAGAATAGAGAAAAAGTTGGAGTTTCAAATCTATTCAGGGTGATGCGCTCTTTTTTGTATGACCAAACTTTTCAAAAAGTGTCAACCTATTAACTTCAAAGTATCCGATGTCATTGTTTGTTGATTGCTTTTCGAAACAAAATACGAAGCCGAATTCTTTCCACTTCAGAAATTTTAATTGGAAATAAAGTGGCCAATTATGTATGCTCAACGACATAGGGATTGAAAAAAAAAATCAGAAAACTTCTTATTTTTTCTAAATAAAGAGACGCCTGCACATTGTCATCCATCCACCCGCAATAAACACATGTATATACGTAATGGATTTCGGTAGTTTTAATTTTTCATTCACCTTCAAGCAACCACGTTAGAAAAACAGTGATAAAACTCGCATGGGTAAAAAAGCCAATTTCCATCAAAAGTTTGATATTTTTCTTTCATTAAGATGATGCAAAAACATTTTTCACACCCGTTCGAATTGCTTTTCATTCTGTTTTCCACAGCCAAATACATTATTACATACCGCTTCATATGACATAATGTTTCGATGAACGACTATTACGATTTTTGGCGTATGTTGCATTGTTGTTGTTTGTTTTATTTCAATAGAAAAACTTTTTTCATATCTACATTCTTACAGGATCGATTTGTATAAAAAAAATTCCCAGTTTTCTAATTAATAAAAACGTACGTCTTGTAGATAGGAAAAAAATCATTTTATGCTTTAGTATGTGGTTTCGAGGAAAATTACGAGGAAATAGTAAATTTTGTGTGAAAGATGTACGCAAGCATGAAACAAGGCACCCGTGAACGTTATGATGCTATAATCTGATTGAATGCCATATGAATTGTATGTGAGCTCTAATTATATGAGTTTTATGCCATTTTTCTTTATTTGATCCGCGTTACAAGTAATGGTGTTAATGGCATCACTGCATCTATGAATTGAATCAATTAATGCTGTTGACGTAGTCAACGCTAATTTGCCCGGTGACAATATTGCTTTCATGCCGAAACCATAGCAATTTTTATTGTCAGCTGTAATAATTTGGTTGTATCAATGCAGTATTAAGAGAAAAACCATTAAATAGTTACTATTTCGTGAATATTTTTGTAATTGTTTTAACCGAAACATGTACTTGCTTTCTGCCATCGAAATTCGTTAACAATAAAACAAATTTATTACATAAATGCGTCTAAGTAGAAACAAATGTTCAAAAAAACACATTATTTTCCACCCCTGGAAGTATAATGAACTTTTAAATGTTATAAAATAGTTCGTTTTCAGTTTAATTGCTTGACTGAAAATATTTACGGCACATTAATACCTGCATTAATATCATTTAATTTACGGCTCGCCAACAAAACTCAATATAGCTGAGTAATCTGTGCACATCGCTACCGACCTTTCTCTTAATTTAATTCCTTCTCTTTAATCTTTAAGCCACAGTCTTTTCATTGCTATTCAATTTCCGCGGCACTGTGGGAACACATTAGATATTATATAGATAGCCACACAGCTTTCTTAAAAGATTAAAAACTTAAATGGCTACGGGCATTACACAAAACTGAGAGAATTCACTAATCAGAATAACTTTTTGGAAATTAAATTTTCTTTCCATTTTGCTAAAATCACAATTTTTATCAAAGCTTCACATTGAAAGATACAGCGTATAAAATAAACAAAAACAATCGTCGAAATTTAATGGCAATCTCTAAGAAACTAGATAAAATCCATTCATGCAAGATATCGAAGTTAATTACTGTCTTAATGTGTCATCTGATAAAACAATAACTTGAAGAATTTATGAATTTCATATACATCAGGCTTACAGTATATCGTTGTAGTTACATACAAATTGAGAAAACGTGTTTTGAATAATAGATTTTAGTTTATCCACCCCAAATTTTTTATTGTATTGTGACTTTGGATTTGACTCAGTTTATTTCAACAATTTTCGCAAGTGTAGTTTTGTTTCGACAATTTAACGTCAATGAAGGATATATTCACTGAATTATTCAGTCCGTCGCCCACGCACTTCATTTCAAATGGAAAATGTAATAAATAACGATGAATAGTAAAATTACCGGTAAAATACACCTTATAAAAATGACCATCGTCATTGAGTTTTTTTATTCTTTCTAAAGAAAGTCTTTATTTAATGAAATTCGGAAACATTGATTGAATTGGGTCATTTTTAAATTGGACAATTTTTTGGTAATAAAGTGAATTCGAATCAACATCTCCCACGTATGTGCACGCATTTCACCTGGGTTTATTTGTTTTGATGGATAAATTTGTACAAATCATTGTGTTTCTTAAATTAGTTTTGCAACTAACCTTTTTCATAAACTGTTTATTTTCATTTTTTGCAGGCTTGGTCGTCAGTACGTGTACCGTTTGAATATCTAGAGCCGAATCCCGTTACTGAAATATCCGGTAAGTGTTATCTCACGTTAATCATCCGCTTGCCTGCTATGACGTCATTTGCAATGATATAAACCCACACTTTAAAACAATTAAGTACTGGAACCGTAATGCATGCATTTTCCATTTTCCGAACCACAAACATAACAATTCGCAAATTAAATTTCATTCAACTGTGCGGGGTTTTCGTGATGTCATGTTTCTGTCATATAACATCGGCAGAGAATTTACATGTTCTCTAACACTACATTTTGTACATGAAAACTTTGAATTGTTCACATCAAATGCAAGCATTCACAAATAACTACATCAGTATTGGTTTAGTCTGTATATATATAAAAACTATCATCTACGATAGATGAAAAGAAAATTGTGGGTTCTTATTAGCGTAATACTATTATTATACGATTTATATAATATGAATATAATTTTCTAGCAAATCTAAACATTCAAATGTATCAATTATAGTAGTATTATCATTTATTTATTACCACTCGACGTACGTGAAGCTAAAACCTTTGGTTTTCAGAACTAGAACCATGGATTTCAATTATTTTAACAAAATATACGCATCATTAATATTATCAATGTGTACGCAATGTGAATTTAGTAGTATGTTCAATTTGAATTCAGATTTTCGTTGGAAATACACTAAAAGTTTATGTCTATGATCTTGAAATTACTTTGCTTTCACAAATAGTAAATGGTTGATAAACACATGTGTGTATAAATTTTCATGTTTTGTAAGTTTGATAATCCAATATTTCAAATTATTGCTTCGAAATCGATTTTTATAAATAAGGCCAATTTTTGAAAACTATTGAGCTCAAACATGAGGCTTAAATCAACTCTGGTGCCCATCTCTCCGTATCATTAATATTCCACGTCATTTAAGTTAGTTTTTATTAAAAAAAAAAAAAAATACAAGAAAAGGACTACATTTTATGTTTTAAAAGAGATTATTGACAATCATTAAAAAATTTGAGCCATAGGTACAATATTATTTTGAGAAAAAAAGCATATTTCGGCCCACCCTATTGTATAAAATTTGAATGTTCATTTATCATTTTAAAACTACTTCAAACGTTTTTTTTTCGCGTTGCATAAAGCTACCGAATTGTTAAAGTCCATATTAATAGAAATATTTTAGCGTGGGAGCCAGACCATATATGACAAGTCAATCAAAAGGGCTGTCAGTTAAAAAGTTGGAAATTAGTTCTGAAAAAACATAAACGATTTATTGTCATCAATTAGAGCAAACAAATTTTTCTCACTTGAATAAACAGCAACTTTCTTTTAATTTAAAATATAATAAATAGATTGTGTGCATGTTGCATCGGAAGAAGGTGACTATTCGTTTAAAAAGGTGTTAAGCGTAGAAGAACCATCGACGACAGTTTGTGGCTTGTACATCGTGAGTGATCCAAATCGAGTTGTTGAAATATCTATTAAATATTTGGATGCAAGCTGCGATACGGGTGCACTAATGGCGTTTTTCGACGGATGGGAGTTAAATGGAAAATATTTCCCAAATGAAAGGGATCACCATTTGCCACTTGAACAACGTACTCATGAATTTTGTAATCATAACGCCGAATGGCCATTTAGACAATTACGAAAACGCTTTCGATCTAGTCAAAATGCAGCACTACTTCAATATCGTATACCAGTTCGGGGATCTTTTGTGGCCACAGTGAAATTTTTCGAAAATCCTGAACGTAAGAATATTCATAGTAACTAATATAGAAATAGGTTGTTTCAATTTCTCGTAGTGTAAAATTTCCATTTGAAAATCTAAAGAATTCCATGGTCCAAGGAAATCAAACAAATGTGACAAAATCCGTTTCAAAAACTCTGAATTTAGTTCTACATTAGTATTCAGTTTTCGTTTGTTGTATTTGATTCTCTTTTCAGCATGCAATATTTTGGTGGAAGGAACAATACCGTTTTATAGCTTAAGCAACTATGGCGCGAAAAGAAACTGCACTCTAACGTCCATAAATCCATCTGTAGTAACACTTAGAGCTGTAAACATTGGTGCTGAACATGAAGCGGTTAATTATAATGTATGTTGAGAAATAATATTATATTTTACAGCTCATATTATAGTTATTACCTTAGAATAAATGAATGATACCTTTATTTGATATTTAGTGTGATAGTTCCATGGATCATCTGGTGATTGGAGGCTCAAAAGATTTGGATAGTGTAAACATGCAAATTTCATCCAATGTATGCGGTCATACAGAAAAAATTGGACCCGAACAAGCGATTTTTTGTGAAGTTACCACGGTTCGTCTTGTTTCACATGGCAATTACAATAATCAACTTATTCTTACCGTACGAAACGCCGATGAAAATGACATCAACATTGCTACATTATTGTGTCCAATGTAAACTACGGAAATCATGCATATAAATGTTTAATGAATATTCGATAATTTAAATAGAATAGTACGCCTTCATTTCATTCACATTTTACATCGGCTTAACTTTAGAATAGTGACACCTTTGACCTCAAAAATGGCGCTTTTATAGGGGCTGATTTGTTTTCATGATCAAAAATTATTTTAAACACAATCCGACAGCCTATTTTACTCATGTGTACCCTTTTTTAACAAAAAAAATTCGAAAAAACTAAAAATTCAGACCTACTAACAGGTGTCAGTATTCAAAAGTTGTGCCTTTACATCTATCAACTTATTTATTTTCCAAGCAACATTTAAACCATACATCTTTCATACTTTCTTCCATGAATGAGGCGCACTTGTTACGGTCATTACATACACGATTTCATATAATAAATCTACACATTTTCATAGTAAGATTCTTAGTTTAAAGTTGAAAATATTTTTTGAATTTTTTAGTTTTGAAAAGTAATAAAAGTTTCACTTGATTACTTGATTTCCACTGCAATGATCAAAATATCCATTATAAATAAAATATCATTCATAGATGATCGATTTTTTTATAAAAATAAAATAAACTTTTTTCATTTGAGTTAAATAAATAAACGTTTATGTCAATTGTGACAAATATGTCTACCCTTGTGTTGAATTGTTGTTTAAAAAAACTAATGAATGTCTGAATAAAATTCTTAACCACCTTTTAAGTTAAAATAAATGGCATTAAAAATTATATTTCCTTTCAATTACAGATCTATTTCAATTTTGAATTATTGTTGACATCATTTTCTGACATAAATGTGAATGAATTTTCAGTTGGATTTGAAGTAGTCCAAATAACTTTGTTTGTCTGTCGATTAGACTAAGGATGCAAAGGTTTATATAGATAGTAAAATTACAACGATTCAACAAATCACAATAGGCAACATAGCATATATGCTGGTGTTTCCGAATGAAGTTTTTCAATTCTATTCAATACCTGTCGCGGATAGTTTGATATTATATTTGTTAAATATTTTTCAACACTTCAACTTCTACTAGCACCCGTGTATACAATTCATACACGAGTATTCAATTTTCTTATCATACTCATTAAATGTAGCAAATGATTGATTGATATGAGCTACTCATATATACATATCCGCCCATTCTCGAATAGTTTTTAGTTTTTCGTTTTGATTTGAAAAGTTTCAAATAAAAACAGTCAAATAAATTGATTTGATGTGTGATAAGTTTCAAATCAATTTCTTCGATTTTTAAACCAAGCACAGTTATCCAAACAAGATGTTTTATGTATCTCGCATGAAAAATTTTTTTTGCAAAATTACCCACTTTATTATCTAAAATGAAATATATTGTGTTTATTCACTTTTATAGAATATTCAAAGCCTGTAATTCGATGTAATATTTACTGACAATGAAATCAACACTGTTAATTTTACAAATTGAATTTTTATAGCATAAATGAAATTTTCGATATGCTGGTGTATTCATAAACGGTTGAAATGATTTTTAACAAGAAGAAATGGTAAATTGAAAGAAAATCATAGATGATATATTTTGTGACATCATTGTGAAATGCTTTGTTAAATTTGTGTGGAAAATTTGTAAGATCGGTGACAAAAATTTATGAATATTTGGCATTTCTCTAACGTTGTTCAAACCATTTACCAAATCAGTTAACAGAAAATTTGAAAAAAGACAGGTCGAAACTCGAAAATATGCCTAAATGTTGTAATTATTACTCTATATATCGTCAAACTGTGACTCACGAAATAAGTGTGTCGCATAAAGATATGCATATGCATTCTTTGTGCTGGTTTTTCGTCTTATAATCGACATAAATACGGGATCTCGTTAACAAAGTATCGGAAACTCAGTGCTAATTAGTAATGTATTTTTCTACCATGAAAACTGAACTTATTAAATTCATCTCAAGTTAAAGGTGTGTAAGGTAATTGATCTAATACTTGTATATCAACAGAAAAAATAAACGTATGTACTGGTTAATCAGGTTTGATTGATGGAATAAATAACACCTGTGACGCACCTAAACAATATTGAAGTTCGCACAATATATTCGAAAGACAGAAAAAAAACTAGTTATATATTCAAATGAATATTAGCATTTTATCGGTAGCCGATGAATAGTTGAGTGTGGTTGGGGATTGCTATAGTGACAAATCAAGCTATTCGTCGTATTCAGTTTATAAATGTGTGTGTGTATAAGATGCATGTCATTTTGAGTCGAAAAGAAAGTAAAAGAAACATGGATTGCAAATGAAAAACTGCAGTAACCGCAATCATTAAGCTAAAATGAATCATCGATTGATGTTATGCTTTGAAATGTTAAATAACATATATTGAAGACTTGTTTTCTACAATGCATTCAGTAGACGTTGTGGTGTGATATTGTTCAGTTTGTTTTTCTTTTACGTGCGTATTTCCATTCAAATTTGTATTCTGTTTATCTATTTTCGAATGGTTAGTACCTATTAAGAGATTTGCGTGTATTTTAATCAAATGAATTAAAAGATTTTTGTTTTTTAAACTGAAAAAGTGTTAATAATTAAGTATTATTATATTCAAATGCAAAGCATCCTTGTACAGTGAGTTTTATGAACAAAGTGCTTTTATTAAAACAAATTTTGTGATATGAAAAACAAAGGTAATGAATATGTTTGTAATTATTATATTCTTGCGATATACGATAAAACCAAAATAAAATCAAAGTTAACGAATCAAATTTACTGAAAATTGAATTTTGAATCGGACCATCGTTTTCATTCATGATGTTGTCTTTTGTTCATGTAAAACGACTCAAACGAGCTGATTGCATTTGTTTACTCGATGTAAAAGTTTTAAATTTGCTGCGTTGTATATGTGTCCATTTTCAATCATATTTTTGGCGCCGCTTGATTTTTCCGGTTCGTTTTTGCTTGTGTGTCGCTCATGTTAGCCGTTTCTTATCATGATTGCCATTTTCAATTGACCAATGCATTCTTTATTACAACCGTTGCATTTGATTGAGTATATGCACGATTGATTTTGTGCATTAATTTTGTCTTTGGAACCACTTTGATGTGTTTATCAACAATACAATGTTTAATAAGATAATTTTACGTAAATTTTGATTTTCCGTTAAAAAAAGTTTTGAATGAATTTATATTTTCACCTTGGTGGATGAATGTCGATTCTGTGTTTTTATATGTTTGTTTATTTTGAAATTAATATGGATTTAGTTTTGGTCATTGACATCGAAAAAATCGTTATAATTCAAATTGATTTCGTAAAATAAAGTAAAAAGAGATGACAAAAATCTTTTTTTTTTTTTTAAACATCAAATTGATGATATATTTTTTTAAGTTATTCCGTTCTTAACTCAGCTTGCTTATTTCAACATCATTTATATCACCTTGTGATTCTTGAATCGTGATTACAATAAATAATTTATCTTGCTTTTGTTCGACAATTATTCATTATAAATATTGTCACATTTTTGCTGCATTTTTTGCATTAAAATACCATAAATGATTGTGCGGTTAATGCAAATATGAAAAATTGATTATTGTAGTAATTTATTGTTTGATGACTCATAACGGATATGAATCAGAAAGGGCACTTATGGGATACTCTGAATGGAAAATATGCATAAAATCTCGGTCTGATTCAATTTTATTAATCATCAATCTCATCTGAATACCTCGACTATATTTCGTAGTTTTTGAGTGTGATTTCCAATTGATTTCATCACATTGCTTTTTCTGAAAATAATTCAGCGAAAATAAAATTATGATAATAAAAAAAACCGTTTTGAATTTGTTAAGATTTTGGGTATTGACCCAACTGATGATTGTTTCTCTTCTATTTTTAGATTAATTTCATAAAATTGACCGACAGTCTACGACAAGCTATAAAAAAATGAAAGCAACAACTTTGCTAATTTTATGCATTTATGGCATAAACTTAAGTGCTACTAATCCAGGTAATTATTCTACTGCAATTTGAATTTTTTTTAGTTTTCAATCAGATAATTAAATAATTTGTTCAATTTGTTCGGTTTTTCTTTTTCAGCTATTCAAGTTCTTGATAAACATGATCGGTAAATATTATAAAATCAATGATATATAAAATATGATAAAAAAATAGGGTTGAAGAATTCAATTCTTGTAAACGACATAATAAAACATACACTATAAATTCAAACAGCATAATAAAAATCTTAAAATACTTTGATTGTTTTTTTTTACAGATATGACAGTTTTAAGAATGAATATATAGAGTTCGACCAGCAGGAGATAAAATCTAGCGCTGGAGTCTATTTTGATGAAATGGCCAATCTTCAAGTCTATCACTCCGAATGGACATTTGTTACTTATGTTAATTTATCGTATTTTGTGGAGGAAATGAAACATCTAGAGAAAACAGTGGAAAACATTCAAAACTTGTGCGATAGTATAAAAAATGAATTTTCGCTTTCAGTTTCAACTTCACATTGTGACCATACATTGCCACAATTACACAATGTGATGGAAGAAATAAAAAATTATGAAATAAAGTGGTTTTTTGATCTGAAAGCGGATACGAGAGATCAAAACTTATTTGACCGATCCAAACGAAAAAAGCGCAACCTGCTCGGAACCATTTCCAGGCGCTTGTTCTTTTCACTACCTGAAGAAGATGTTGCATTTTATCGGAATCAAATCAACGTATTAAAAACAGAAAATTTGCAACACGTTTTATTTGCAAATAATCAAACATCTTTATTTAAAGACACAATCAAGGTACGATTTTAATGATATTATAAAAAAAAACTAATTGAATCGGTTAGAATATTCGTGAGCTCAGAAAATTTGTTCAAGTAAGAGTAGAACAACATGTTCATATAAAAGATGTATGGACACGTTGCATTTTTATTTTGTCAAATTTCTTGAGGTCATGAATATTCTGGTCGGTTCAATTTTAACTTCAAGAACATTTAAAAACTTAGCCTAAAGCATTTTCTAAACATTTTGCTTTTTAATATTCAAGGTATTGAACAAAACAATGAATTCGCAAATTGTTCAACATTTGGCATTACAGAGGCAATTTGATGATTTGGAATATTTGTTAAATAATGCCACAGTATTGAGTACGTTAACTGGAAAATTAAATCAACTGATGCAGTACACGACATTTGTACTCACCAGTTTTTCAGACAAACAACGACGCTTTTTTGATCTTATAACATCAAAATCGAAAAATGTGCAATGGATTGCACCAAAAATGCTTATGGATGAACTGGAGCGTGTTAATAAACTGATAGCATCACAAGGACTCCATTTTCCGTTGCCACTCAGAGAAAATCTATCAAAATTTTACCAAATTACATCAACAGAAGGGGAAATAATCGATAATAATCTCGTACTTCGATTCTCTGTACCTTTGGTCGAAATGAAAAATTTTATTGTTTATAAAATATTGAAACTACCATATCGAAACCAAAGCAACGAATTTAGTTTTATCAGTCCAAAAAATGAATATATTGCACTAGATTCGCCCAACGAACAATTTTTTACTTTAACTCTTGACGAACTCAAGAGTTGCCATAAAATTAATGCAAAGCATCGAATTTGTAAACAAAGTTTTCCCATCAGGCGAACAACTGATGATTTGGGATGTGAAATAAATTTACTACGAAACACAAATGTAACACATACATGTGATATTAAAACGAGTAATTTAACCGAAGATATTTGGGAGAAGTTGCAAAAACCAAACACTTTTCTGTATACATTAACAAAAGCTCAAACAGTTGAAATCATTTGCCCGCATTCTCGAACAAAATTGATTTTTCAAGACACGGGCATCATAACACTGTCGCAAAAATGCAGAATTAAAACTGAGCGAATAGAAATTAGAGCCCTTGAAAAAACAGAGCAGAAAAACGTGCATGATTTAATTCCATCAGCAAAATTTAATTCAAGCGCAGCAATCGATGTCGAAAAATCAAAACATATTAAAAGTCTTTCTAACTCAAAATTACCAGAATATTTAAGCGAAGATGATATCAATCAATTAACACAGATTAGTGATAATATCAATCATTTAAAAGAAATTTATAAATCTCCTCCAATCTATGAATCCCATATAGGAAATGACATCCATCCTATTATATTATTAATTATAGCTGTTATAGTGCTGATATTAATTGTTGTAGTCATTGTTGTATTTTTCAAATATTGTGCTATTCCAGGCTGTAATATACTCATATATTTAATATTATTCGCATTAGTCATTCCAGGGGTCTTATATTTCATTTGATCTGTGATCGTCTTGCTCTTCATAAGAACAATTCAATAGTTTTAATTTTGTTGATAGTTTAGTAATTGATTTAGTTACCAAAATTACAATCCAAAAATATCGATAAAAGGAGTAATTTAAAAATTCATTTAAATTTATTATTAGATTGGACACTTTATGAATTTATATAAATATTTCTGGTCATCTATAAGTAAGTTTTGAAAAATTCCAGAGTTATAGCAAATATTTTTTATATGTTGATTGTTGTTAAATTATTTCACAAATTGTTTTTTACCAAAGTATATATTTTGGTTTACTAGGCTGATCGAAAATGACGTGACTTTTTGAATGAAAGGTGTCACTTTTTCCAAACTGATATTATTTTTTAGAAGACCATCCTTCAAACCGCCAAATCACATCATCACCATTTCTTCAAAAAATGCCATTTTCAAGGTGTTCGTTTCCTTTTCCTCTATGACCCCATCTATGGGGCCCATCCGAAATCAACGGAGAATTTTCTTGTGGCTCTAGTAAATAGAAGAGAGTCCGAACAATACCACCAAGCTCAGTTTTGACTTTGTTGACGGATTTATTATACAAAAATTGATGTTTATTTCACAAATCGAATTTCGTTTTTTTTTGTTTTTCGAGAAAAAGCAGAGGTTGGTCTCTTTTGAAGCTATGTAACTTCTGGGTCCATGGACGGATTTGGTTCAAATTTGTGATTTAGAGGTTTGAAGGGTAGTACTTCTCAAAAATAATATCAGTTTGGAAAAAGTGACACCTTTCATTCAAAAAGTCACGTCATTTTCGATCAGCCTAGTAGTAGCCATTTAAGATATAAGAATTTGTTTTTGAAAGTATACATATTACTTAAGACTGTCATTTATTGAAATAAGCGAAAACTATGTTTAAAGTTTGAATAAAATAATAAATTTTTATTTCATTAAATATGAAATTATTATGAAATCACAATTTTATTTCAATTTTCAGTTCGTCATTTGAATCCATTTATTTCAGCCTCTTCGGTATTTTCTTCCAGCCAATCACTTACGTCATGTTTTTTATACTAGAAAAATTAAAAATCTATTGAATATTTGAAAAAAAAAGGATTCATTTAAACAAAATCGGATTTAAAATTTGACCTGTGCATTCAATTAACCTGTGCATTCAAATACTTCAGAAAGAAATTCAACAAGAAACTTTTTCCTTTAAGTATCGGTCCCGTCCATACAATGTTGCTAGCTAGCTATCTATATCAGCTTAGCTGATTCAGCTATTGCTATAGGGATATATAAAAAGCTGCTATTTAACGCATATCTTCGGTCAGTTGCTGCGTATACTCGACATAACAATGGTGCCATTGTTTTGAAATGATTTAAAACGTTAAAAATTTCAAACAATGAGACCATGATTATGTCCAGCATACACAGCGTCCAAGCGGGGAGATGCGTTAAATAGCAGCTATTTATATGTCCATATGGCAATAGCTGATATAAATAGCTGGCTAGCGACATTGTATGGTCCCGTCATGGATCCGCCTCCAAAATAGTAATCCATTTATTTCCAAGTGAAACGAATGATTTACGAGTGAAACAATTTGAACTTGGGCATGATCGTTTGAAGATGCTTCATGCATGTTACGACCATAACATTAATTTATAAAATTAATATGTACCAACCAAAATACAGCTTTTCATTTATTAATTCGAGCAACTGACTCAAGACTGTGCTTTGTCGTTCGTTTCGACTCTTTATATAAGTGCGTTTCATTTTTTAACCAACTAAGCATGTGAACATGAATGGTAAACAAATGAATCGTTGCGGCGAAACAGTAGCTCTTATTTTTCTCCAAATAATACTGCAACATGAAGTTTTTTTCACACGGTTTATTTGTTGTAATACAACAAATAAACTATTCATAAAAAACTTTATGTTGCAGTATTATTTGGAGAAAAATAAGAGCTACTCTTTCGCCGCAACGATTCAAATGTACTAATTTTTTTTACAAAAATTTCGAAAATTTTACCAAAGTTAGAACAATTTGATTTGATTTTTCTTTCAATGTATTTGTTTTGATTGGTTGTATAACCGATACTAAATGAGTAAATATAGCATATATGCATAGAAAAGTAGTTTGTTGTTTTTTGAACCTGTGAAATTATATTGGATTAATTGGGTATTATCACTAAACCGGGCATGCGATAATAAGAGATATAACGTAAAGGAAAAAATATTGTTATTCCATTTGCTTCTTCACTTTTTCAACAATGAAATAGTTGAAATAGAACAACTCATCGAAAAATTATGAACTTCTTTGAATTTTCTTTCGAACGCTTTCATGTTTTGTTTTTTTACAAATGTGTCCATGGGAATAAAAGTGGCAAAAACGGAATCTGAAGAACGTTACATAATTTTTTTTTACATAGTACAACTCCATACAAAAAAAAATGATGTAACGTTCTTCAGATTCCGTTTTTGTATTGCCATATTTATTCTTACGGACACAAATGATTGTAATTATATGTTGCAAATATTTCCTAATCTAAAAAGTATTGATGATGGGTTTTTGTAGTCGCTAATGTCTAATTGGCATTAAAAATTTCGTTAATAAGTGACAATATTTACAAAATGAGAAAAAAAAAACTTGATTTAGTTTAATAAACTAATTTTTTTGAGACAAACCAAACAATTAGTGATCCAATAAAAGATTCTATTTTATAGGACACATTGTTTATATTGTAAAATATAAAATTGATAGTTATAGGTATTTTTAATGTTTGAGAAACAATAACATCAGTTAATATTAATTGTAAATATGGTTGAAAAAAGCAAATTGTTATCAAATAGTCCTATTATATGTTTTAATTGTTTTTTAAAATATCGATTCAGCAGAATTTCCAATGTGGCTGCATTTTGTGTTAAGATTTAAAAACCGTAGTATGTCATGATCTCTGATTGTTTGAATTCCAGTGATATCAGTTGCATTCACGAAAAGTTCCAGTGGTATTATTCCATTAAGAGGTTGGCGGTTTGCTTGCAAAACCTTGAAAATTTCCCAAATCATTGAGTTGGTGATTTTTAAATCGGACCAATGTATGTGCAAGGCTTTTAATCGACTGGTAAACTTTAGAAAGTCTTTCACTGTTGACTCTTTCCATTTTATGTATCGGGTGCAAAACATTTCCAAATTTGGTAGCTCTTGTGCAATAGCAATAAGGTTTTGTTGATTTGGTTCATAGTGTAAATCTTCTTCGCCACCATCGTATAACAAATGAAGTTTCAACACGCGTAGGCTCTTAAACCGTATTAAACATTGAAGAATACCATTTAAATCAGCCTCATCCAAGTACATTAGATTAAGTTTTGTCAAATGTTCAAGACTACTTAGGTAAACAATATTCGAAGCAGTTAGATTGGGAAATGATGGTAGAATTGTTAGCTTCTGTACGCCTGGAATAAGCTGTGCAACAGCTTGCAAACGTTCATCAGCATGATATGCTGTGAATTTCAAACATCTTAATTGCGGATTTTGTGCCAAGAATGAACGAAAAGTATTTAGTACCATATATTCATTTCCCACGTTTGATAGGTATTCCAATTTTGGCCATGGTTTACAGCATCGGATCAATTGCATATTTTCCAATAACTTTAACTTTCTCAAATTTGGACACAATTCCTGAAAATCTAAATCTAAATCATAGGCTGGATTGTAAACAGTTATTTCTAGTGTGTCCACAATACTAAAAATTGACTTAATTGCTGGAATATGCTCTTCATACAGAAGAACATCCCAAAATCTTATTCGCCGAATATTTTTTCCAACATATTGACCCAATTTTTCTAAAAAACGCTGTAATCGATTATTGTGATCATAATCGTGCCATCTGAACTTTAATTCAGTGATGTAGGGGCCAATACATATCAGTGATCGGCGTACTTTGGCCAAAGGCATTTGTATATCTTTTGTGCTATTTTCAATTGCAAATGAGGTAAAGTGTGGAAATATATGTTGATGTAGTAAGCGGTTGAATAATTTGCACACCTCCGATACATTTATTAACGATTCAAAATCTAAGTGCTTAAAAATCTCCAATATACAATCTTCGTTCAATGTGAAGAATGCTACATCACATTCTTCCAAATCCTCGATTGAGTCATCAATATTATCGCTTTCTTGTTTTGGTTGTGTCCAAGTATCTGCTGGCTGTATTTTAAATTGTTTTCTGAGCCGACCACTTTGACATGAATTATGTGCCACTGCCAAATATGCACACCGATCACTTACAAATGTAATATATGCTTCGCGATTTTCACTGGCCAATATTTCAATCGATTCAATTTCGCCAAATTTTCGAAAGCACCTCTCAATCAGCGCCTCATTAAATTGATGATTTTCCTGAAATAAAATAATTTTCAAATAAAACACATGTGTGAGGTTAAAAAATTATGAACCAGGTCGCTAACCTGCGAATCTTCATTTTTTAAGGAAATGAATAACTTCCTAACGATTACAAATCGATGTTTATCGTATTCATCTTCATCATCAATAAATTGGTATTCATTATCATCCCAAATAAATGGCATTTCGTTTCGGATTTAATTGGTGCGTAAGTTTTCGAAAAATATTTCAGTTTATTTTCAATTTACAACTAATTCTATGACAACTTATTGTTCGATGTATTTTGACAATTTTTAGTTCGTAAATATGGTTAAGGATGGTGCTGTATGCAGCTAAGAGTGTTTCACCAATGATGATGACAATGGTCAAGTTGTCAGCCCTTGAAGCACATAAATGTTTGACATTCTGTTTTAATGTCAAATATATCACTGTAACAAGAAACATCAACAATTCTCTACTGTACCTTGTTTTATATTTGGATAATTTATCAATTGTAATTTCAAACTTTTACATCAATAAATATGTCCGACCGTTTAACGCAATTACAGGACACAGTTAATTTGGTAAGTAATGAAATATACAAAGCATACGCTGACACACATAAGCCAATAAATGATAAATATTTATTTAACTCAAAAGCAAGCGGAACATTTTTGCAATAGCATTGGCATATTGCAACAAGCTTCAGTTCCAAGTAAATTTCCCGGATTTGAACGTATTGGATCACAACAGTCATCACAAAGTGCACAAGAAGACTATGCACAACTATTTTCAACATTAATATCAAGGTATAGAACACATAAACTTTAACTGTAATTAAATTATGGTAATATGGCGACGCGTATTTTTAAATTGATTTATTTTTTAGATGTGCTAAGGATATTGATACTTTAATTGAATCATTGCCAAATGAAGACAGTTCTCAAGAGTTACAAGCACAAAGTCTCCGTCGGTTGGAAATTGAAAATCAAGAAGCAGCCAAACGATTAGAAGAAGTAAGAATACAATAAAATAACTCTAAATTTTAACTAATTGAATTTATGAAACATTTCTGTTTAATTTCAGATTGTCGATCGTGGTCAAAAGACATTGGAAAAAATTCAAGCCGCTCTCAGTGATATAGCACAGGCACAGCTTGAGTCAAGTGACATGAAGATTTAATAGATTTTTTTTCCTTTCCTCATAATCTCAATTTTGATATATTAGCAATAAAAAACATTTTAACATAATGTGAATAAAATTGGACAAGACGAATTTGTATTAAAACAAAATAAATGAACATGAATTCGAACGTGTAAGTGAACTCTGTGTTTTGATTGCTTGCCACCCGTTTCCAAAGTCTTACAATGCTTGTGTATAGTTAAAGTATAGTTTTTTTTTCTCAATTTTTATAAAAGAGTTCAAATTCATTTTTCCTATATAATCAAAACCATTGAAATGTTCAAATTATAGATTTTCAGTGTATTTAATAGCTTTTTTACAATAAAAAATGTACTTGAAATGATGAACGAATAAAAAGTAAACGATAAACAGTAATGAATGAAAATGTCATTTAATACGGTTTAATATTAAATCTCAAGGATGAAAAATGAGAAAAAATACGGATTACAATTGAATTGATTATTTTTTTGAAATATTCTAAATCTAATGAGACGAATTAAAAACTTAAATAAGAAAAGAATTTGTTTACTCATAACACTTTCACATGAATTAGGCTTTTTACATAATATTGTGTGTATGGTTTTTTTGTTTTCATCAATTTTTAAATGAAAATCTCCTATAAATGAATTCCGATTGATGGTTGTTTTTACTTCAATCCAAATGAAAATGAAAGAAACAAATAAAGATTATGACGCATTTGAAGTGAGTGGAATTAAAGGTGGTTCGAAATTTGTTTAGTTGAGTGTGCCACGGCAACCAGGTGCACCACACAAACAAGGAATCTTTGAGTCTTCCAAAGGAAATTTGTAGTCGTATGTAATCTCTTCATTCACTCCAATAGGCTGTTTCGAGTAAATTACAATTTTCTTCTCTGATTCAATGGTGATCACCTTCGCATAGCAATTTGGCTATAATAAAATGTATTGATGAAAAAAGATATATATATATATAGTCATTTATGAACATACCGGGAAGAAAATACTTTTAATATTTAAAAAATATTGTAGTTACGATACTCACATTACAGCTGTGATTAATGAACCGTGCCAAATTACCGCACTTCGTAGCATCAATAATCGTTTCCAAATCAATTCTGAATAGATATGAGCTTCCGATGCCAATTGCTTCATATTTTGTTTCACGTAAATCAGCCACAACGGGCCGAATCATTTGTCCAACATACTCAATAACCATTTCATCGGCAGCGATCGGTTCCATAGCAAATAGACCCCAATCATGAATTGATGATTTTGCAAATTTCAATTGTTTTTTACGGAATTTCAGTTGGTTGAATTTTAACAATTCACTTTCAGTACTTGCACCAAACGCTGTTAACAAACGTCGTTGATTTGATCGTGCTTCACGTGAACCCTGCACCTTTGAAATCATCTTTGATTTCACTTCATCGTCCATGCCCGATTCATTGATTGATTTTGAATGATGGTACTTAAATCGCATTTTATCACGAAGATCAACTTTATAATAACCTTCAGTTCGAGCGCATCCACTAGCATGACGTCGCAAATCATCATCTTTCTTTCGTTTTTTATTGGGTGGTGGAATTAAACTACGATCAGTCTCACAGTGTTCCATAAAATGGGTTGCATTCAACCAAGAATTGTTTGTATCATCTTGCAACAGAAATTCGTAACTTCGACGCATATAGGTAATGTCTTCAGTATCGATTCCTTTCGTGAGAAACTCATACAAAAGCATAACTTGTTCACGTGTACTTCTGTCTTTGTATATTTCTCGGGAAATAAATTGGGCCATATCTTTTCCTGTTTGTTTCGGTAGTATTGCTTTTTCTTCATCGATAACGGTTTGCATTTTTGTTTTCTTCGGCTTCTTTGCTTGGTTGGGATCTTTACGGGGTCGTCCAGGTCCTTTGGTTGATTTTGTGGTAGTGGATGTTGTCGCTTTTGTTGACGTTGATATGGTTGTACTCGTTGATGTCATATAACCATGATCATGGACAAATGCACTTGAAACGGGCTGTGATATTGCTGCTGCAACAATCGATTTCGGTGTTTCAATAATAATTTGTGATGAAGGCGAAGACAATGATGGCGATGCTGATGGTGGTAACGAATAACAATGCTCCAATTGAACTTGGCTTGCATGACTTGTTTGACTTTCTTGACTTGAACATGATTCGGGAGAAAGTTTTCCCTTTTGCATTTCATCTTCGGTAGTTTCTGAAATCGACATACTTCGAGCCAAACCGTTAATTTCCTCTTGTCTGTTTTCCTGCATTTTAGCTTTCTTCGCAGCCTGAGCTTTCTTAGAAATGTACACACCTTCATTTGATGCTTCCGATTGCTTCTTAAATGGATCTGAGGTAAATTTAATGTCAGGTGTGGGTGGTAGTTTGGAAATTGATGGCGTAACTGGATCGCCGGGACTTGGTGCTTTCTCTGGTAAAATATCTTCCTCTTCGGTTGTTTCACTTGTATTGCTTCGTTGTCGTTTGAGCTGTTCCTCCATAAATTCACGTTCGATTTGCTCCATGTACTCGGTATTTCTTCGTCGTTTCTCTTGATATTCCCGTTCATCTTCAGAATCACTATACAGTCGGTCATAATCAATTGAGTTCGACTTCTTTTGTTCGGTTGGTGTTGAATCTCGTCGTCCCGGTGTTTTTGGTACTTTAACATCATCATCTACATCAATCACTGGTTCTGGTGTTTTAACTCTGTCTTGAGAAATGTCGAGTTCTTTCTCATCGGCCTGTTCATCCATGCTTATATCGTCTTCCTCACTCACCGTATCCGAATACAATCTGGATTTTGATTTTCCACCCATTCCACTTTTATTTGGAACCACTTTTATTTCATCCTCGCTATCTGAATCCGAATAAATTTTCTTTACAACATTTTTATCTTTCGGTGCAATTGTTGGTAATTCATCAATATCACTTAATGAAGATGTATCCAAATCGCTATCTGATTCGGCGCTACTGCTTTCTTCCTCACTGGATGACGTGAAGAAACTGGACACGCTACCAGCCTTTCGTTTTCGCATTTTTGATTCATTCTCTTTGAGCTTTTCATTAAATGTCGATTTAGATTTGGGAATCTCCACTTCATCATCTGAATCAGAGCGATGAATAATTTCTTCTTGATCACTAAGGTCCTTCTTTGAATCTTCATCTTGTGGTACTGGACTTGGTGCTTTCCGTATACGCTGAAAACGTGGCAATTTCAATATTTGCGTTCGGAAGCCCAACGTAAAACCATTGAAATCTTCACGCTTATTATTGGTCAATACTTGGTTGATGACCGGAACGGTGGCCTTCTTTTCTGTACTGACTTGTGCACTAAAATATATAAATAAAATCATGTTTACATGCTCAATGATGATATATAATGCAAAAACAAAACTTACATGGCAATTGTAGGTGGTTTATTTTTGGTTTGCGCTTGTTCATCCCACCAGGCGTCATATTGTTTATATGCAATACTTTCGATCATTCGTTTGTTAATGTCCCTTTTCAAAATTTGTTTCAATTCGTTTTTTACACGTTCGATGACTGCAGCAACTATTTGTTCCGATGGATCCTTTTTCGTTGGTTCAGGGGGCACTAAAGGAACTGGTTCGTACTTTTTCATTGGATATTCGGATTGCACATAACCACCGCCTGGAATCAACGTTGGAAAACCTTGCATATATGGCTGCATATATCCCTGAGATGACACATATTGATTATTGTATGGATCGTATGCCGTATTTTCACTGTTTGGATAATAATAAGGATTTGTATTGGGTGGATAATAATAATCCGCTATTTGTGGAACCGTATTTTTTTGCAAAGCAACGTCTGGCACATTTGGTTTTCGATTGACTTTATCGTCTGTCGATGATAGGCTGGACAATGACATTTTATCATCGTCTACCTTAATATCACCATCACCTAGCTTGGGAAGTGCACACGATTCAAGTACTTCGTCATCACTCGAAATATCACTGGCACCATCTTCGATGCATTTGGTTTTTTCGGTTTTAATTTTCATCCGATCACCTGAATTCGATGTCTGGCCAATTGATTCGTTACTATTTGTTTCACTTATTCCCTGCAAATTATTTTCACCACTTGTTTCTGTGTTCATTTCGGTTTTAATTTTTTCCATTAATGAATTATCTGTGCCATCGGTTGGTCCATTTTCTTTTTCCGTTTCTGATTCACTGTCATCCAATTGCAGAAATGGCGGTGCTGCACCAAACGATTTCTCCTTAAACATCATTGCAATTCTGGTATCTAAATCAATATTGTTTTCGTCATCTTGTTCACTGTTTTTCATATCAGATTTTGTTTCGGCTACATCCTATATGAATTTGAATGAATATAATTTGTGATTCAAGTACTTTTTAATAATTTTATTCCAAATAAAAGTTGTAAAGCGTTTTCAATCTACCTTTAACGATTTGTCAACATCTTTTTGTGCATCAACCTCATCCCAATCGGGTTCTGGCGGTGGTTTTGCGGCCGGAACCTTCGGCCAAGGATCGTTTGGCGGCGGTGGTGGCTGATAAGCTCTGCAGTGTGAAATTATAGAGATTATGGAACGTACACAGACAAATTTGATGGTAAATATTGAAGCATATAAGATACTCACGGGAGAGGTGGATATTGATGAAATGATGAAGATGAACTATCAAATGATGAGTAATGATGACCACTATGATGATGTGAACTCATTGTATATGTGCTGCTACTATATGAAAATGAACTATCTGCAGATGGTGGATAGTCTCTGTCTGATTTCTTGTAGTCACGATATTTTGAATCACGACTTCGATGATCTCTTTCCCGTCGATCACGGCTATCTCGGTCTTTCCTATCGTAATCATACTCACGTCGTCGACTACTATCTCGTTCATCTCGATGGCTTCGATAATCTCTTCTATCTGTGCGCCGATCTCGATCTTTTTCACCTTTATAATATCTGGACGGTTTTGATTCCCATCTTCTACCATCTTTTTTCTCATAACGATAATGCCTATGATCTTCTGTTTCGTAGCCATATTCATCGTATTTGTCTCGACTGTCATTCCAATCATTTTCTTCTTGTTTATGATCACTCGAAATATGCCCACTTCGGCCGTATGGATTACTATAGTCTACTTGATAATACGGCTCCGATTCGCTGACATGTGGTACCAACAATTCATCCTTTGGTTTAAAAGATGGAATTGTCGGCATTGGTGGCATTTGTTGATTTATTGGTGCATTTACAGGTGGTTGTGCTTGAATTATTGGTTTTTGTGGTTTCTTTTCACCGGATGCCTCTTGCAAAATTTGTTTACATTGTTCACCGAAAGCATCATGAAAAACATTCATAACATTTCCCATAACTGATTGCTGATTATATTTTTCAATGCAAGCTCGAGCCGATTTAACATCAACGAAAACTATTCGTGCGATGCCCAAACGTCGTTGTGTTCGTGGATGTCGATAAATGATTTGCTCTTCAGTTGAACCACATTTTTGTAAAAGATTTCGCAAAAAATTCTCATCAACATTGTCGTTCATATTGGTGATTGTGATTTCTACGGCGGGAGGATCTCCAACATAGTGCTCATCAATTTTAAATCTATAATAATGACTCAATGCTATTATCATAATTTTACATTCACTATTAATTATTTGAAGAAACTCCGAACTGAGTCTATCTCATATTATGAGCTCAGTTTGGTCTTTCTTTGTTTATGTTTATTTGTTTGCTTGGCAATTACCGTGGTACTGGCAATTCGATGGGATCGAGTCGTACTCGTAAGCGAATTGCTTTGGCATTACGAGGATCTTTCAATATAACTTGTGGATAGGCTGGATCGTTTACAATTCCATTGTAACGATAGATTTTTTGTGGCGCCTTCACCAAAAATGGATCTATAATCAACTTATAATCTTGAACAGGTTTTTGTAACGCTGCACCACTGCTATTGCCTCCGCCCTGCGGATCAACATTTCCGTTCATCTAAAAAAACAAACAAATTGATCAAAATATTGAAAAAATAATTGAATTCTCAACGTAGACAAATATAAATAAACACAAAAATTGAACGACATAACCTCAAACTGTCAACATTTGAGCTTAATGTTTTTATGTTTCTTGTGCAATTTAAAAAATTTGCGAATTATAGAAAGAAAACTTTAAAAAATTCAACACGGGATTCATTTTATGCCTTAAAGTTGAATAATAGAAGAATATAAAATTCGCGAACAAAATTGATTATATAGAAGTTTTCATCGTTTCTTTTCTTGGTCTTACCGTGAATAAATGTCAATTTGTGTACTTTAGGATGCCACCAAAAAATCGAAAATATTTTATATGCTAACTATTCAGATTGCAAGCCTATTCTGTTTGGAACGCATTTAATTCAGAAAATATTCTTTTTTTAAATTTATATTCGCCATCCGATATTCGAAAAAATTTATAATTATCACAATAAAACAAAAATAAATGAAAAAAATCGCCTTGTTCGTGAGCGACAGAATATTGATGTTTTATGCAAATTTTTGTAAAATTCTGAATGCGTCCCAAGCAAATTGGCTAGTTGGCTAGCGAATGAATAATAAGCACGATTTCATTTTCCCGAAATTTACAAAAATATACGAAATTATGTTTTTTACAATTATTTTTGCTATATCGAATGCACAAAGTGATTTATTTATTCGAAGATCCGAGACCAAAAATATATGTATGTTGCGTATGTATCGACGACAGTCCACTGTTTGACAGTTCAACACGGTGAGTACTATAATGTAATGTATAGCTAGCTCGCACACATACATTCACAAAAGACTGAGTTCTATGTTCATTTTTCCTATAGAAATGATTTTTTTTATCTTTTGATGATTTAATATCTCATTTAACTATGAAACATCTTGAATTATTATTGCAAAGTAACTTATGATTGTCAAAATTCCTTTCTCGAACTCGCTTGAACACCTAAAATGAAGAATGAAATAATTGTTTTTCCCGAAGAAATTTCTACCTTTTGAACATTTTATCAATCGGTGGAAACCGATTTAGTGATTCTTAGAGCGCCTGTCCATTAAATTGTATTTGATATTTATATTATTAAAAATTGGATCAAGTTAAATTGAACTAATTCAATCAAACCAACGACCATGTGTAGGTCACGATGATCCTTTTGATTAGAAAAAATTGCAAAATTGGAACCCATTTCGAAGAAAAAGGTAAACCAATTTTCTTACAGTTGTGCAAAGTCAGAGTTCGTCATTGCTGTATAGTGTATGTGTGTGAGTTAGCAATCAACTCTTTCGTTAACCAAGAGATGGCATTACTTTGCCTATAGAATTCATATTTCTGCCACCTTTTAAATGAAATATCTATGTGTTAAAGGGCATAAATTTTTTTACATATTCTTGGTATCTAAATAAGCAAAGTAACATAAAGAAATTAATCAAAATTGAACGATAGTTCGTCCAAAATATCAACTTAAATTTGTTGACACCCCATTTATCAAAATAATATTTCGTTCACTGTAAACCAAGAACAATTTGTCAAAGTCAATAGACATTACGAAAAAAAAATTATCATCAAAATACTTGGTTGAGTCTTGACGGTGTTCGTGTTGCATAATATTTTTGAATCTAAAATAGATATTTGTGAGTTTTAATTAATTGTAGAAACTTTCGTAAATTTTGAATGTGTTGCACTATATGATATTGAAATTATTATATTGAATTTAATTTAAATAAATGAATTGTGAACACTGAACAAAAACCAAATCACATAACAATAGTATCAAATTCCAATTTTAACTTTTAGGTCGTTCAGTGACAAAATAATGATGACTTCAATTGCGAAATTTTTCAAAGCTGCCCTAATCCCAAGCGTTAAAGCTCAAGAAGATGTAATTAATCCACAAGAAGTCCTCAAGGTAATTATATAAAATTTAAAAAAAAATCCATTTAGAGGTTATGTTGTGACTTGTGATTGCACATCACAAACAATCGATTAATGTGGGCTCATTAAATATTTGTTTAGGAACAATGTGGACAAAAGCCCAAAATAGCAGCATACTACGAAAAATTGCAAACATGCACCGATCGGGTTAATTCAAGAACAAAAACCGAAGAGACTTGCGCCGAGGAGCTTTTCGATTATATGGATGCATTGAATAACTGTGTAGGCGAAACACTATTCTCTAAATTAAAATAAAAACTTAATTGATTCAACTTTTAAATAAGGCAAAAAGGGTTCAAATCTCTTTTGTCCAATCAATCCACAATTAACTAGAGAAATGAAAATTGTAAAATCGATGAGTTATTTAAATAAATAGAACTGTATGTAAAACAAAAAAGAGTGAAGTTGTCTTTTGGTAATATTCGTTTTTTCCTAAGAAATACACAGTTTCGATTACTTAATAATAACAAATCGGTTGACGTTAGATATTGAAAAATTCAAGTTCATTTATTTCATAATTTGATTTTTTCTTAAAATCCAAAATTGAAAACTGTGATACATTATGTTTTTTTTTTACATAAGATTAAAATATTAAAGATGTTTGTTTGTAAAGATGATTTTATACAGTATATATTACTGTTCTTAAACTAGTTTGATCGTAT